TCGAGAAGCCAACATGACCAGGATATTAGGTAGAATTACAGAGATTCCACGTTCAGCCTCGCATCAACCTGGAAAACCCGCATAAGTATAGGAGCCGGGGCACGTTTGGAGCACTGGGTCACCTACCGCAGCAAAGCGCCTTCATCAATTTTTGGACGAATGTGGGCTGCGGCTCATTGTCGCCCTGAGCCCCTTGGCCTTGTTGGCTGTTCTTCGTTGGGTTCGCCGGGCTGCCAAGGTGACCTGGGATGTTGGCATTCGAGTTCTGAAACTGTGCTTGAGTCGACGCTGTCGGCGTGGCATCCAGGCCCCCGCTCTGACGCTTTGGCGGCATCCCGCCGGAGACGCTTGGCCGGTCGCGCGTCTTGCCAGCTCCGGGCTTGGCCGGAGACGGGGGCGGGGGCTGCGCGGCATTTAAACGGTCAGCAGTCACGCCCGGCCGACTGCCGCGGAGCTGCTGTGCGTGAAGCTCCCGGGCAGATGTGTTGGGCGGGGCGTTGTTGTGGAGATGCTGCTGAGACGAGTACGACTTGTACTCCCATCCCCTTCCATTGTTGAGCTTCATCCAGTCATATTCTCCATCTTCGACGTCGCCAGCGTTCTTGAGAGCCTGTGTCAAGAGATCCCGGAGATAATCGTAGTCGGGGGTGTCCTCGAAACCGAGGTTGCGAACGTAGGTTAGGTACTTGGTGAATTCTTCTGGAATCTCGGGTTAGCATGCTCGGGAGGCTATGAACGGACAGGATGCAGTTAATAATCACCTGGGAATCCATCGCAAAGGTCCTTGATCGCGGTAGTCTGCTTCTTCTCTCCAATTTTTTCATACTTCTGCTTGTTGGTCGCGGCCTTGAGACCCTGCCAGGGGAGGCCACCTCTCAGGAAGTACAGGAAGACGTGTCCCAGAGCTTCGAGGTCATCACGTCGCGATTGTTCTCGTCCCAAGTGGGTGTTGATACTCATGTAGCGGGCTGTGCCGGACAGCGACTTCCGCTCGCGGTAAGGGATATGCTGCTTGGTTTTGGGATCTCTATACTGCTTGGCCATGCCAAAATCAACCACGTGGATAACATTAGCAGCTTTGGTGTTCGGCCGACCAATAAGGAAGTTATCGGGCTTGATGTCACGGTAGATCAGGTTCTTCTCGTGAATCGTTTGGACTCGCGAAAGCTGATATAGAGTTAGAAAGGATCATCCATAACCAATCAGTGATCAGGGGACGCACCATCTGCTTAGCGACCATAACAACCGTTTTGATCGAGAACCGTCGGTTGCAGTGGTCGAAAAGATCCTCAAGACTGGGGCCGAGCAAGTCGATGACCAGAATGTTGTGCAGACCCTCTTGGCCGAAGTAGTAGACATTGGGGATTCCAGCTGCAACCAGTCAGATCCAAACCCCCTTTCCATGCAATCGCAATCAAGGTATACTCACGGCATCCGACCAAAATCTTATATGTCCGATACTCATCGCGGAGTTGTGGTGCATCACTCTTGCGTGGTTCCTAGTACCATTAGTATGGCGAACCGCATACTCGTCCCATCAGGATGTCACGTACGAATTTGATCGCCACTTGTTGATTGTTCAACAGATTCGTACCCTCGAAGATCACACCAAACGATCCTTCGCCGATCTTCTTTCCCACTCGGTAGTGAACACCGACGACATTGGATGATGAGGATGCCATGTTTGCCGAAGTCGGGGGGAAACGTCGAGAAGCCGCGGACTTCACAGAAGGGAGGGTGGGTTCAGGGGACTCGATGGACGGCGATTACACGTGAGACTAGCCTGACAGATCGGTCAGAAAAGTCGACCAAGGGAACGAATGACGAAAGAAGCGGTGGTAGCAGTCGTTCTGAGAGAGAGGGAGGGGGGAGGCGACCGGGGTCTTACAGGAAGCCCGATGGTTATCAATGCGAACCATTCATGAACAAGCACCCCAGCGTGTAGATATCACGGAACCCAGGACGGACGACGAATCGGAAGCCGCAGACAGCGAGTAGACAGCCGCTCGAACAATCGCACCGGTGAATTTGGAGGGGGGCAATAGGGTGCACCCTTGGACGGCGTTGGCAAGAAGGGTGACGGGAGGGAAGAACAAGGTATTCCGGGTGGGCGACAGCTTTGAGGGGGCTGCAGGCTGACAGTTAAGGGTGCGCTCGTCGGAAAGGGGACGAGGAATAAAATGTTCGGTTTTAGGAAAAGGAATTAATCGAGAAGGGGGGCAGGGAAAAAAAATTAAGGAAGGAAAACTCCCCTACTACTGACCAACCGCGTGGCAGTACGACAGAACGCACTGGGCAGGCAGTGGTAGATGTAGAATTGAGGCGCCGACGAAGAGGACGGAGACCAGAGGCGAGAGAGGGAAGAAGGGAAAGAAGAGAGGAGGAACGGGGACGGGAGGAGAAGTGGGTAGAGAGGACCTAGGTGAGCAGCGAACACGCCAGTGGCATGAACTGCAACTGCTACGACCTGCCTACGGGGAAGGAGGAATAAGGGAAAAAAAGGAAAAATGAGGCGGAGAGCAGGAGGAGCGAAAGAAGAGGAGGAAGAGGAGAGCAGCAGAGGAGGAGAGGAGCGAGAGCGCGAGAGCAAGAGAGAGGCGATGGTTGGATGAGGCAGAGTTGGTCTGGTCTGGTCGGGTCTGGTCCTTTGCTGGGTTTGGTCAGGTCATGACGGGACAGCCGTATGTATCGCCCCGATGACGCCCTTCAATGGGGCGCTCTGCCCGGTTTCCTTTCCATACGGTAACGCTAAGTATCTGGTATCGACTAGCGCAGGTGATTTAAGCCGGAGAGGCCCCGTCGATAGGGGATGAAGGGCGGTAATCGGGAGTACGGGTATGGTACCTGATTACACTGAGACATCCGGACGACGCCATGCATTCATCTCTCCTTCAATCCCACATACCTTCCTCCGGGGACCTATATCGATTATCGAGGGATTCAGGTGACCCAGAGCCTGTCTACAAGATTTGGGGACTGTTGATCGAAGGGCACAAAAAAAGTTTGACTCCAAGATTGGGGCCAATGAAATGCAATCGCCCACCTCAATTGCGCTTATTTGCCTCCCAAATTTTATCCTCGAACTCGGAATCGCCCTGGCCCAGGGACTCACTAGCGGCGCCTCTAGCGCTCCGCCTGTTGGGCGATGAACGGTTGAAAGCGGGCACTACTAGACGCCAGCAGTGGGTTCTGGCCAGATGGAAGCTATGAAGGACTCCGTATAAATCTGAGTGTTGTCACGATGGTATGTGATTTGTTACCTGCCTTAAGCACCCTACCTTCAGAGCCACATGGGGCTGGCGGTGTTAAGGTTCCAACAACCCAAGGAGAAGAACATGGAACCCGGGGGGTTCATGGTGTAAGGGATCCATTCTGTGTCTGTGTCATTTCGAATACCGCACATTGACCTCGAGGCTCCGTCAGTTACTACGGTGACTAACCCGGACCGTTTACTTTCCTGCGTAATACCAGTCCCTGCCTGAGTGCCTGCTTTCCCTTGGCCGTGGAATGATGGATGAGATGCCCACAGGGTCTAGCTGGTTTGGGCCTGGTATCGTATTATTGCCGGGTACCTGGTAGGGTAGATACGTACTTAGCGATATCAATTTATTACTTCTTAGTAGATACCTGCTGAACGGAACCCACCAGAAGGGAGCTCTCAGTCAGACACATGCCTATCTACTCCAGACCTATGGATCGTTTATCCGATCAGTAGTCCAATATATGCAGTCCCATGGCTTCTCCCGCTCCTCGATCGGAATTCGACTCCGGACGGAGACCGACCACTTACCTTACCCAGAAGACCGAGGGGCCGCCCGCAGGATGGAGTAGTCACCCTGAGGCAGACACTACTTACTCCGTGCCCATTCCCTTCTACCAATAATCGCCAGGCACCGCAGCTGTCAACCCAGCTAAAACTTCGCCCCATAGCCGAGGGTGACAGACTGTCAGCTCCTAACCGCTAACCACTCTAATCGGGCGACTAGTGAGGTGCTGCGGACTGCTTAAGCCTTAGGTAGGTGTAGGTGCTCGACGCTGCTGGAGGTACCTGCGCTGAGCTGGCACTGCCCCTGACCAGTCTGTAACCCAACTGGACCCTCAGGGCAACCAATCGAGCTACTTCAAATAGTAGTAGTCATACTACTTACTACTACTACTACTACTACTACTAACCACCACTCCGGAGTAGTCCGTACTAAGTAGGTACGGTATCGGGGGGCCGTATGATACTGTACGGACCTGGTTCCTACCGCCGACATACAACTTACATGTTCTACCCCACCCTTTCCAGAGTAGTCCTCCTTAGTGTTCTCATTATCGAGTTATCTACGAGGTTAATCCATTGGGAGGCTGCGGTGCGGATTTGGGGGCCCTGATAGCACAGGGGTGCCTCACAGACCCCCAATTGGGGGGAACGATGGAAAGAAGTGTTCTCGAAGGAGTAACCGGCCATCCGGGCCGGACTGGACTGAACTCACGGCGGCCTCTAGATATTCTCTAGATAGATAGGTAGGTGGGAGATCGATACGATGTACCTACGCCGTGCAACCTGGCATCCGGCACTCCGTAGCACATCCACCAGTGGCACCTCTATTTTAGACACATCTGACACGTCCATGACCCACCGCCCACTGGATGCCTGTGCATTGTTTGTCCTTATCCATTGGATTGCGATGCCTGCCAAGTTGAAACGGACTCCATGCAGCTTTGAAACGGATCCTCGTCCCCAACCAAGCACATCAGACGTGGGAAGCCTCGTTGTCAAACTCTACACAAGTACTCCGTACAGGCGCGTATGCTAGATAATGCGGGAGCATGGCCAGCCCTGAACTCCCCCCAAAAATTCACCCGTCCGAGGGAGCGGGTGTAGTGTAACAGGCCACCCACCGATACAATGTCTTAGCCACGCGATTGTCGGATACACATCACCACACACAGTGTTGGTGTGACGGTAGCAACAGTCACCTATTCATACAACAACAGTCATAAAAGGCGGTCTCTCACAGCTCTTCCGCCGGAACATCTTCGGCTTCACTTCCGAGCTCCTCCGCCACCAGGTCTCGATCTCCTCCCTCTTCTTCTTTGTCGTCGTCCTCTTCCATATCGCCCTCCTCGTCCTGATCGTCATCGTCATCACTGCTAGAGCCGCTGCCGTCGCTGTCGCTGTCGCTGCCAGGATCATAATCCTCCTCGTCCTCGTCCTCTTGGTCTTCAAGCTCACGTTGGGCTTTTTGTAGTTCACTTTCCTCTTCGACGCCCCCTTCCTCATTAGCAGCAGCGTCATCTTCTGTCTTAGCACCGTTGACATTGTATCGCTTCGCACGCCGTGCTTCAGCAAGGCTGGCGTCCTGCAGACCGTGTTTCTTGATATACTCGTCAATTCCGGAAAAGTCTGCCTGGTCGATCATGGAAAACTCAAACTCCTGCGTCTCATCACTTGATGTAGGTCGAGCCACAACGTTAAGGTTGAAGGTTCGTTGCAGCACAGACGTGTATGAGATGGAGTCAACGTTTTCAAAAGCAAAGAAGACCAATGGTTTCTTGAACCCGAACAGTATGCCCGTAGAGAGAAGGAAAAGGTAACCTGCAGTAGGACATCATTTAGTTCCGAGCACTCAAGGAAAGGACATGGCGCCGATGACGATACCTTCTTTGCTTCCGCGGAAAGCCTTGACGTGGTAGGCCTTCTCACCCTTGCGATGAGCCTCTGGCATAGCGCTCACGAACTGTCGCTCATCCGGGCGCACAACCTTAGTCTGCGACAAATTGTCGTTCAATACCCGTTGGATAATCTTGTCCGTAGTCTCCTCATTGTTCATCCCAAGCTGTTGTCCATCGCCTGAGAACGCCGCCTTGGGAGGGCCATCGGTGACTGTCCACACAATGGCTTCGGGGGCTGTTACGCCTTCTGGTGGTGAATTGACTCCATCCGCGTACTGGGGAATAATGCAGAAATTGAACTGTCGCTGATTCTTCTCGGGGACTGGAAGGCACAAGACATGCTCTATTCACATCCACCAACACCGTCAGCGTTGCCCAATCTCAACACAACGTCCCAGACTTACGTATCTTGTCCAACTGTACGCCGAATTCTACCTCCTTAGAGGTCTGATTTCTCGCTCGTAGGAACCCGTGCCCGGCGGTAACTTCGAGCGTAAGCTTCTTTCGCTGGGGAACAGCGAACGAAACATCCTGCATGTAGAATTGCAGTGGTGTATCGGCTTTCACATCGCCCGGGGACTGAGTCTTTGTAGCATCTCCATTCTGTAGCTTTCGTTTCTTCAGGGCCGGGCCGTCGCTGACGACCTCCACAGGCCGAACGGGGCCGGTTGCAGTCCTGGCCAGCAGGCTGGTGGTGTATTTAGCGATGTCTTCGAAAAGAGGGACATGTTGCGGGGTATGGGCTGTTTGTGGGATAGGCGTCAGTCGGTCATCCTGGCTCTTTTATGGGGTGGTGGGATTGGTGTAGCTTGTCGTTCTGAGCAACCTATACGCACCGATCGCATCGTAAACCCGTTTCTTGAGCGCGGGTTCAGCGGCAAAAGCGTCCTCAATGGCCGGGATCCTGGTCGGCGCCGATGAGTTGATCGTGGCGAAAGCCATGCTGCGAGAGGAGATCGCCCGAACAACGACACTCAGTATATATAATCAATGGAAGTCAAGTCAGTTGCAGTCGCATGGAAGAAAGAACAGTTGGATGGATGGGGTTTGAACGAGCAGGAAAACGGGGACGCGGATCGGATGGATGAAGAAAGTAGGTAGCAAATGGTAGTAGCTGCAGAGTGCAGACCTCCCCTGGCGGCCCTGTCGACCCGTGGGCGCGCGCATTCATAATTCCAAACGCAATTGGGGCAAGGCAGGCCACGAAGATTGGGCCCGGTCGCTCCAACGTCGAGTGCTCTTGCGGCGAGTGTCACTGGACTCCAATCGACCTACACTTCAGCGCAGCAGCAAATTGATCTTATACATTCATATTCTACAGTAGTATAATTGTGTACACCCATTTAAAGAACTCGGAAAAGAAACAGCAAAGACCCAGGTACACTCGCCCATTTCGGACACCAAATGAAATTCCAGCAAGCAATTAGGCTTTCTTGGTTGCTTTCTGCTTCATGAAGTTCTCAATGAATCCGACCGTCTGATCGTCCAGGATGAAGTTTCCATCAGCATCCTTTTGTGCGTTCAGGCGCTCGTGCCGCTTGGCCTTCAGCATCTCCAAGAATTCGCCCTTGGGTGTCAACAAAGACCGGCTTTGAAGATATTCCCTCCTGTAGTCTTCCATCTTCTTGGCTTCCACCCACTCGGCGTCGTGTCTCGTTCGGTACTTCGAGAATTTATTGCGGAGCTCGTCCAGGACGCTGGGAGGGAATGGGGCATAATGCAGCGACGGCATCCAGGTCGGCGTCTCGACTTCCATGCGAAGCGAATCCCATTCCTGATCCTTCAATTCTGCGGGGTCACTCCGGGGCCATGGGATCTCAATATCTTCGCCGGCAATATATCTGGTGTGTCGGGGCGTGTCGGTACCGTATTCCCGTTCGAGGAAGGGTCCCCCTCCACGAACATGTTCGACCAAGACATCTCGCGTTGAGCCAGTGTTCGGATCATCAAGAGCGACGACGAGGCGGACATCATCAATGGATATAGGGATGCTGACTGACTGGAAGGGAGTCGAGTTTCCATACTGTTCGTTCAGCCAGTCGGGGAAATGCACATCGGCCTGTCGACAACCAACAGTCAGTAGATGGAACGAAAGTCACTCCACATAGAGGAGGCATACCATGTTGAGATCCTTGACCACAACAGTTTCGGTGGATGCATCCACCCGAGTCACTTCGTTGATCTTGCCCTTGTCTTTTCCCTTCATAATGCATACCCGGTCACCGGGGGCAATGTTGATGTACTTCCTCCGCAGATGCTCGGGGACGGATGGAGGGTTCATTGCTTGTGGGCTCAGAGCACCAAAATGCCTTCCTTCAAGACCGGCATCACGCTGAGGCGCCAGGGGTCCACGCAGCCAGTCTTCGCGGCGACGCTGTCTCTCCGCGCGGAGGTTATCGATCTCCAGGCGGTTATAGGCAAACCGCTGCCTCAGAGTATCCTTGAGGTCCTCGCGCTGAGCAGCTTTGGTCGCTCGAATGACTTTCCGCTGGGCCTGGTTCCGCGCCAGGGCGGTCCTTCGAATGACCTTTTGCATCTTGGATACTGCGGTACCAGCAATGGCCGACTGTTCCCGCGGAATCACCAGAAGGCCTGGGGAGATGCTCGGGAGGGAAAATTGCGGCCCTGGTTCGCGCACGTGACTGGAACTATGAAGAACCAATGGGGAAGCATGATTCGGAACTATGTACCCTGAACCAGAACCAGTATACTCTCTACTGGGACTAGGTCATTTTGATACCTTTGAGCTCATTAATTCTCAGGCACGATTCAATTTCTCAGTCACTAAACTATCTGGTGTGTACCTACTAGCAGCCGCATCCAAGGAAATCGGGCCATGATGACAGAGCCTCAACATGTGCCTACATAGACATCAAGTTCCTCCGATCGAGGTCGTGTAGCATTAGATGAACTGCTGTGCAAACTGCAAGTGCAGTCAGGAACTCAGGACCATAATTTGTTCTACAAACATCCATAGGTCGACTTAACGTCGCGAAGCGGTGCGGCGCCTATAGATCGATTGCGGTAAGCCATAAGGTCATCCTCTATACGGAGTGGATTTGAGCGAGATACGCCGGTTTACTTCTGGGCAGATGGAATATACGCCATGGTCTTTGTATCTGCAGACTGCACGGGTTTCAGTGTGGTCATACACCCTGCTTTCACCCGTCTCGTATATCAAAGGTGGAAAAGCGTGTGAACCGGCATAAAGTAGGCACTCTTGCTTCTGACATATATCATAGCTAAAAGGGCGTCATTGTCTCCAAGGGCTTCGATCACCCCTGCTGAATCAGTGTTAGATGGCTTGGGGGGGTTTGAGAAAGCAGCTAGCGGTTCCCCATGAGCTTGGGCCTATGAAACATTGCAGATTTTTCGTATAGACCTAGACATAGTGAAGGCAGCCATCTGTCTCCAAGCAGCCGTCAGGAGCAGGCAACAATGTGCTGTTTCGAGCAGGTACACGCCCAGCATCCTAGTCTGACTTGCTTGAGTGTCAGTGAGTCAACGCAGGGACCTCCGGCATAATGACTTGTTTCATATGGTACAAGGTATTTTCTCCGGAAAATAGCACATATTGATGAGTTACGTCGGCTAGCATTCGCGCTCATCAAGAAACTGGTGCGAGTTTGCAGTTCTTGAAAGAAGTCATGACCCATGGTTGATCGTGGATGTTGTTGCGAGAGACGCTATTAGAAAACAGAGGTCAATGTGCCTGGCTTATGAGACCGGTGTCCCCGGCCGTGTCTGACCACCGCCGGAAGTTTCAATTTACCATTGGAGCTGAAGCAGCATCTGACAGTGTCGGTAAGCAGGCTCGGTTAGACAGAACATCGAACTGCCTGCCGAGCCAGGCGTGTAAAGAAAGGAACTAACAACAGTTGGTCATTGTAAGGAAGAAAATTGACTCATAGAGCAGAGAGAATCGCGTAGTTGCTCCATGGATGCACGAGAACCACCCTCTCAGTGCACTCGGATCTGCAAGGCTCTACCAGGTTATCTATGGCTATCATTCCCGCAGGATTAAACTCGAAGGGCGGAAACCCTCTCCGTACGAGGCGACCGTCTAGAGTCGATCTTCGTACTTTCGCATACGAAACTCCGATACTAGGCTGTTTGCTGAGTCTCCAAAGCGGCCACGACCACTTCACTTTGATTCCCGGCTGTATCGATTGGCGCAAATACGCTCCGTTATCCCCTTTACCTTCTGCGTATCAAGACCTATAAGGCCCCGGAAATAAAGGAGTTGCCTGGTTCCAGTTGATGATGACGTTTGCGTTGGAGAAACAGACGTCCCGACCATGTTGGGTAGGAAGTATGGCCGATCAATTGCACCGCCACGTATCTTTGGCTGTCGGTAATTGAAGGAAGCATCCACGGAACCCCTGGCGGATCTGGAAGATTACAGTCATACCGCAGCAGAAGTACAGGCCTTACCTTTCAGGCTAGGCCCAATCTCCTCGGAGGGTCCGACAGGTGCCGAGTCCAAGGTCGGTCATTCTTCTCTACTTTTCGCAAATTATTTCGCCTTCCGCAGTCATGCCCAGGCTGGCGATGTGCTGGCGAATGAAGATCCGACCGGTGTCTATTCCTTAGCTTGATCGCCAATGCAGACAGTGTCCCTCTGTCTATCTAGACAGTAGATAGATACTTGGTGGTACGGACCGTCGGGGCCTCCGCAATGGAGCGAATCAGCATGGAGATAGATAGGGAGCTGCAGGGTCGCCGTCCTTGGCTATCCCTTCAACCTTCAACCCTTCGGTGCTCAGGATAGACAGTCAACTTCGGTTGCAGGGTACAGCTTGCAGAATACGATGTTATTTTATCTGACGAAGTGTTCCGTGCATGGTGTAGCACATCACAGTGTGAGAAGTGGAAACTGCTGTTAGCTAATCCGTACCTAGATCCAGTCGTTCGATCTACACAGGAGGTGAATTAAGCGGGGTTCCCTATCCCAAGAAGTGAGTATAGCCAATCATTGAACCACTTGACCTTCAGAAGTCTGTGTATGACTATGTAGTACAGAATCCGTACCTAGACTTCATTATCCTGTGGTCTAGCGCACAGGACTGAGGAACAACAGCCTACCTACTCCGGACTAAGTATCTACCTAGACAACCAGGGGCCACCGCCAATTATCAGAAGTATGGAGCCACACCCGACAGCTCCGGGTCTCCGGGGCACCCACAAGCTTCTAGGCTCTCTCAGACTATGGCGACGGTAACTATGGTGTCGCTAAACGTTCTTGTATCGCCCCTGTAGAATGATGTTACTACTCTGGCACGGGCCAAATTGATCATGGCCTCGAATATTGTGTGGACCGTGAGGTTTTTCATCATCCGACACTACCCAGCTGTTCCGGAGGGAAAGCCACAGGGTCAGAGCGATGCGACCGAACCGCATGGCGCCAACTTTCTAGCCTGGAGCCGAAGCGGACCCGGATAACACATGGGTCTTAAATAGGAAAGGAGCTCGACTACGTACTGTATACAGAGCAAGAGAGGGGGATGGGCTCTTGACTGGCCTGAATGCCTGCGAAATACATAGTCGTAAACACGGGCCAGGATAATACGTAAGTGCCCATCCTGTACCGGTACGGTTTGTTATAATTACCATACTCTGTTATTGAACCTTCAGCCACGGTGGCTTCGACGGGAATGAAGGCAAACCGGCTAGGCAGCTAAGTAAGCAGCATTGTACGGAGTAGGACCTTGGTCACGAGCGAAGCAAAAGGAGGTCGAGAAAAGGAGACCGTCTGGATGGAGCAAAAAGATCATGGCAACCTAGGTTTGCCAACCAGCCCCATCTGGTTGGCCCAGGTGCATCCAATAGGATAGATACTAGATACGAACCATACGGATTGTATCTGTGTATCAACGTATCTGCGTAGGAACCTGCAAGCAGATCACGTCACTCCCAGGTATGGGATCAAATGGGGCAAGGGAAAGAGGGAGGGAAATAATGGATAATTTCAGATGAAATAAAATTAAAAGAAACGAAAGAGCATTGATTCACAGCCACATAGCTTTTTTATTTTTTGCCCACCTCGATGGGGCTGGGCCGAATGTCGCTTGCCAACCGTTTCAGCCCTTCTAGTCCGGGTTGGTCTGGTTCCTTAGTCAACCTGGGAGTGGAAGGGAGAGTGCCAGGGAGGGAGCCTCAGCGACTCACCTGAAAGGACGGGGGAAGAACCTCGCCCAAACCAAGGAGCCAAAAGCCAGCCCTGGGGCCATCCGCCGATAACTGACCCATACCCAGCACCAGCACCAGCACCAGCAACAGCAACTCAGCATTGTCTCTATCAACCCTCCTCCTCCTCCTTCTTCCCTTCCCCTTCTTCTTCTTCCTCTCTTCCTGGGGCCTTTTTCACCACCCGATTTTCTCCATTGTACACACTCTTGTTGTCTTTTGGGTTTATTCCTGGAAACTCTTGGCTCGTCCATTCACCTGGCCCTTCCCTCCCTGAATATTTTAGTCCGCGCCCGTTGCGCCTACTCCCCTGCACCGTACGTGATAACCCTTTTCCTCGGGCGCCTGACTTGTCCCTTTCTCTACCCTCAACTTCCCCCATCCAACCCCCATCCATCCGCTCCTGCAACAGCTTCCCTTCTCCCTCGCTGTCGTTGGCCACTCTTTCTCGCCCACTTCATATTTCTAGCCAGTTCTATTTTCTTCTGCATCTTTTGCTAATCGTCCACGCTCTCAAGATGGCTGAAATTCGCCGCAAGCTTGTCATCGTTGGTGATGGTGCCTGTGGTAAGACTTGTCTGTTGATGTGAGTTTCTCATCCCCTTCCTCATTCTTCGTCTGGTAGGGATCCAGCATCATACTGACTCTCCTCTCCACAACCAGTGTCTTCTCCAAGGGTACCTTCCCTGAGGTTAGCATCCACCGACTCTCCTTACATGATCCCTGATACCGTTCCACCATGGTCGACCCAAGATATCTGGCTTGCCTTGCAATCAAGTCCTCGGCTCCCGTAAAGCTGACCGACATATACCATAGGTCTACGTCCCCACTGTCTTCGAGAACTATGTCGCCGATGTCGAGGTCGATGGAAAGCACGTTGAGCTTGCTCTTTGGGATACGGCTGGTCAGGAAGATTATGACCGTCTCCGTCCTCTCTCATACCCCGACTCCCACGTCATCTTGATTTGCTTCGCGGTTGACTCGCCCGACTCTCTCGACAACGTTCAGGAGAAGGTTAGTTTACCGCCACATCCCCGGTCTCCTCGGCGAGTGCGTGGACGAGGAGAGCGATCAGTTGTCCATCGAGGAGATGTGCTGGTTGGATCACTAACATGTTTCTAGTGGATCTCCGAGGTCCTTCACTTCTGCCAGGGCCTTCCGATCATCCTTGTCGGATGCAAGATGGATCTGCGTCACGACCCCAAGACCATTGAGGAACTTCACAAGACCTCCCAGAAGCCGGTTACCCCTGAGCAGGTATGTGACCCCCGTTGAAGCCAGCATGCTATCCCTGGAATGGCAGCTAATGTGCGATTAGGGTGAGGAGGTTCGCAAGAAGATCGGTGCCTACAAGTACCTCGAGTGCTCTGCGCGCACCAACGAGGGTGTCCGTGAGGTCTTCGAGGCTGCCACCCGGGCTGCGCTCTTGACCAAGACCCACAAGAGCAAGAAGAAGTGCACCATCCTGTAAACTAGTTTTCTCTCCTTCGCAAAAGGTCTGTTTCATGCGGAGCTTATATGAACGGATAAGCGTCTCGAACATTTGGTTTCTATTATCTATCAAGAGGGGGTTTATTCCGTTGGCGTGTTCCAAGATGTGCCCGGATGCGAGTGTGGATAATGTTCAATCACGGGCACATGAGCTTCATGGGATTATCTGGCTATGCAGTTGGTCGACTTTCTTATTTTGCAGACTTGATTTGATTTTCTAGGGAGGCGTTGTCTTCATAACCTTGTGGGTTTTCTTATCTGTTTCAGCTCTCCATAGGCGCCTACGGGGCGGTTCTCGATCACTATGGCAAGAAGGGCGCCAGGTTGCTTCCGGAGCAGACGTCCTCACTACCTCGAGTAGTGCAGATCGGAGTTGAGCAATTGCGGATTGCGTTCGTCTTGCGTGTGTCCCATCGGTCAATTCTCTCGGAAGGGTCCGGTCAAGATAGTCGGGAATCGCGATCCCTGCTCCTTCGGATGGCCCTCAGCACAGTCTTATCCCCATTTCTGTTTCCCCTGTTTCGGTTAAAGAGAATGCATGGAATCGTCGTTGGCTTGGTTTCTCCTCCATGTCCTGCAACTACTCTAGTCACCCTGCTCTGCATGCATATGGCCTGCGCAGCGGTCGACGAGCAGACAGAAGGAATATCTAGTACGCCTATTAAGTTGTTATCTACTAATTCACTTTCACCCTGCGCATACGCTATGTGTTTTGACTTTCCAAAAGAACCCTCGCCTGTAGTACCCAATGCTTCCTGTCAAACTCCCAAGTTCAGCGGGGTGGTACGTATACTTCCCGAAAATAGCACCCTCCATAGTCGTGAGTGACAGCCAGCATCGTTCCGAAGGGGGGGAGGGGGGCGGCCGGGGCAGCAAGTCAAGGGGATGCGTCCACTGATAGCGTCTATTGATAGTAACACTAGCCGAACTAGATAGAGTCAAAGACGTAATTCACCACTACTTTTGATCTTACCACGTCCACCTACCTGTCTATATATGGAAAATCTTATAGGACCGATACATCCGACCGAGCAGAATTAGCAGCACATATTTATATCTATACATCTATATCAATCTATAAAAATACCACCTACGTAGACCAAGCGAATGAATAACATTAGTTACCTGCTGCCTACTAAGGCTTATGTTGTAAACATGTAAGTATGTAACGTGAATTCTTTCATACGGCTTGGCTTGTATGGTACTGGGTAGGTATCCAGGGGGTTTGTGTCGGCCCCCTCCCTCCCTTAGAAAGAATGAAAGGTGTCTTTGGTGTAACTGGGTAAGGATAGGTGGTACAATAAATGGGTTCGGTGTACTCCGTATCTGAATAATACTTATTGGGGTGTTGGACTATGTGTGTTTATCTATTTTGTAGTGGATTGTTTGTTTGGATTCACTTCTGCTTTTATGGTTGGTCTTTTTTTGGGGGGGGTCTGGGTGGGTACTGGTATATATTTATGTGGTTACTATCTGGGAAGGGTGTTGACCGTTCATTGGGCAACGAGGAGCATCCATCGTGCACGGCTGTATATGACCGGCTAGTCATCGATGATTTTCGCGGACATTGATGGGGGTTCCCTAGTTTATCGATCTTACACAGGTTTTATATAGACATGAGCTTTATAATTTGTGGTGTTGGTGTTGGTGTTGGTGTGGTCTAGTTTGTTGGGCGGAGGGTGTCTTGGTTACGGTGGTTCGATTATTGTCTGTTTTATGTTAAGTGGTCATTGTCGGGCCAGGTAGAAGTAGAAATTTGCCAACGTCATCTCTTATATATGCTCGCATCTCATCTATTCAAACTAAGGAGATTCTCAATATATCGTCTTGCGTCAAGGCCCAGCCCTTCAACAAGTTTCCCTGGTCCCGTGTCGGTCCGTGATGACTCTAGCCCCGGGGATGAAGCTCCGCCCAAGTCCCGGAAGAATCGAGTGCTACTGCTGTTGCGAGCATGTCCGGACGGGGAGACGGAGTCACTTGATCTGCGGATCAGGAATGCTTCCTGGTGGGCATCGGTGGTGGCAGTGTGGATGCTAGCGTTGGAGTTCGTGCTTTCCTGCTCTTGTTGGGGAGGTTCAGACATCCGAATCCAGACAATCCACCAGCCGCGGCTGGTCTTGCAGGTCCTCTCGACCTCCAAGGGCCGGGAGCGGGTTTCGAGATGGGTGCTGAGGAGTCGGTGGTGGATGTTGAGGCTCTCGACTCGAGACCATGGCTGTGTGGCCAGATCCCGGGGTTCGTTGATGGAGGACCCAAGGTCTGGTATGTTCGGAATCGAGGAACGGATCGTCAAATTAGTCTGGTCATAGACTAAGTTGTAGACTGGCTGACTCTTGCCGGAGAATCGCTTGTTGATGTCGAAAGCATTGTCAGACATGGCAACTCGCATGGCTGCCGTGACGGGCGAGGTTGAGTTGCTGAGAGGCTTGTGAAGTGGGCTTAACTGGTGGCTGATGTTGTGGTATAACGACGGGTCGGACAGAGCTGGCGCCGAAGGATCGAACAGAAATGTGTACATAAAGGGTCGATGCTATAGCATTGTTAGGGCCTACAGCAAGACCGAGGATCATAGGGGAAGCATACTATGTAGACCACTGCTTGCAGTTTTACTGAGCCTTGAGCACGACCGAGATCAGCCACGGACAACGCAAGTGTAGAGGTGTGAGTCCCTTACCCGTTGGGTTCTGTTCCGAGGAATCTGACAAATGAACATGCAAGCCTCTGTGCTTGATGGTATCCTTTGTTACGCCCACTTGATCGTCCGCTGTGTCTGCGCCTTCTTGCGTATTCCTGTCCTGATCATCAGGATCAGAATACAAGCCAATGAGAAATCTTCCATGGCTCTGAGGCTTTTTGCTATCGTCGGGCTGCGGCATGTTTCCGTCCATGGTCTCCTGAGCATCCGCAGACGAATCTGTCTGTTTACTTGGAGTGGACGGCCTGTCTTCTCGCTTTAACGCTTCGACCCGAGGGTGCGGGCTGGCCGTCCCAGACGAAAGTCCCCAGGATGAGCCATATCCAAGCGTAAGATACTTCACAAACGTGTCGGTTCTGAAGCCTATCCAGTCACTCCCGCGATCGCTTCTTGCCGGGGAGCTCTCACCACTCGTGTGTGGACTCAACTCTTGTGGAGCCTGCGGAGACTCGGCGGTCCCTATCACGAGAGGGGGTGGTATGCCTGGAGAAAAAGGGCGATCGGGGGCTGCAGCCAGAGAGCCTGCCTCGGAAGCAGGTTGCTTGCTGGAATCCCTTCCAGCCAATCTGCCGCGTTGCTTCTTCCGTCGCCTTCGACGCCGTGATGAGGTCGGGTCTTCGCCTACTCCGTATGCGTCGACCCCATATCTATAGATTGATTCCATCCACTGAGAGACCCGCAGGACGGATGGTCTAGAGACCGCCCCTACACCGGAGAATATGACTCCATCTGCAGGCCTAGGGCAGGCTCCTAAGCCGAGCCATCGGTCGTCAACGGCGTCTGTGTTCAGTGGATCCCAAGGCCTGTTTCTTGCTGCTAGATTCTCACTAGGTGGGCGAGGGTCACCAAATCGAGAGACAACTAAGTCCACTAGGCCCTCCGTCCGAGTGACAAAGTCCTCGAGCACTTCTCTCTCTCCGCTTCCCCACTCTTCTTCGCCAACGCCAATGCCAAGTTCACCTCCAGCAGATAGCTTGATTCCGCTATATATGTCAACAGCGGGGTTTCCGCTCAGCAGGACCTCCCAGCTCCACGCGAACCGCCACCAGAAGTTATCGATAAGAGCACAAAATGTGGACCGGTCCACACGACTGTATAGGGCGTCAAGTGTAGTATCCTGGTGAAGGAGAAAGGCAGAGTGGGCTTGACGCAGTTGTTGTATCAGGAGGTGAGGAGGGGACATCTCCCTTGAAGAATAGCCAAAAGAAAAAGCTGAAGCATCGCGCTGAGAGGAAGGTGTGCCAGCTGGATCGAGTGGGAGACGAGTTAGGTCGATAGACTGTAACAAGCTCAGTAGCTATCGATGGCACGTCCTGGCTTAGGGCCACCTACAGCTAGAATCCACCAGTCGCTCTCCAACTCATGTAATATGATCTGCGACTTTTCAGTTTCCACGTAATCGACTGCTTTCCCCTGCGAAAAGTTCCTAGATCCTTAGTTCAGCACGGGTTGTGGTACAGTGGTTGTATGCCGATTCCCACCTGGCGAAGCCCACCATACCCTGGGCCAGTCCTATCTGGCGCAACCTCTCATTCCACCTATCGTTGGAACCGTGGTCGTCATCGTCGGCCAGTGAGCCTTCACGTCTGCGCGATCGAACCGATCTGGATGTATAGAAGACAACCTGATCGCGGATTGTCTCATCGGTCGGACCCAGGCGGGGGTTGTATATGGTGAGGAACGACAGTTGTGCAGGAATCACGGAAGCCGAGTCATTCTCCGGCATTGCACCATAGACCCGTGAGCTCCAGCTCACGGTCAAGCAGCGCAGTTGTCGAAGGAACACTCATCGTCGCCGGGCGAGTTGGAGTGGGCGGCGGTGACATCACGTGGTGGAGGTGGGAGGCCGGCGAACTTGCCGGAGCTGCTGCCAATAATCATCCTTCCGTCGCCGTCAATTGCAGGCCATGTTTTTCTCTCGAGGGCCTGGCGCTCTCTGTGCCTACAGACGAGTCAGCATTTTCCCATCCTGGTCACATCGGCGCCTGGCCACCAAGGCCTACGACCCCCTTCGTATCCTCTTTTGCGGATCTGATGAGTTCAGCATAGCTTCCTTGAAAGCTCTCCATAAAGAGCATGTGAAGCGGCCGGATCGGATTGCCTCAATCGACGTTGTCTGCAGGCCTGGTAAAAGGGTTGGCAGAGGACTGAAGCAAATCCGCGAGGGTACTGATTTGAGAAATCCCCGGCAATTGATCTTGCAGCTGATTTGTGGTCATCTACAGTTCCCATAAAAGCGGTTGCGACGGACTTATCCCTTCCGATTCACGAGATCGATACCTTTACAGGCTGGACGGTAACTGATGGCCATCGACACCTTCCTTGAATGCATGTTGACCCTGCTAGCCGCCTATACTGCCTGCCGGTCCGATTAACCTGATTGTTGCCGTCTCCTTTGGGTTGTTCGTCCCTCCGCGACTTCTCAATGGCGCAAAGTATGGGGGTCTGAATGTTCACCCTTCTTTGCTTCCCGAGTACGCAATCGCATCGCTTACCCCACGAACGACACTCACTAACAAAAGTCCTCAGCTTCCGGGGCCCCGCACCGCTACATCACACACTATTGGCCGGTAGAACTCGGACCGGCGTCACCCTCCAGACGCTACATCTCAAGCACTTCGACCACGGTACTATTTTAGCACAGACTCCGGCCCCCGGTTTTGACATACCCGATCCAGACTCATGCACAGTACCCGACTTACTGGATCTCGTCTGTCCGAAGGGCGCAGATATCCTCGTTGATGGTATCCGGGAGGGGTTGTTCGTGAGACCCGTGAAGGATGCAGGCTGGAGATCTTCTGAAGGAGACGGGCCGTTGATCCATGCCGCCAAAATCAAGCCGGAGGACCGGCATATTGATTGGGCAAACTGGTCGTGGCTGGAGCTTAGCAGAAGAAATCGCGTGCTAGGTCCGCTCTGGAGCAAGGCTCTGGTTGCTACCAACACTTCTAGCGAAAGTTCTTCTTTCCAACATCGGCGGGTTATTTTCACGGAATTCGAAGAAGCGTCGCCGCTCAAAGGCTGTGACAAGTTCGCCGTTGTCCCAGGCTTGCCGTTCGTGGATGGCACGCATCCCATCGAGTCAGCGAAGGGGAAAGGCGTCTATGTGTTTACACGGGATGGAAAGCTCGTCAAGGTACACCAGATGAAGGTGGAAGGACAACAGAATGCCGACGCTCTTCGTGCCGCTCTGAAGGCTCGGATGGTTGGCGATCGCACGTTTTACTCGGGTGATGTGGGATATACGCCGTTCTACAACCCCCTTGTGTAGGGGTCGGGTGATGAAAAGCTAGCCGTTCTTTGTTCCATATTGCTAACGTCATGATACCGGTCTTTAGCACTCTTAATATCAACCCGTTCCAGTGCCCGACGCCACTGCCCTGAGTCTACTGCGCCTGGACTTCGGGCTCGTTCTACAGGAAAGAGAAGCCGGAATCTAGGGAATTAGATTTGCCGTAGACAGCGTGAACCAGGGCACTCACCGATCTGTATCGATTGCCCGGTCATCGATGTGTTCTGAGCAAGCATGACATACGCATTGGCGGTGTCCTCCAGCTCGGGCTAATAATGGCCGTTAACATGCGGAAGCTATGCCGAACTAGAGAGGCTCTCACCGTTTTCTTGAGGGCTGTCTTATCCGTCCACCGTTCGATGGCTTCAGTAGGGAAGCGCTGGCCCTGCCGTTATATTAGCTCTGCCACGACGGAGCTTCACTATGACTGTAACTGAATTACTCACCCATTCGGTCAGAAGTAGGCCAGGCAGGACCGCATTCACGCGGACCTTACTCCCTTGGGTATGTGCAAGGCATTTCGCCAGGTGCAGTGCTTTTGTTGATCTTAGCAATGCGAAAACTTGGTCGTTGCGGTACACCTACCTCCGGCCTTGGTGACGGCATATGGCAAGCTGCTCCCAGTTGGCGTAACGGCCTTTGTTACAGATCAATACATGGGCTCTTTCTGATCATCAGTCTTGGTCGAGAGCGTACCGCAATAGACGAGGTCAAGAGGAACACGCCGCCCTCAGGGTTGGTGTTGAATGTGGGAAGTGCCGCTTTGAAGAGATAGAGGTGGCCCTTTACGTTGACTGACCAACACTGAGGACCATGTTAGCCCCGTCAGCCAGATGACATTCCTCCGCAAGGTGTTTTCCTCCATTGGCATCCCTACCTTATCCCAGTCCTCGTCCTCCATGGCGTCTAAGTCTCCGAACTTGGTTACTTTGGTCCAACCCTAGGTCGGCAATTAGCTATTTTGCCTTTGCCGGTAGCAGTAGCCAAAGTAGTGAACACTAGCGACTCACTGCGTTGGAAACGACGATATCCAGTCCGCCCAACTGCTCAATGGTGGTCTTGACGGCGTTGACACAGTCCTCCCGCCGACCGGCATCCTAATCAATGAGGTCACGATATCAGCCCAGTGTTTGGGGTGTCAAAAGTGACCGTTATCATGTACCCCTTGTATAGTAATAGCATTGACCTTGTATTTCTCCCGAATCTCCGCAGCCAGGTTCTCCGCATCGTCCTTGCTCGAGACGTAATTGATGGCAACATTGCAACCTTCGGCGGCATATTTGCGGGCCACAAGAGCGCCCAGTCCCCTAGTAGTCACCCATAAGAGGAGCACTGCCGACATCAAAGCCAACGAGAGACATACCGTGAGCCACCCGTAATCAGAGCCGAGCGATTGCGCAGAGAATACATGATGCTGTCCGAGATAGGAAGATACCTGAAGGATGGAACCGGTTGGTTCTGGAGTCAAGCGCAAGCCGAGGACACCTAATACTTTATAATGGGCCAGATGATGCGGGGTCACTCGGAGTTTAGATCCGCGATACTCATCGAATTGTAAGCGCTTCTGCCTTCTGCTCTGGAAGCAGGGATGACCGTGTCTAGTAGCACCAGTACTAACAGTGGCGGCCTGCAACCAACGCCCATTGGATTTCTTTTTCCCCCTGGAGGGACTATCTAGTTTATAGCATGCTGGGAAGTCTAGAGGTTGAACTCGGATTACGTATGTCTGTCAGGGAGCATGCAGACCGTCGAGGACGAATCCCTGCTCAGTGCTCAGGGCTCATGCTTACCTCGGGTCGGCCCCTCGATGTGGTCCCGCCGGCGGATCGCCCGATGCTTGATGGAGGGCCCGCCTATCTGCTATCTGGGTCTATTTATCGATACCATAACGGAGGGGAAGAACTGATAATTGATAGGAAAGTTTTCGGGGGTATCATGTATGCTCTATCTACAGATACAGAATATCGGAGATGTAATACAAGCAAGAAGAAAAGCTGCAGAGGTCGTCGGAGACTATCAATCCACCAGCGGACCGACGTATTCCGTCTCTCTCATGCTGGGCCAGGCCTTCTTCCCCTCCAACCCGGGCCACTGGACGAGGAACCGGTCCGCTAAAGGCAACAGGAGCTTACCTGAGAGACTCAGCGTTTTCACTCGAGCCCATGATTCGACAAAGATCGTCCGCATTTGAAAGTCGCTTGACGCTGGCGCACTCGGGTGAGCTCCGCGCCCGATGGAAAAGACACTGCACAGGGAGAACCACAGCCGCAGAAGTCTAGCGGCCAGAATAACGCAGACCGCCGTGGCAGGGCCATTGGTGAGGATGATGTCGGGGTATGGGGAGCGCAGGGGCGAAGATTTGAGCGACTGCTGATCCGGATGGAGGCCACGTAGCACCAGAAGACAGGACCAGAAGGATTGGATTGTAGAGAATGGCGCAGTCAGGAAGGATTGATGAACGCGACGTGCGCGCGGCACGGTGACGATCGAGTAGGAGCCTGTCGAGGCGGGTTTCTCGTCGGTGCTGAGCTTCTTGCTTAGATCGGTTGTTTCAAACTCGACGGCTTTGGTTGCGCTAAAGTTATCCCCGGAGCTCACGACGTAGGTTCGATGCGTGAACTTGGAGGGATCGAGTTTCATGCGCCGCAGCATGGAGAACATCTCGGCGGTGTGTCCACCGCTACCGAGAACGACGAGCAGGTGAATGGGCGTGTTTGGCGAGCGCCATCGGGGAACTTGGCTGTTTTGGGATTTGGCAAGCGCATGCATGAAGATCTGTAGACAATCGGTCAGTCAATTAGTGGATCCTTATCGCATAGAGAAAGTAGGTTGCGGTTTATCGCGTACAATGACCGTGGATAGGCCAGCCACAGTAGCGAAAGTGGCAGCCCAGAAGAGGCTACTCCAGGATAACCATGACTCCATGGAAGTGATCACAGGTGGCAGAGGGAGTTGGCGGATGGAGAATGCGACGATGGGTGTCGATTGAGATGTGGCAGGGTTAGATGTCAAATATGTAGTAACAGATAAGCATCTTTCCCTTTAGCTAGATACAGAGAATGCCTTTTATGGGCCTCTTCCAGTGCAGCAGTCTGGAAGTTGCCATCAGAGGAGCGTTGGTAAACTGCTGCTGGCCTGCTGCCATCCCCGACCTTACGGTCACATGACCATCTATACGCTTCAGATTGGGGTCATGATATACATGACATGCGTTGACAGCGCGTCCACGGTCCGAGCCTCCCAGCCACCGGCTCAAACCAGCCCCATGGCGTCCCCGATTGCAGGGGAGCGACCCGTGAATGAGGGTGGTTGCTGCGAGTGATTGAGTTGGTGTCTCTCTGGGCGACACTTTGGAGATGCCCAGGCACGTGGTCTGTGCTTTCTCGGCGATTATTTTGGTGTTGTTGTCTTAACTCCTTCCTTCTACTTTCCCCCCGTTTTTCATCCCATTATCACCTCATTCTTATCGTCTCCGCCATCCATGTCCACCGACGCGACCTGAGATGGCTCCCCTCTTCGCTAAGCGATTGAAATGCTTCTATTGCGGGCGCCGCTCAGCCCTGTCTGGCGGCGATACTGCCCGCAAATGGTGTTGCAAACATTGCGAAGCCGTCAATTATCTGGATGAGGTAGGTCCGGCGCTGGAATTATCTCGCTGGTGTCACACAAAGTCATATACTGATTGTCTGGATGGTTCCGGTTGGATAGAAAGGAGAAATCACAGACCCTCCTGCTGCGGAAACGAATCCAGATGTCTACGGTCCAGGCGGATCCAGCCCGCCCTTCGAGTCCGCCGACTTTACGGCCTCCAGCTTGTTCTGCGCCCAGTGTCTCCGCAACCAACACCTCTTCACCAGCGCGTTAGCGTCTTATTTCCCGTCATCCGATGATCCCAATTACAGTGCATATGAGAAGGAGTACCCCAAGTTTCGCAAGAACATGGAGGAGCGGTACCCGCAGGTGTGCGTCAAGTGCGAACCCAGAGTGAAGCAGCGCATTCGTCAGGCAGGATATGAGGCCAAGTCGGATCACTTAAGGCGCATGATGGATCGGAGTAAAGCTGGGAGGGCAGCACGGCAAGCTCGCCGATGGAACTGGAGGAATCTGCTGGCCTTGGCCGGTGGCCTGGGTTACTGGATCAGTGTCGCTGGCCAACTTGGCTGGAACGCGTGGAGTGCGTTGACTGTGGAAGAAGACGAACCGCTACAAGATCCGGATGCTCCCTCGATGTCGCCTTCTGTCATGTCTTGTTTGCGCCAAGTGTCTGAGATTCGCCGTGTGCCGAGTTCCTGTTCAATCGATCTGGCACCGTACGCCGGCCTTGCTCTGATCGCGGGTATCCTGTCTATCTGGTGGAACCCGAAATTGCGCCTGAAGGTGGAAGGACGAGGCGGTCGCTTCGTCGGACTCGGCGAATACTACCAGGTGCAGCTCATTGTCATGGTCGTACGATGCGCTTTCTGGGGCGTCCTGAGGGACCCGACGTCAAGTGGACTACCACTAGACCTGCCACCCACCTTGCATCTTTTCATGATCTTCTTTACTGTATTGGTAAGTTGATCGGACAGTGTTCTATGTGGGCCAATGTGCTAATGATGCTTCAGTCTGTTGTGGTCTCTCGGCGCATAGTGCGCTACGATACCCGCCCATTGGTAGTATGGACCGATGACACCCCCGCGCCCACACCAAACCGCAGAACCGAAGCGTCTCCTCCACCCAGTACAAGTAGCAGGCAGGCAGGATTTTCAACTCCAAGTTCCGATCTCCGGCAGCGCCCCTCTCGCTTTCCGCTGGAGAAGTTGGGCACGCCAAGGGCGACCACCCCGCGGGCGGCCCTGGAGGAACCACACGTTCTCACGCCACCTCCTGAATCAGACGACATGGACTGGACGCCTTCTGTGCAGCATCAAATTGCGCCCACTGTCAGCGTTCATCAGAGGGACCAAAAGTCCGTGCTCGATGGGCCGATGCCTTTCTACGGATCCGTGCCTGCTGCGCCGCAGCCACCCGCGTGGAACTTGCGCAACCAGCCCGCTCAACGCCCGAAACCCATCGAACAAGTTGTGGAGCGTAATCCATTCCACCGTACACCTACACAGTCCAGCCCGTGGCAACGAGGCCAGAGTAACTCAGATACCGTGTTTGCGCCGCCCAAGTTCTTCCCTCTGAGTGACCACGCTGCCACGACCGGTCTTGAGAGCCTTTTCGATCGAACCTTCACTATCAAGTCGCCTGAGGATGAAGAAGACAGCACCTGGCAGGCACGCCATCAGACATCGAACTCTCGATCTCGCAATACTACCGACTTGCACAGCTATTTTGTGTTCCAGTATCTCCGGCTGGGTCTGCTTCTTGTCTCCCTCGCTGCTTGGTTTCTCTCCCAGTATGAAAACTTTTCGATCCCTGGAAACTACGTCGAGGTTGCCTCCTTGGGTAGCGCTAGTCTGATTGCTGGCTTCGCTCTTTTGGAGGCTCTGAAGCAGCCTATTGTGCAGTGGAACGGCATGGAAATCCTTGTCTACTTCGCAGAACTTGTGGCAGCCGTTCATATCGGGGGGAATCTTCCGCGCGTCTCTTTTGAACGTCAATATTTCGACAGATACGGTCAATTGCTTTTGGTCTTTATGGCGGCCCAGGAGGCGTTGGGTCTACTATCTCTGTATAACATAGCTAGAGCTAGCAGCGCTGGCCAGCCACAACAGTCGGAGCATAGTGAGTCATCACATGGCCATGCCGCCGAGACCGCTCCTCCGACGGCGACCAACCGCCAGTCTCAGCTCCAATCGTTCAATTCTCAGGGCTCCGCGCCGCCTCTCTCCTTCTCCTCTACCGTCCCGAGTTCCAGCTTCTCAACGCAGTCACCCGAGCCATACTATTCACTCGCACCCTCTCCATACGACGGGGCCTTTAACAAGGATCACAGCTTCAGTCTCAAGTCTTTGAAAGGACACGAATCCGACGCCTCGGATTTCTATGATTGCGACTCGGACGCCGAGACCACCGTCACCACCGCGACCACCGCTACGAACAACACAATCCGAAACATCCGCTATGGACGGGCCGCTAGCGAGGCATTATTCTCGCCCAAACGGTCCGAGCTAGGTCCGGGGATCGGGGGATTAAGTCTTGACGACGGGCCCTCCTCCCGCCGAGTCACCCGCAGCCAGACGAAACTCCAGCGAGGGGACGGCTTGCGTCGGTTCCCGGCCCGGGGCCTGAAATAGCGGGCCTCTGCCTTGTTTTATTCTGTCATACTACTATCTTCGCATTTCGAGTGCACGTTTGAGCGCTTGCACTAGAGGAGTTGGGGTAGCCATTGCTTGTATCAGATTGTTCATACGCGGATCGCATCGTTGGTGGGATCGTATACCTTGGTCTAGGGATCTTTCTGTCTTTTCGGGTGTTTGGACTTTGTACATAGGAGGTGGAATTTACGAATCATGACCCCTACTTACCTCAACGATACGGGGTATCATTACCAACCACACTCTTTCCCTTCTCACACACACACACACATATAAACGACTTAGTCCAGGGCCAAACATGGCACTTCAAACTCATGAATCCCCGACCCAACCCTCTTCCTGTCCCCAGTCTCACCCGGCAACCGCACCGTGGCAAACGAATTCGGCGGGACCTGCACGACCAGCCGAAACCGGGCACTCGTCGCGGCAGGACTGCACGGACTCGTGCCCGACTCATGATCCTCCACCCACCACTTCGACACGATCTCCCCATACGGACTCACGAACCGAGTCGAGGCATTCCAGAGCCCGCCGCCGGGCACCACGGCCACGTTGAATGCCCGCCATCCGGGTTCCGCGGGGGTCAAGCCACCGATGACGGCATGGATCCAACTGCCGACGGAGCCGACGGAGTAGTGATTGAAGGAGGTCATGGTGCCGGAGTTGACGGTGCCGTTGGGGAGCATGCTGTCCCAGCGTTCCCAGGTGGTGGTGCCGTTCATGCGGACCTGGTAGAGCCAGGAGGGGAGGTCGGGTTGCAGGAGCATGCGGTAGAAGGTGGCGGAGGCGCCGTATTGGGAGAGGGTGTGGCCGAGGAGGTGGGTACCGGCGAAACCGGTGCCGACTTTGTAGGCGTTGGCGTGGATGAGGGCGACGAGGCGGGTGAGGGCGGAGGCGGCTTGGGACGGGGTGGGGAAGAGGGAGAAGGAGAGGGGGAGGGCGAGGCCGGTTTGGGTTTCGTTGGCGACGGTGCCGTTGGGGGAGAGCCAGGCGTGTTGGAAGGCGTGGGTGAGGGTGGTGTGGGCGTGGGTGTAGGTGGTGACTTGGGCGTCGAGGGAGAGGATGGCGGACATGTTGGCGAGGAGGTCGGTGCTGTGGATGAGGTAGGCGTCGGAGACGAGGTATTTGTTGGTGGTGGCATCGCCGGGGGAATCGGCGGGGGCTTTGGGGTCGAGCCAGTCGCCGAATTGCGAGGTGGAGCGGTTCCAGAGACCGACCTCGTTGCGGGAGACGCCTTTGTCGATCCAGTCTTGGGCGCCGGGGTATTGCTCGCGGAGCATGACTTTGTCGCCGTAGGTTTGGTAGAGTTGCCAGGGGACGGCGATGATGCTGTCGCCCCAGATCGAGGCGGGAGGGGCCTGGCCGAGGATGTTGGGGATCACGTAGGGAGGTGCGTCTGGGGGAATTAGTTGGGTGGGATGGGATGAAATGGGTCGGGGGACTGACAGGAGTTGTTCTGCTGCTCGGAGTAGGCATCCTTGAGCCAGCCTCGTAGAAAGCCGGCGGTGTCGTAGAGGAAGTTGGCCGTGCGGGAGAAGGCGTTGATGTCGCCGGTCCAGCCGAGCCGTTCGTCTCGCTGCGGACAGTCCGTGGGGATGCTCAGGAAGTTTCCCCGCATGCTCCAGAGGATGTTCTCGTGGAGTTTGCTGATGAGCGGATTCGAGCATTCGAAGAATCCCGTTCTCTCCATGTCGGTGTGCACCACGACGGCGGTGACTGAGTCCTGGTCAAGGGGCGTGGTTTCATCGGGCCAGCCATCGACTTGGACATAGCGGAACCCGTGAAACGTGAAAGAGGGTTCCCATTCCTGTACGTCGTCGCCAGCGAGCGTGAAGTGATCGGTTGCCTTGGCGTCTCTGAGGGGGCGGGTTGCGACCTCGCCGTTCTCCATCACTGCGAAGAGGTTAGCCAGATGGACTCGGGGGGGAAACAAGAGAAAGAGATTGCGCACCCTCGGTATGGAGGAACTTGATGGTCTGACCCCTGGGACCCTTCACACGGATCCGCAGCCACCCGACCAGGTTCTGACCGAAGTCCAGGACTGTCTTGCCCGAAGCGCTGAGAAAAACATTTTGAAGCTTGTGTTCTTCGACCCGTCGGACTGGGGGCGCATCCGGAGCAGCTAGTTTCTCCTTTGGAAACGGCACTTCATGCACTCCAAGCCAGCCGGTGCTGTTGAATCCCGGCTCTGCCCAGCCCTCCTGCTCCAATCGTGAGTCGTACCTCTCGCCATCATAGATTTCGGAGGTGATGATGGGGCCTGTGCCCGACTGCCAGGTGTTATCGGTGGGGATGTATGTCTTGGTACCGTCTGGCTGCGTGATGACGAGCAAGCTGAGCAAGCCAAGGGTGTCCCCATAGATATTGCGCCGTCCTCCTCCAAACCCTAGACGACCCGAATACCAGCCCTCGCCCACGGTGACGCCGATGGTGTTGGCCCCTGACTGCAACAGGTCCGTCACATCGTAGGTATTGTACTCATGACGATAGGGAAAGGACTGCCACCCGGGGGCCAGGACATGATCTCCGACACGATGCCCGTTTATGTGTGCTTCATACAGCCCCAGTGCGGTGATATAAAGTCGCGCAGAAGCGTGGGACTCGTCGAGCCGGAAGTCCTTGCGAAAGTAGATGGGTCGATGGGTCTGGTTGACCTCGGTCGGTCGGTCCGACGCGATGGCGGCGGCGCCGTGCCAGTCCTCCGGGCTCAATAATCCTGGCTCCACTGTAACCGCATCAGACCAGGGGGTATTGGGCTGACCCGGACGCCCGATTGATTGCACGCGAACCGTGGCCTCCTCCCCAGCTGTCAGCGGGGAGCTGGGCCAAGGGACAAGCACCGAGTCGGAGGAATTGACAGAAAAGATATCGGGGGCTTGTCCCGCTCGTTGGATCTCGAGGTTATAGGCGGTTTGCTCCCAATCCGACACGTTTCCTTGGAACCTCCAGGAGACCCGGGGACTCGACTCTCCGATGCCCAGAGCAGTGCGATGATGTTCGAAGAACACCTGAGAAATGGACAAAGCCATGGATGAGAATGGAAGCAGACTTCGGTTCTGGATCACCATGAGCATTTGCTGCGGTCCCTGGCATCAAGCGTCCTGAAATACCTTCGGTGTCCATTGAGCATCCTCTTCCTCCACCTGACGGTGTGGCCAGAGTCCCCGCAGACCAAGAACGCACCAGGCGGGCTCGGCTCTTGGCTGCGCTGGGAATATTGCTTGCATCGTCGAACATTACCCCGAGATCGCTGCCTCGTTCCACCGACCAGGGCCCATGGACAGCATCGGCAAGGACACCGGCAGCTCACTCGGCATCGGTAGCCGGCAGCAATCGATAGTTGGAAGTTCTGCGCCAGGGAAGACTGCGCATGGCAGGACCCTGATCGTCATTGCGGGGCGGGGTTTAATTTCGGTGTGAAGCATCCCCGAAATGAAGAATCTCATGGTTGGTTGGAGATGACATCGGGTGGTCCGGTCATGGGGCAACCCGCGCCTCTACACGTAGCATAGGTGTCTATACAGCAATCTATTATACATCGGCAACGGAAAGCCGGGCAGGGGTTTCACGAACCTCGTACTCTATACCCAACCAAGCTTAGTCGCAATGAACCGGGCAAGTTCCTCAATGGTGTCTGCGTCTTCCTCCGCCCCCAACTGTTCGTACAGGACCTCCTTCCACTGGGTTGGCTGGATCTCGTGAAGCTTACGCCCTTTCAGCGCTTCATGCGCGCGGACTGCCTGCTCCGAGGCTATAGACGAGTCGGGCGATATTGAAATGTGACTCTCAATAATCGCTCCATGTTTGAGACGAAGGAAAATGCGTGTCTGATCATAAGTCAGCTCGGTCGCCAAGGACGCTAGGACAGCGGGGATCTTACCGAGGGTGGCAAGGACAGTGGAAGCGCCGGTCGTTCGCGGGGGTCCTCCTCGACTGGATATGTCGAGAAGATGAATTGGGGCGTCTGAGTGTATTTCCACTCCAACGACTGTCCGATTCAACCTCACATCAGTACGGTCCACGGTCAGGAAGCCACCACGACAACTTACCCGTAATTCATCAATTCCCTTCTTGATCTCAGGCTCTTGGTAGCCTTCCGCTTCTCCCACGGCTCCGACTACCCAGTCATCACCCGCATATAGCTCCGGGTCATGGACGTAGGCACGCTGCGCGCGACGCACAGCATCTGGGCTAGTCTGGTACAGCCTTGCAAACTCCCCCATGATGTTAGCGATCACGTCTTGGATCCCAAACGGGACGGATGCATCGGCGAACACGGACGACACATTCGCCACGGGAGACCGCACACTCTCCACCCCCTTCGCCTTGATATAGTCCTGTGCTGGCGACCGTAGAAAAGAGCCGAGGCTATTAATGTTGGGCGAATCGAGCAGACAAGTGCCATGGTGAAGTGCCCGGTGTCTCGTCAGCTTGAAGGCGGAGCCAGAAATTTTTCGTGGTCGAGGGCTCTGTTCACCGGCGGACGCGCCGTCAAGGGACATGACAATATCGTGGCGATCATTGACGCTGGTGTTGGTGGCCCCGACGCGATGCAATGCGCGCACGACCATCTCCGCGTGCTTATCTCGCGTAAATGACGTCCGGGGAGAGATGACACTGTAGTTGAGGTTGCCCTCGTCGTGAAACACGGCGCCACCGCCAGAGCGTCGCCGGACGTAGAGCGCATTTTCGGAATCGTGATCCGCGACGTCGCGGTCATTGTGTAGCACTCGCAGGTTGGTCTCGAGCCATGGGTTCTGATTCCGCCCAATCACCACGCATGGCCGGTTGATATATAGGAAGAGAATGCTCGAGTCGGCTGGCGCATGCTCCAGAAGGAAGTGTTCGATGGAGAGGTTCACGTAGGGGTCAGAGGAAAGGGACTGGTAGATTTGGTGCTTGGAGGATTGGCGACTGGCGAGCTGAGCGAACTGGTTGGCGGAGAAGGAAGAATTCCACCGCACCGCGATGGGGCTTCGGTGCTGCGACAGCCAGTGGAAGGCATGGGAGGCTCGAAGGAAGCGACGTAATGCTGGCATGCTGACTGTGATTGAGAGAGAGAAAAAGAGAGGCAGTTCAACGCATACACACTAACTAATTGTACACTGGAAGGCCTGCAGAACCGGGCAGTAGTACATAGAATAGTACTAAGTTGCTCCGTAGCGCCCGGAGATCGGACTGGCCCTCGTGTCTCATTGGCCAATCACGCTGCTTGCCAACTGCCAAACCGCACGCGATCGCCGCCTCCAGACCTTCACTTTTCTCCCGCCCGCTCTGCCCCTCGCTTACTTTTCTCTCCTCTCCCCACGCCTCTCCCTGTCTTCTCATTCTCCCCCCTCCCAACTCCCCTTCTATCCTCTTGCGACTAGTCGCCCACCTCCCAAATCTCTCCTCTGAATTTCACACCAATTGACCGCCCGCCATGTCGACGTGGGGTGATTACTTCCGCGTCACCACGTACGTCCTCTTGAGTCATGCCATGCTACATTGGTGGACATCGCATACCACGCTTGTCCTCAGGCTAACCCGTCTGTTTTGCCTCCCCCCAGTTATGGTGAATCGCACTGCCGCTCCGTCGGCTGCATCGTCGATGGCTGCCCGCCAGGAATGGAGCTCACCGAAGACGACATCCAGCCCCAGATGACTCGAAGACGTCCTGGTCAGAGCGCTCTGACCACTCCTCGGAATGAGAAGGACCGCGTTGAGATCCAGTCGGGCACGGAGTTTGGAATTACCCTGGGCACTCCCATTGGCATGATGGTGCGCAACGAGGACCAGAGGCCCAAGGATTACGGCGGCAGCACAATGGACCTGTACCCCCGCCCCAGTCACGCCGACTTCACCTACCTCGAGAAGTACGGTGTCAAGGCCAGCAGCGGTGGTGGTCGCAGCAGTGCCCGTGAGACCATCGGTGAGTGAACGGCTTCCGATCGTCCCCAGACGAGTGTCGTTAACATAATCTGTTCCCCGCTTCCAGGCCGTGTCGCTGCCGGTGCCATCGCTGAAAAGTACCTTCGCCTGTCGCACGGCGTCGAGATCGTCGCCTTTGTCTCCTCCGTGGGCAACGAACACCTCTTCCCTCCGACTCCCGAGCACCCTACTGCCTCCACCAACCCTGAATACCTGAACCTGCTCAAGACCATCACCCGCACCACCGTCGACGAATTTGTCCCCACCCGCTGTCCGAACGCGGAGGCCGCCGCGCGCATGACCAAGGTGATTGAGCAGTTCCGTGACAACCACGACAGCATCGGCGGCACTGTGACCTGCGTGATCCGTAACGTCCCCGTTGGTCTGGGTGAGCCCTGCTTCGACAAGCTCGAGGCCAAGCTCGCCCACGCGATGCTCAGCATCCCTGCCACTAAGGGCTTCGAGATCGGCTCCGGTTTCGGCGGCTGCGAGGTTCCCGGCTCCATCCACAACGACCCCTTCGTCGTCACCGACGTTGAGACCCAGCTCGGCCCCAACACCACCACCAAGCAGCGCCTGACCACCAAGACCAACAACTCCGGTGGTATCCAGGGTGGTATCTCCAACGGCGCCGACATCTACTTCCGTATCGCGTTCAAGCCCCCGGCCACCATTGGCCAGGCCCAGACCACCGCCACCTACGACTTCGGCGAGGGTGTCCTTGAAGCCAAGGGTCGCCACGACCCCTGTGTCACTCCCCGCGCCGTCCCCATCGTCGAAGCCATGTCCGCCCTGGTCATCATGGACGCCCTCATGGCGCAGTACGCCCGCGAGAGCGCCAAGACCCTCCTGCCTCCGTTGCCCAAGACCGTGCCCACTCGTCCCACTCTGGGCGGTAACCACGCATAAGCTGCAAGCGCATGAGACTTTGGGTTCGGGAATAAAATATTTTGTTTTTTGTTTTGGGCACCATGCATGCGGGTTAGAATGCAGTGACGTCATGTCCTGTTTATGTTCATATTCATCCATGTTCCACATCTAATGACTTTCTATTGGCATACCACTTCTGGATGGGTGGTATAGATCTCGGGTTCAGTTCTACTAAAATCACGCTGGCGTTCCATGTCCGTCATGACATATATACACGAGCCTTCGTTTATCTTTCATGGTATCACGTAACTGTACCTTCTCGCTACGCTAACGATGGCCGAGCTCATCCAGTAACTAATACGAAACACAACACCAGCTACGCAAATTCTACTAGGGTTTTGGATCAACGTGATCATTCTCGTTTATTCCACTCGTAGCTCGTAAATCCACATTTCTTTCATCAACATCCATCGTCATCATCGTCATCATAATCTCAATCCAACCGCATAAGACAAGAAACGAAGGGAAGAACTTATGAACAAGATAGCAAGAACCAGCATGGGACGAGTGGAGTATCATATCAACAACCAGAAACCCAGAAACCCCGTATGTATGTATGTGGGTATGTATCAACGCAACTGAAACCGCCGCCACGGACACTTGTCGTGTTCCTTCACGCAAAACAGGTCACAAGAAAGGAAGAAAAGTAAGCACAGCTTACTTGGCAGCATCACTATTGCTTCTGCTGACAGACTTCTCGGAGAAGTTGTCTAGTTCGCCTGCTGTGGCGTTGACGACGCGGAGTTTCTCTTTGGGGACGGTGAAGGTTATCTGGACGCGGCGGCCTTCGGCAGCGCCTTCGACGTCCCAGTCCTCGTCACTATCTGGGCTGAGGTCTAGGAATCCGTGTAGAGCGGAGTCGTCTCGGGAGGATCGAGCCTGGGACTCCATGTTGCGTGAGAGTCGGTTTTCCGCACCCCAGTCTTTGGCTCCTTGTTTGCGTCGAAAGAGTTCGGCCGATGCACTCACGGAGCGGCGGGGGAGTCCGTAGCCTGAGGCGGGGGTGGGACTGAGGAGGGTGCTTCTGCGGTCAATGCCGGAGGCCAGAGGTGCCGTGATCGGGTCGGGGTCGGTTGTGGGGCGTCTTCGCGTCAGCGAGAGGACTCTGCGAACGTTGCTGCCGATCCAGTCGGATGTTCTTTGCTTCGGGAAGATGGTGGGCTTGGGGAAAAGGTCGAGCGGAGAGGACGACTCGGGATCCTCGCGGAGGAGATGCTCGCCTTCGGCTTGTCTCTGGGAGAGCGTGGTCGGAGCAGTGGAGTAGGAGTCAGAGGAGTAGCGTTTTTCGAATGAAAGTGCCGCACTGTTGGGTCGGCTTCGGGTTGGCTCCCGACTGAGGGCAGCCATAGAGGCCGCTTTCTGGGGTGACTGGCGCCCACTGCTTGGTTGGCTTGAGGGGTAGCTGAGATTGACTCCACGGAATTGATGGACCGACTTGGCCGACGTCGAAGAGTCGGAGAGGTTGGATGATGTCCGGTCGTCCTGGTCCGGGGAGGCCGGTAGGTCTCTATCGAAGCCGATCCCAGCTATATAGTCGGAAGGTCCAGCTGAGCCAGTCGTGAACGATTCTCCACACACGGTTGTGCTCAGAGGGGTCAGAAATGTTGACTCTCTCAGGATATCGATCGTTTCCTGCGTGACGACCCTCTCTGCATCCTTCGCTTCGTCTTCCTCACGCTCATCGATTGGGTGTATATCGCCAGTGGCGTCGCTTTTCCTGTACTCACTGTATTGCGTTGGAGGTCGATACATCCTCGCACTCAAGCCTGAACGGCCTGTGGTTGAGAGACTGGGGGCCTCTCCAAGCAAGCCAGTCCTTTCTGCGACTGTGTCCCCTTTATCGCGCCAGATAGATGACCGCCCAAATCCACGGTTGCCGGTCCAAGGGTAGTCATTGTCCACTGCGGCCTCTTCCATAGCGGGCTTGCGGATACTACTCGCCATGACAGGTTCATCCCGGCCCCAGAAGTGGGCTCTTTCAGCCCCTAAAGCTAGCTTGCGGAGCTCCCGGTCTCGCGTGCGGCGCTTTTGGCGCCTCCGCCAGAGGTAAAATATTAGGACGGCGACGCCCGCGACAACGGGGACACCGAGACCGACTCCAACTCCAACCCCAGTCTTCCATGTCGTCGACCCAGAGCCAGACGAGTGTCGCTGGATGGTGGTGGAACCGGGGTTTTGGTAGGACGAGACCCATTTCCCAGAAGTGACATTGTACAGGTAGACCTGCGTGTTGGGTTGGGATGGCGTGGCGGAACGTTTCGAGGTAGTTGAAGAGGATGACTGCGGGATGCTGTACCCACCAGCAACCATCATAATGCCGCCAGGTAGCATTGTTGCTCCATGTCCGTAAACTCCACTCGCTCCTGCAATTTCAGTATCCTCGGTAGACAGTATGCTCCAAGACCAGTCACCGGAGCCTCCGTAGCTCTCTCCTAGCTCTAATATAACTAGCTGCGGTTGAGCAGCGATGCTAGTATTCCCGACCCAGCCCCCGTACACGATGACCTTGGTCCCGTCCGGGGAAAGGACTGCCGTGTGTCCCGACCTCGGTTCGACCGTGGCAACTTCCCGCGCAGCGAGCTCGGTCTTGTAAGGAGGAGCAGATGTGGTTTCAACCGTCACGAAGCTCCAGCTGTTCTGGGGAAGAGAGAACACCGCAAGCTGCGACATGTTGATGAATGCCTCCTGGGTTTGGCCGCCGATCAGAAGGAAGTCCTGCTGCTGGCGCACCTCACCACTGGTTGAATATGCATAAGTGGCCTGCAATGGGGTGATCGTGAAGCCAGCCTCTGCAATTGGGGGGGCTCGATTGCCGGTGGTAGCGGCGTCATAAGAATCGGTCCTCCCGGATCCCGAGGGTTCAAGGACGATCATGGACTGTGAATAGTTGGCGGCAGCTATCCAATTGGTTTCCGAGGCATTCGAGAAAGGGCACATTCCCCCAAAGGCATAGATGGAGCTGTCGGAGGTATTGGTGGCCGAATACGCAAACCCCGCAGAGAGGTAATCCGGCCCACTCACGCTGGCGCTTGTACTGCTCTCCGCCACGGTGAGCTTCTCCCAGACTCCGTCGCCAATGGAGCTGTTGGTGTCCGGAGTAAACTGCCACACATCCGCTTTATCCAGAGCATCCCGGCAATCGCCTACAAAAATCTTAATCACTCCATGCTGATCGATAACAGGCACAAAAGCGGGCGATTGCTCATTAAGCTCAAACGGCAATGGGTCCATCAGAATATTGTAGCTCGGGCTTGCGGTATTGAGCTTTCCTGAAATATTCCAGGTGATAAACTCGGTCGAGGCATCCTGGCTAGTACCCGTGGTCTGCAGCAGGTAGGCAAAGGAGCCATTGCTGTTCAAGGAGTAGAGGAGCTGCGAAGGAGCATATGGGACTGCCGAGAACGCAGAACCGACCAGGAGCAGAAACAGAAGGAGTATTGACACCACAGGGGCACCAACAGCCCTGCGCATTGCGTGTGTTCGCGAGGGACATACATCCATGAGGGTCGGCGAGAGCTTCGAGGGGGGTCAACAGCAATACGGCGGTCTGAGACGAATGGCCATGCATCTAGAGAAGCCGTCGATCTTGGCTCGTGAACACGACTCAGAAGGCGCGTCTGGAGGCCAGACCGGCCGACATGAAAAGCCGTGGCGTTGAGAGCAGTCAGAACAAGGCAAATGGATTCCTTGAGGCCGATAGAGCAATCTCAAGCTAGAGACCGAGGTGCTGATGTGAGAAACTGGGATAAGTGATGAGATGATATTGACAGGGGAAATAATCGTCAACAGGCAGCATCCCAATCACGGCCGATCGGGCCCGATTCTAGACGATCTGGAGTCGCCGCATGGAAGATTTGAGATTAAGGCCATCGTCATGACTAGTGGACCCTCCCAAGCTTTGTCCAGTGTGAAGCGGAGTTTGGGATTGCTGAGGGGCGGCGACGACGATTGCGGGCGTCAACACGGGCGGTTGCGCTGGCAACCTGAAGGAGGCGAGGCACTGCATCGAAGCCGAATCCCTGCAGGAATTGGCCATTGATTGAGGGAGGGATGGATGAATGGATGATGCTGGTGGCCGTTGACGGGGGCTCTCTTATCGATAGCGACGAATGGAGACATCATTCTGATGGAACTGGAAGGGATAGTGACAGCGACAGTGAGTGAGTGACAGGTGCCCGTGGATGGCATGCAGCCCGACCATGTGGAGAAGGTGAAACACGGCGATCGTCTAGCTGGGCTGAGAAAATGACTACTAGCTTAACGGCTACAAGGGGCACCGCTGAGATGCGGAAGTCAGTATTCTCCGGGCCATGGTCAAACTGCAATCAATGGACATCCATTCCCTCTCCATGGACTTCATAGAGCATCAGCAACGGCATCAACATCAACATCAACATCAACATCAACATCAGCGCGGGTGGGGCCACTCAGGAACCTCATCTCGGTTGGCCTGCCAACTGCTGCGAGCCCGGAGCAACCAGGCCAAGGTTCTGCCATGATCATCTCTCCTGTTAATTAACAAACCAAGGTCTGAGAGGACGACTTTCATGTGAATGATTCCCAGGCATCCATCCGGTCTCCATCCTCGTGGGGCCCATGCGGGGCTCATCCTCGGCCGAACGAACCACCACCACCAACACCCATTCCACCACCGCCTTCCTCCCCTACTACTGACTCCATACTTGGACTCGAAATCAAGGTTCGGTGAGGCTGGCCTGACTGGCTTCCGGATCAAGGCTGCTGCTGATGCCGATGCTGATGCTGCAAGATCTATTTGGCCACCGTGAGTCAATGCGTCCTGTGCCAGTCCACATTGGACTGTCGCCCGGATCTTCACGGTCATCCTCGCGCTCAGACGCCCTCTCACTGGTCGCCAGCATCAACATTGTTTGATATACGACCAGACTGACTAGCCCTCAACGAGGTCAGGCCGATCTCCGTGGCGAGTTTCGCAACCCAACCTATGGATTACAGCTGATGCTCGTCGCGTCTCGATGCGTTAGACCCGCACAGGCCGTGTCCTGATAGGAGCCTGTCTCCTGACAGGCTTACCGGGTACAAAACAGTCCCTAGCCCATCTGCTACGCAAAGCAAACACATCCAAGACCCAGGGGTGGCGGCGAAGAGCACCGTGGGCCAATGAGATCATGGCTCGTACCCCCTGTTGCGGTTGGCGTTGAAGTTGGGATCAGCGACATTGCACCCTCCCTGCCGAAGCAGTTAGCATGCATGACCGATGCGATGGCTGTCTCGTGGGGGCCAATAGCAATACATGAAGGATAAGCAACGACCAGGGCGTTTCGGAAACACTCGGTTCGGGGTTTGGAGACGAGAATTCTATCGTGACCCGGGATTCTGCATCACCGTCCTGCAGCACCTGACCTCGTAGGCAACCTTCAGGTGTCTGAACGAGAATGACGTCTCCGAGCTCCTGCTTTGACGGGCATCTCTGCTTGGACGCCACGGGCCTCGCCAAGGGGAGTAGCACGCTAACTCTGGGTTTGCTGGATCAATAGCCTTTAAAGGTTTCAATGCAGCAACGTGCCTGTTGACTTGTACGTGGCTGGGGGCTTATTACCGTTATGCTATGGTAATGCCTATCACTTCATTTTCCGCGGTGAACTTAAGAGCTGCGAGTCGTATCGAGTACGCAGTCCTTGGGGTCTTATTGGGCCTCCTCGAGTCGACGCTGTATTTTACGTCGTGTTGTACACGAAGCTGCTCACAAACCCGCCCGCGTATAGGGAACTCGGTGTCGCAATGCATGTTCTCGGGTCGCATTCAGCATGCCTACTGGCTCTATGCACTTCCAAATGAAGAGTCGCCGTCCATCTATAGTGATAGACGTGCAATGTATCCCTGGGCACCACTACATTGGTACCTGCTTAACTTACATTAGGCTACAGCCTCCGCCGCATAAACCCAGTCCGGTTATGCAGCACAGCATTAGCCAATCAGATATGCTTATGACATGTAAGTGTCTTTTCCTGGTGTTGTGCCGTTCATCGGCCTCTCTGGGATGTGGGAACTCTCTTGCCGCGCGAATCGGAGGTTGACAGCACTGACTGAGCTGGCCAGTGCTAGATACTGTAGATAGCGTTCTCTGGCTAATGGCGCTATGTCGAGAGATACTCCGTACCGCTCTTGGGGCTGTACCACCCTGGTGTATTTACAGCGACTCGCCGATATCTATGGATGGCCGAGCTGCAAGCGAGGCAAACAACATTCATGATAGAGAGCTCGCTTGACCATCCAGCAGCTCACGACATATCATAGAGCTGCGCGATAAAGGTAGCTGGATATCTGGACGGCGCTGATCTCTCAATTGACACACCGAGAACGGCTGACCGACAGCTGCGCCGTGGCGCTGTCATCTGTGGATAGATTGCGACTTCAGCTCCGAGACCGAAACAGATAGCTCATGTCACCGTCTCCTCCGGGTAATTTCACCCCAGTCAAAAACCTAGTCAAGCCCATGGCTGAGTCCCCTGAGTCATCTAATACAATGCAACACTGACGGGGTCAGAAACCACTGCACCAACCGCAATACATCTTCCCGGATGGCGCAATCACCTAATAACAAGACCACCCCGGCATTAACGCCACAATGCACTCACTGATAGACCTACGGAGTGTCACCCCTGTCCTCCCAATGCATCCGGCCAGGATGCGTTACGCTAATTTACACCTGAGTTATAGCTCATGTATGGATTCGCCCAATCTTATCATTGCAACTTCCTATCTGGGTAATAAGCCTACTAGGTATCATATTCCTATAAATCCCGGACACCACACGCAGCTCCTAGCTAGGCGCATCGCATCCATGACCTACTAGTACGATCATGCGTTTTGAGTACTCCGTGCCGTCATCCCGAATAAGAGTGGCTTGATATAGGTTGGTAGGTAGAGTTGCAACCGACACGCCCGGGAAGCCATGTCTCATTTATGTCCGAGGCGGCTTCGTATCCGTCTGTGGTCTGATTGGTTCTGGCTGGGATTCACCCGGGAGAGTAATATGCAGGGGAGAAATCACTACAGTACGGAGGTTACTTTGTATTCATTTGAACTCAGGTGACTACTCTTCATATATATATTGTCTAGATTGAAGTTAATGATAGGATTCGACCCGGTGAAATAACGGACTGGTAAACTGGACAGTACTAGCCAGGGAAGGCATATTAGATGCGATGGGATCGGATGGGATGCTCCGCGACTAGCACACTACTATCCAGCTTCTCTACTCCGCACAGGGGACAGTGGATTGATAATCAGGGTACTGTATCTATACAGTCTACAACCGTATCCTTTACCTTTTTACACTGTGTCCAATTTAGCTACATACCTCTAAACCACGCACCTGCAATCAACCTAGTTAATTTACCTAACTACCTACCTGACCAGACATAACCCCCACCTCATTCCACCGTGACCCAGGCACCTAGATAACCTAGCCAGTTAGAATATATCCCGTACGGTAAACCAGGTATCATCCAGCCAACAGTTCTGTAAATCCTATGCCCGCAACACTCAGCATCCAATCCGGCGAAAGGCAGGCTAGCACACAGAGGGGACTAAAAAGCTTGGTTGCGGGCCAGACGACCAGTTAGTCGTGTTGGAGTGTATGCAAGATACTCGATTAGGGATTGTCGTGGTGAGACTTGGGACGGGTGGGTTGGTTGTACGGAGTACGACCTACCTATCTACCTGTGGATATTGTTGTGGGTGGGAGGTGGGTGTTTGTTTGGATTGGTGGGGTGGTTAATATACAACTTTACGAAAAGCAGCCCCCCCCCCCAAAAAAGAGAGAGAGAAGTGAATAAAAAGAGATATCGATGCCTTGCAGAAACTGAAAGGTAGATGGGAAAAATGCAAAAAGATAGATGTAATTGGCGCTGCCCGGAATCGAACCGGGGCTGGCACGGCCACAACGTGACGTCATACCACTAGACCACAGCACCTGTTGTTGTGTTAAGATGGTCGCATGTTTACTATATAAGATGCTAAAATGTAGATTGCTCATCCAGGTTAGCTTGTGGGAGACTACGACTATCTCGTCCTAGAGGTAAGCTAAGCGTGATGTTGCGTAACAATACAGTTGGTCTTCTATATTGCGGGGTCGTGATGAAGGTCCGAGTCTCGGTCTTGGTTATCGGACTGGAATTGACTCCGACATGCCTTGGATAGCTTATTGCGTGTGGATTACCGTCACTAGCCGGTCTTGTGTATATATCTCCAGGGGTCCGAGAACAGCAGGTACGGGTTGATGGCACAACTGTCGTATACCACGGTGTCCACACGTGCACCATCCCCTGGCCCGTATATGCCAGCCCAGTCGCACAAGAACAAAGACGGTTAATAGTCGATGGTTGCACGACAGGACATCTTCACACAGCGTACCCTATTATGGAAAGAGTCCAGGTGATAGAGCATCGCTCACAACCCCCACGCCTGGAAAGTACCGTAAGATTCGGAGTACCCTAAGAGACATGCAAGTCTCAGCTTCAATTTAATTATCCAAGTAATCCGCAAATGAAGCCTGAGCCAGTATGCACATGTCCATATAAATCATAACTCCGGTCAAATATCGAAAAGACACCGTCTTGGCATTGGCATGGGACCACAACCGACGCATAAGGACATATCCAGTAAGTAGACATGCGAGGCCGGCATGGTCGCGCCGATCCAGCTGGACATGACACTGGAGATCCATGGGGTAGATATCGACCTGCGCATCCATCAGCCACGAGATCGACAGACATATGCATTGCTTTCATACGTCCTAGCCTCCCACAGCCGTGCGAATACCCACTGCAACGGCTTCAAGAGCCAACATAGGTCAGAGCTGTCACGTAGAGGATCATGTACCCCGCGCTGACGGTAGTCGAAGCCTGGAGAACGGGCTAACAGCTGCATCCCATCCCCACTCAGATCAATAACCGAAAGATACGGAGCGCAACGCCCACTATCCACGAGGCATGGTTTCAGACTGTAGAAGAGTAGGAGCCGAACCCCCGTCGCGGGATATAGCACGATAATCCTTCCGGCCGTTTAGTAAACTACCCCTCACTGTCAAAAACGCGACGCCGGGACGCTAGACATCTAGCAAGATGGGAATAGGTAGACGTAGATCGCTGCACCGGTCTAGCGCATTGGTAGGTGTCAAAGTGCTCAACCAGGCACGGATTCGGCGGGAGCACCCTCAACCCATCAACCGCACTGGATACCCCCATAGGGCGGCGCGCATGGTGTATATGACATGCCAAGAAATGGTATGTCTATTCAGTTCCGAAAAATCCTCGCACCACACCCATTAGACTCTCAGAGATACTCAGGGCGTCTAATGTATGTGGCATACCAGCGTTGGGCCCCGATGACGTCAGTAACGGGCCAATGACCAAATGGAATCACAGGAGCCCGATGAGAATGCAAGAATGCAGATGCATGCCTGTCGTAGTGCGCCCCGGGGTCCAATAGGGTGGCCCAGAGGATTCTGGGCTAGTTTATTCTGAGACCAGACTAATCTGAGGTATCTGGAGAATGTCGACTGCGCCCAGTGGTCGGCCCAAGCATTCCCCTCCCGCCTCGGTCATAGCAATCCGCTGTAGAGTCCTGGCTGGCCACGGACCAACAACTTAAGGCTGCCACCCTGTTAGACTTCCATGGCAAGAAAAGGCAGGCGTCTTCTTCACCCCATACACCAGCAGGATCTTCACAATGCAAGAAAGGTGCGATCAATCCACCAGAATGGGTTCCATGTCAGGCGGGAGGGAGAAGGCGGATTGCCGCTAAAGCAGCCACTCCTCGTGGAGCGAATCAGGCTGCTATGCATGAGCAAATCAGAGGCAGGTAATCATCGACATCTCCCGCCTCTAATGGACGAACAATGTTAATTTGCGCACTGGTTGGAGATGCTCCTGCACGGGAGCCGGGCCACCCTACAGGCATGGCTCCAAAGGCCGTGCGCCCGTCTTTGGGCCGTCTGTATAGAATCGAACCCTGGAAGGGATAACCAGCGGTTCCAGACCCAGGGTTACCGGCCAGAAACACCCAAATTAAAGACCGACCGAGACCTTGCACCGGGGTGGAGCAACCGGTTCTCGCTGGGTGGATGGAAATTCTTTTTGATGGTCCTCCGGCGCTTTTCGACGAGATTCTCTGCCTGCGCCGGCCTCGCTCTTGCCTCTTCGGGCAAGTACCCAACAGCGGTTCTCCAGCATGAAGTAAAATATTCGTGTGGCTGCGAGCTTGGGTTCGGGGAGAAACACAGACCCCATCGCCCAAGCTCATCGCGCCGAGCTAAAATAGGGACGCGGCCTGTCGATTGGAGGGTGAAGCCGCAGTCAAACATTATCGACTACTAGTAATACAGGAGGCAGACGGACCGTGGCCTATCGGGGCTCAGACGGGGTGCCAGGGAAGCATGGGTGCTCAAGTGTCGGTCGATCAGAATTACATGGTAGTCAGTGCCGCTCGGCCATCATGAATTAATGATGGCTCAGTCCGCGGAGTCTGGAGGACGGGATCGGACTGGAAGATACTAGAACGGATTTCTCCGTCGAACTAGAATCGACGGGCGACGGGAGGATGGGGCGGTACTGGGAAGAGAGTTGAGGATAGACCTCCTGGGACCCACGGAACAACAGATCCAGATCGATGCCGGACTCGCTGGCTGGCCGCTGCTGACAGGTGTCAGTGACGACACAGATTACCGCCTCGATAAGTTCGATATCGATAGGGAATAGGGAGTTAAAATGTCGAACTAATGATGGCGTAGATATTAGATAGATAGATAGTTGTACTAGGTATCGCAGTGGGCCAAGGATGGACGAAACCATGATCAATCGGGTTGAGTCGCACGAAGGATTCGTTCAGGCACGACGAACATCCGCGATAGGAGGACGGGAACAGCAAGGGGCGGGGGGCAAAACCACCCATGACTCGCTGACAATAAAATGGCCGGAGAAAAAGTCCCCTACGTAAGACGGGCCTGCGACACTAGAGAACTGCGTTGGATGTCGATGGAACGCCTTTTTTTCTTTTAGAGTTCTTTCTTGTGTGTAAGCCAAATTAAAATTGTATTGTGCTTTTTTGGTTTTTCGTGTCTTTATCTTGCGATCACGGGGGTCCAGGTATTCTGCCTGCCTACACTGTAAGAAAAGAATCCAATGCAGTGGGAAAGATAGTCAAGGTAGACAGACACCCTCCCAAGTGACAAGGATGAAGCTAAGGTGGAATTCAGCCTAAGATGCACCCTCCATTTTGCCCCCTCCCGATGGAGATAGTAGATAGGACTAAGTAGCTAAAGAGGATCCTCTCCTCTCCCGTTGCCGGCATGGACACTAAGTGGTGCCCATGGGATGGAGGGTCCCAACCACACTGCCAAGGAAGCCCGGATGGCCGGCCGAGATGGCTTGTCACGGCATGGCCGTCCACTCACTGCGCTGTGACTACCAGCTATAATGACCACAGTATAATGAGAAGAAGAATAAGATTGACAAGATGACATCTGATTATCCAGGTCATTGATTGATTATCTGTCAGGTACTAGGGGATTGTCGATGAATTCCATTATGATGCTAGTAGTGGTGGACTCAGCAAGCGTCTCAAGTCTCCGTCTCAACCTCCCCCACCGGCCGGGCTATTGGATTGGATCCAGAATCTCCCTTCCCTACGTACCGGCGGCCTCGACGACCGACGTCGGTACGCCGTACGGTACCTCTGTAGTATTTTCTGGGAATTTCTGGGCCCCCGTCATTACTTTGCTTCTCGACCCCAGTTATGACTCCCCTCGGGTATTGTAAACCGCCGTATCTCCCTCCTCCCCCAAGGGACTCGCTGCGCTGTTCGCTGGCCAGATTATTGCTACTATTTCCCCCCTCCTTCCCATCGCCCATCGCCCATCGCCCATCACCCATCGCCCAGTCCCCCCAGTCCCTCCCGCCTGACAAAAGACTGCCTGACCCTCTGCCGCCCGCCGCCGTGAACAACACCACCACCACCCTGGGCTACTCTCTCCTCCATTATTCATTACGAACCACCACCATCACATCGTTTTCTCCCTCCTCTCCCTCCTCTTCCTCCCCCATCTCTCTGTCCCTTATCCTGTCAACACCACCGACCACTTAATTCCTCCCCCTCTCCTCTTCTTTTTTTCCCCTTCTCTCCAGTTCTCCGTTTCTTCCTTGCTTTTTCATCTTCTTCTCTCCAAGACCGACGGATAACTACCCCTCCTTTTTTAACCTCTTTTAATTCATTCCATCATCGCCAGTATAATTATTTGCCCTCTTTCTTCACGACTGCGGACGGGAACCCCCTCACTATATACCGGATATTACACCATCGTGTCTTTCTGTTACTATACTTAGACACTGTCTTGGCCTTTGGTCCAACCCCATTCTCAAGGATCTCTTCTCCGACCGATCTGCGAACATCTCCGATTTCAAATCAGTTCCCTCCTCTGATCACCGGGCGCATCAATCGACCATTCACTGCATCCTGGCGCTGTAGCAGGTCGGTCGCTCAAATCTTCTTCCTGCTACCACCGTTGTCCGGTACACGGTTTCTCCCCAGGTCGACCTGCATGGCTGTTATTGCTCTTCTCCGAGTCGACCTCCGAGAGTAATGCCGATCCACTCGTGCGCATACACAGAGCTTCACGTCAGCTCGCCCTGAATTGAGTGATTCTATGGGAAGTCCCGCAGGTGGGGAGAAGGAATTCTATAATACGCACCGGGGCGTAGACGGTGGATATACGAACAGACTCGAGAAGGAGAGGATGCGCAGTTGCAACTCGGAGAGACTTCGCTGAATCAAAGATATGAAAATGGACCGTCCCCCGTCAGTTCCTGGCTTGGAGGAACCCATCAGTTTGGCTGCTCGAAATGGCCAGACGTTAGACCATGTGCGCCGGCGAAGTTCGGACAAGTCTATCGAGGATCTCTCGTCATCGGCGCCAACGGAGGCAGATCTGAAGCAGACTGTCACAAAGCCACCGAATGCGAAACTCCCCTTGCCAAACGATTTCACAGATGGCCCAACCTCTCTTCGACACCCATTTCCCCATCTATACCATTCCTCCAGTACCTCGAGGTCACCCTCGACCCGCACTTCTTCGAGCTCCCTTCAAGCATTGAACGAAGACATTGTCGTCGATGCTCGGTCGGATCATAGCGCTCTTGGCCGGAGCTCCATCTCCTCTCGGAGAATCTCCCATCTGGGCCACTCCGAGACTCACGCTGCAGACTACCCCGTCTATCCGGACCAGTCTTACGCCGTCCTCCAGTCTCAGATCCACCCCACCTACCAACCTCCATTCCTTCGCTCCCGCAGTTCTTACCCGTCACGGACCGAGGCGGCCAAGTTTGCGCCGTCGCGTCCTTCACGTACGGCGGGAAATACTCCCCTGTCCAGCCCGGGCCTGTTTTCTATCAGAAGTCCTCGCTCGACGCCCCCATTTGGATCTGACGATGAGGGCCGCATTAGTAGTCCTTATCTTCACCCGACGCACCTCCAGCCCCCTAAAGAGTAAGTCAGAAGCCAACTTCTACCCCATCAACCTCCCTTGTGCCTCCAAGTATCATCAAATCTCTGACTAAGCATCTTCGCGATAGGACTCATACCGCTGAGGTGGATCGAGATCTTGTGACAGGAAACAAGCTAATCAACCAGTATGAGATCCTCGAGGAGCTCGGGCGCGGTGAACACGGGAAGGTGAAGCTCGGCCGCCATGTTACGACCCGGCAAAAGGTTGCGATCAAGATCGTTCAGCGGTACTCTAAGCGTCGTCGTCTCGGAAAACTTGGGAATCCCGAGGATAAGGTTAAGAAGGAAGTCGCCATTTTGAAGAAGGCACGGCACCCCAACGTGGTCAGTCTGCTGGAGGTCATCGATGATCCAAATCGCCAAAAGGTCTACATAGTCCTCGAGTATGTCGAGAATGGAGAAATCATCTGGCGCAAGAGAGGGCTGCGGGAGATCGTGCACGTCGATAAGCGCCGGCTGGAGCGTGAAAAGATGGGCATTCCCGACACACCCTCGTTCCTGGAGGAAAGCCAACAGTATGTGAGGACTGCTCAGCATCTCCGTCGCCAGCGCGAGAAGGCACGTGAACGACGCCAAGCGCAGGCAGCGTTTGCACAAGAAGCTCCGATTCCTGCCTGGAGTCTGGAGCATGGTGCAGAGTCAGATGACGAGGACGTCGAACCCGAAGGCATCGTTGCGCGCATCCCTAGTCGCTCCATGAGGAGTAACGATGATGCCTACTCCTCTCCAAGCCATTCCTATGCGTCAGGCCACGAATCCGCACTGGCTGCCGTGGAAGGTAGCATGTATGGTGCCTATGCAGATTACCCGTTCGAAAGACGGTTCAGTACCGCGTCAAGCAGCTTTGGCCATCCTCCTTCCGAACCAGAATGGCTCAATGATGACGACGATATGTCTTATGTGCCTTGCTTGACTTTCAACGAAGCGCGTAACGCCTTTCGAGACTCGTTGCTCGGCCTTGAATATCTTCATTACCAGGGCATCATCCATCGTGACATCAAACCTGCGAACCTTCTGCTCACCAGCAACTATCGGGTGAAGATCTCGGATTTTGGTGTGTCGTACTTGGGGCGACCCATCAGAGATGAGGAAGAAGAGCAGGTGGAGGAGACGGATGCTACCGAGCTGGATGATGCTCGCGAGCTGTCCAAAACGGTCGGGACGCCAGCCTTCTATGCCCCTGAGTTGTGCTATACGGGCGAGGATTTTGTGGATTCCCTTGGCGCAGCCCCTCGGATCACCGGCGCTATTGATGTTTGGTCTCTTGGTGTAACCCTCTATGGTATGATCTTCGGGCGCCTACCATTCGTGTCCGACGACGAATACAGCATGTTCCAGACGATTGTGAAAAAGGAAGTCTTCATCCCGCGAAAGCGATTACAGCCCGTGGAAGACGACCCCGAAACCGCAAGTCAATGGCCTCGCTATGGCGACAGCAGCAAGCGGATGGAAGATGAGCTGGTATATGAGGACATCGACGACGAACTATATGATCTGCTCAAGCGGCTGTTGACAAAGGACCCGGTGAAACGTATCACCGTGAAGGAGATCAAGCACCATCCTTGGGTTCTGCATGGCCTTCCTAACCCTAGAGCGTGGGTGGAAGAGACCGACCCGGGCTATCAGAGCAAGGGGAAGCGGATTGAGGTATCTACGGAAGAGGTGACCACCGCCGTCAGCAAAGTACCGTTCATCCAGCGCGTGAGATCCAATGTTGCCAAGTGGTCCAACTACCTGACCGGAAGGTCTAAAGAAAAGGATGGTCGCAAACGGACTCCCAGCAATGCTCCGTCAGTTGACTCATCATCAACTACGAGCAGCACTGCTTTCGGGAAGTATCTATGGGAGAACCGGCGGCATAGCCTTCGAGGGGATGAGGAGTTTCCGCGTTCCCTCCGATTGCCTAGGGAGGGGGAGCACCCTCTTTCGCAGAGTGTTACTGCAAGTCCCGTGGGCCATGATGATCAGACCAGTTACTTCGTCCAGCCTGAGTCCGTCCCATCGCACGACCAGACCCCGCGCCCCGACCCCCCGGAACGTGCAACGTCCACGTTGTCCACTGCCGAATCCGCAAGGACCGTGAAGCCATCCGATCACAAGAAACTACCAGCACCGCAGCGTTCTGGTACCACTGTCCGTGTGGAAACGCCTGGGACTACGAACGTCGGTGGCCTTTTTGGCGGCGCGAGCCGCCGGCTTGCGCGGGGCCTTCAGCCTGGGGAATGGCGCTCCGACCGGTCTATCTCTGGTGAGACCGTATCTCTGGATGGTGACCATCACTCCGAGCCCAGTTTGGCCTTGAGTGTCGCGTCCGCTGTGGGCCAAATGCAGCATTGCAACTTGCTTTCGAACGAGGAACCGTTATTGACTCCTCCGGACAGCTCCCTCTCAGGAGCTTCGAGCCATCGGCGAAACCGGTCACACCAGCTTCCAGGCAAGCATTCCACCGAGCAATTTCATCTTACCAAGGAGGCATTGCTACGGAAGAGGCGGAGCGAGATTGGGCCGATTGTTAATGGAGATTATATCTCCCGAGGAGAGAACGAGGCGTGTCATGGTGACTTTTTGAGTCCGCGGGTTGAGATTCACCCGCAAGCCTCGGACTCACCGAATGACCACTCGGCCAGTGATCCTGTTGCGAGCGGACTGACGACGTCACCTCCGTCAGCTGCTACTATCTCTTCGTCTTCGATTGACGAATATACCAGCGGCATGTCCCAGAGCACCTCTCACCCCAGTATTCCGTCCGTGGTCTCAGGCGCCTCCTCTTTCTCTGGCGAGGCAGGATTCAAGGACAAGGATGCCGAAGCAGCGGGTCAGGTTCCTTCCATCCTTCGTACTGGCGAAACCGTCAAGGAGCGGCGTCTCAGTCCCTCGCGCCCGGCAGAAGATGACGAATGTCGCTACTATTGCGATGACGAAGATGATTCCGAGGACGACTCTGAAGACGAAGGCCTTGTTATCGGCAAAAAGAGGGCAACCCCTCAGAAGCCAATAATTCGTCCGGGACAGTCGAAGTCATGATCCAACGTACGCTTGCCGTGTCTGGGTGCCTCTCGTAGCCATGCAGGCAGGGGACATCAAAAGTTTCCTTCACCGTTACATGATGTTGCGTTTGTTTCTCTTACCTATCATGGCACCAATACCACCCACCGTCTTCATCTGCGATGCACAGGAGCGGTTATACGGCTTTTCATTGCTTTTCTTTCCCCTCGGGGGGCTCTAATTCTTGCGTGTATATCATTTATTCCATTGCTGGAGGGGGGAGTTCCTTTTGCTTCTCCGCCCCCTCCCCCCTTTCATTCGTTCCGGCTTGTTGCGTCCCTTTGCTGGCATACAGGGAACTTCCTCAGGGTTCCACATCCGTTGAGATACGGATACATTGCTTGTACATATATTTGCATTGGCGGCACGTTCATATTCGGCCTTGTTGTTTCTGGTTCCCGTTGCTCTGATTGCTTGCATGCGGATGACGCCGGGGTTCATCCTTGCTGGTCCTTGCTTTCCTTCTGCGTCTATATATATCGGGTCTGTTGGATGCATTGGGTTTGGGGTCTGTGATTTCCTGTATGTAATGTTGCTTTGGGAGAGGATCAGGATATACACCGCACCTGCTTTTTGGTTTCTCTTGGATAGCTGGTGGCAGCGCGGATGGTGTCTGGTTTTGCTGGGTGGATTGGGCATGGGATTGACATGATGTGGATGACCACGGGGCGAGAGAGGGAGAAAGAGAGAGAGAGAGTCGGAGACGAAGCTGAAGAGAACAACAATACAGAGAGCGACTCATCCCACGAAATCCTGGGTGTGCCTGTGCCGTGTCCCCTCGGCAATCCATACTCCATGCGGCCGTGCCATGGAAAAGCGGGTCACCAGAGACCCAAGACCCCTGGGAGAAAGGAAGTTCTGGTGAAACCGACCGAGCAGAGGACGAGTCAGTCAGTCCGTCAGTAGGAGAGGGCCCGAGAGCGTCTCTTAGATCAATTCTTGCCGGAGAGTCCCGACCTCTCCCCACCACTGCTTCATTCCCTTGGAGGTGCCGTATGACACGATGACTCTCTATCTCTAGACTCTTATACTACTACTCTTCTGCCCGAGGCCCCGAGCATCGAACCCCGGCGGGTGGAGTGGCTCCTCGCTTAGCGGTCTGGAGAAGGAATTGCGGTACGTAAAAGAGGAGCCCAGGCTCGGGCTCGGACGTGCCACCGGCTGATCTGCACAGACGGTGTCAGGTTCCTCCACCAATGGCTCGAGCACATTGAAACACTTGCTGTCTCGTGATAGTGGCCTGACGGTCATTGCCGTCCTGCGTTGATTAAAAAGCGTGGAGAACTCCGGTGGTGTTTAATCTACATGGGCCGACGACCTTCTTGTCCCGTCTCCGTGCCATATCCAGAACAGACCCGGTGGACATGGCTCCAAGGGGCCAGCAGACGCCCATAAAGCGTGCAGCGGAGGCCGGCTGCGGTCTGCTCTGGTGCTTCATCAGCTTGCGGTTGTTCCTCGATCGTTGCCTACGGTCCTCAGGATGCTCTACTCTCTCCTTCTCGCCTCGTTGCCGCTCCTTGGCAGCGCCGCCCTGACCTATCGCGGGGCGGATATCTCGTCTCTGCTGATCGAGGAAGACGCCGGAATCAGCTACAAGAACTTGGACGGCGACACCCAGGCGCTGGAGACCATCTTGGCCAACAATGGGGTCAACTCGATCCGACAGCGCCTGTGGGTGAACCCCAGCGATGGATCCTATGATCTCGACTACAACCTGGAGCTGGCCAAGCGTGTCCAGGCCGCGGGCCTGAGTATTTACTTGGATTTGCATCTGAGTGATACCTGGGCAGACCCAAGTGACCAGGTAAGTCCCCCACCCTGTCGAGGGACAGCGCAGGAGACTGAACACTGACCCGGGGGAGTAGACTACCCCTACCGGCTGGTCAACCACGGATATCGACACGCTCACCTGGCAGCTGTACAACTACACGCTCGAGGTCTGCAATACGTTCGCCGCGAATGATATCGACCTGGAGATTGTCTCCATTGGCAACGAGATCACGAGCGGACTCCTCTGGCCTCTGGGAAAGACTCCCAACTATGACAACATCGCCAAGTTGCTGCACTCGGGAGCGTGGGGTGTGAAGGACTCGGACCAGACCACCACCCCCAAGATCATGATTCATCTGGACAATGGTTGGGACTGGGAGGAACAAGAATACTTCTACAGCACCGTCCTCGCCACGGGCTCGCTGCTGTCGTCGGACTTCGACCTGATGGGCGTCTCGTACTACCCCTTCTACAGCTCGAGTGCGAGCCTGTCGGCGCTGCAGACCAGCCTGAGCAACATGCAATCGACCTATTCCAAGCCGGTGGTGGTGGTGGAGACAAACTGGCCGGTGTCGTGCCCGGACCCGGCGTACGCGTTCCCCTCAGATCTGAGTTCGATTCCTTTCTCGGCCGCGGGACAGGAGGAGTTCCTGGAGAAGCTGGCCGATGTGGTGGAGGGCGTCACCGATGGCCTGGGCATTTATTATTGGGAGCCGGCCTGGGTGGACAATGCGGGCTTGGGGTCCAGCTGCGCGGACAACCTGATGGTGGATGTGAATACCGATGAGGTGTTGGAGAGCGTCACTGTGTTTGAAGACCTGTGAAGTCGGTGCCCCAGAATCTGTATAACGGTAGTGTATTTTAGCGTGCGTGTGTACATCTGAACTCGATTGGTCTCCAAAGTCTCCAGCATTGTATTTCCCTGTAGCCGAAGCCGCGAGGAAGCTGTCAGATAGGATCCGGTTGGAAAAAGGTCGACCCATCAAGAAAGAAACTACCGGGCCGCGCAGGTGTCGCAGGCTCGCAGCGTGGGGGAACCATGGGCTGGCCGTCCGCTGGGTGGCTGTGCACCAGCGATCCGATGCTTAGTCGCGCCCGGATTCAGGCCAGGATCAGCGATTTGACGAGCCAATCCCACCACAGCTAATCAGGGCAGGAAATTAAAAAGCACAGAAAACTGACGAGACACAAAAACAGGGGGTGAGGCTGACTCGAGAGGGCTCGCTGGGTCAGGGATAGGGAAGACTGCCCTTGGAGAATCCCCATCGTCTGGACGCACGGGGATTGGAGGGGGAGGAAATGGTCGCACAATCGGGAATACGAGGATCGGGAATTAGAACCCCTAATAATCTAATTATGACTTCCGCTGCTGCTCCGACCCGCGGGATGCTGGGGAAAGGGAAATGGTGACAGATTCATGAGTTCCTGGATGGGATGGATGCTGGCTGCGCAGCGGATTAGGGCATGGCGCTGGCCATCAGTGCTGCAGCCGGTCAAGTCATGATTGAACCTGATGCTTCGTACTTTTTTTTTTTTTTTTTTTTTTGCTCTTGCACAGCTATTTTTATCCCATCTCCTGCCCGATTAGATCATCCTCGCTCATTGGCACTGGGTTTGGGTTTGGGCTGCTGCTCCCCCTTCGATGATGGATCACCCTATGAAGATGGGGATGGAGGGATTCTACGTCAACGGTTTCCGTTTCACCTGTCCAATCTTCCCGAGTCCCAGGCCCCCTTTCATCCTGAAAACACTTTCACGGTGGATCCTGCAGTCTGCCTTGTCAGATACTGGCCGATCAACCGCGGCGACAGGGACCGACCCTCAGGACCGACCTCTGTATCGCTTGCTTGCCAATGGGGGAGCATCATGCGGGAGGCTATTATTATTCCCTCCGTACCAAGGGGGAAACCTCCCTGCTGGGTATCTAGGCAGTCTCCAATGGGGGCAATCTCTAATAAATAGGCGTAGAGAGAAGGCACTTTCTGGTCATCGTAGGATTGGAGGATCTCAGGCGATTCGACCGCACGTGCCGGGGAGAATCAGGCATCCAGGCGCCGTCGTCGGACTTCGACTTTCTCTTCATCTCATCAACAGCTGCTGCATCATTTCTCCCTCTCTTCATCGTCCCTTTTCTTCTCACCCCCCTCACTTCCAGTCATATCTGCATTCTCGTCCTCTCTGGCTAGCGGCTGAGGATCGACCTCCCCGGCATATTCCCCGGCGCTTCTGGCGCCCGAGAATGTGAAACGATCCCCCCCTCCAGACCGACCGCTGATGCTTGCGCCACGAGGCTGAATTGCAAGGCCGTCTCTTCTGTTGCTGCTTGCTGCTTTCTGCTCTCGCTCTTCCCCTCAGCTTCCCCCCCCCCCCCTACCTTTCCCTTACCCGGTTGCTCGTGTTCGCCTTCTTGCACGCGAATGACAGTTCGAGTTCCGATTTAGTCACCATTGCGTACCTGAACTCCTCGTGCCCGATTCCTGCTGCTGCTGCTGCTGCTCCTCCTTCCCCTCTCTCCGCGTCCTCCCAACGATTCCCCCCCCCCTTCGGCACGTCTCACTCGCGCTTCCCCGCGTCCCATCAGTTCCTTCGTTGGTTGTCAGATTGACGAAACCTTGCATTCACTTGCCCTCAGCCTTGCGTCGCGTGGGATCTATTTTGGGAAACCTCTCTCATCATGGCCTCCCAGGAGACCCTCCAGGACTCGGGGCAATCTCCGGCTGGGATGCAGAGCCGCAGCGTCAGCCCTTATAACGATCCCTCCTCCACCGGCTTGACCTTGGACGTGTCGGTGGCGACGACCACGACTCCTTATACCACGGCTTCCTACAACCTCTCCCATCCTGGCACCTCCGATTCCTACGGCTACAACCCCGCGGGTTATCTCTCCGCACCCTCCGCCGCGCAGACGTTGGGCCCGACCGACCCGACTTACTCGCACGGCCTGCAGCTGCCACAATCCTTCGATGCTGGCTTGGTCCCCCAAATGGACCAGCAGCCACCCTCGGACGAGAACTTCTCCAATCTGTTGAATTCGAACCCATCCGAGTTCGACTTTGCCCTCTACCAGAACCCCAGCCCCAACAGCACGGCGGCCCCGGACTACGACTCCCCGCTGCTGCTCGATCCCCAGGTTCACGGCCAGCCCCGACCGGGCACCCAAGCCATCAACCCAGCCGACCTCATCAGCCAGATCCCCTCGCCTCACCCCTCGGCGTCGCCGCAGATGTCCCCCATCTCCCCCCAAGATCACTACCACCACTCCTCGCCGGGGCCTCTGTCGCCGCCCAGCTCGACCCCGGGGACCTACTACACCCCGCAACACTCCCGCCATACCTCCCTGGACCCCGCCACCGCCGCCTATATGACGGGTAATGCACATACGGATTGGCAGGCGGTCATGGCTAATTCCGCATTTCAGGGCCATCGGCGAGCCCCGTCGGAGGTGTCGGAGGTGTCGTCCGCGGCCCCCTCCCCCTACATGTCGCAGCATGAGTCCTTCGATGGCGTGGACAACAATCCCTCCCCGCTCCTAGCGCCCCAGAATGACCCCGGCCTCTACGACAATGCCCTCGGTATTGAATCTTTCACGCTGTCGGACGGTCATCAGCAACACCAACAACCGGGCATCAGTCCCGCCCATAGTCCGTATATCTCGCCGCAGTTGATGCCCCAGCATGGCGCAGAGATGATCCCCAACGTGCCGTATATTTCTCCGCCCGCGGTGAATATGCCATACCCCACCCCGCCGACCGACCTCTATGGGGAGATGGTAGCCCAAGGAAACCCCGGCCTGGGAGACATGGGCCAGGCATCGCAAATGGCACCTCCGTCTATTAACGTGGAATTCGCGCCCCCGTCCAAGAATCTGAATCTCCCACAGGCGAAGCCAGCCGCGGATCTGGACTCGCTGAGCCCCCCTGTCGCCATGCGTAAGTCTTCTTGCCCAGGCCTTGCGGTCTTCGAACAATGCTGACCTTGCGGTTATTAGGCTCCCGTATGCGCAGTAAGTCAGACCCGTACGCCCACCCGGCTTCTCGCGCGCGGTCCTCTTCGACCTCGACCAGTCTGGAGCCATTTGTCCCTCCGTCGCCGCGGTCGCTGTCGCCCTTTGATTCCGTGGGGCGACAGCCACATAGCAATCCCAGTTCCCGCGAGCCGTCTCCCTCGCGGTCGGGTCGGCGCCTGTCGACATCGTCGATCGATAGTCGCAATTATATCCTTGGCCTTGCCGACCCACAGAGACCTGGAGCCAACCCCAATGACTCCAAGCGCATCCAGAAACATCCCGCCACGTTCCAGTGCCATCTCTGTCCCAAACGCTTTACACGGGCCTACAACCTACGTTCGCATCTGCGTACGCACACCGACGAACGGCCGTTCGTGTGCACGGTCTGTGGGAAGGCGTTTGCCCGACAGCACGATCGGAAGCGTCACGAAGGGCTGCATTCGGGCGAGAAGAAGTTCGTCTGCCGCGGTGACCTGTCCCGGGGAGGACAGTGGGGATGTGGTCGGCGGTTCGCTCGGGCGGATGCGTTGGGGCGTCATTTCCGGTCCGAAGCCGGTCGGATCTGTATCAAGCCGTTGCTGGACGAAGAATCCCAAGAACGAGAACGCACGATGATGGATCAGCAACAGCATCTGCAGCCAATGCCACCCCCCTTGATGGTGCCAGGGCTGGATGGCCAGCATACAGGCAATTTTGTCCTTCCTGCCGCCTTGTTGGCACAGTATCCGGCGCTGCAGAACCTGCAGTGGGATCAGATAGCGGCCAGTGCAGACGATCCCAGCGACATGGGAGGACGTAGCAGTTTTGACGCGAGCTCCGGCGGAGAGTTTGGCTTTGACGATGACGAGTCTGGCCTCAGTAGTGTCTCCGGCATCAGCGGGGGCTACGGGGGTGGCCAGGGCAATCTATATGATGTGAACAACCCGGGCCAGATGCTAGGGATGAATCCGGCAGAATCTGGCTACCGAGAGACCGATTGGAGGGCATGACATTTCACGGCATCTACAGACCTATCTTTTTCTCTTGCTTTTGACCTCCTTTCCGTCTCTGTTTCTTTTCCCTCTGCCTTTCACTTCTCGCTTTTCGTTTTTTTTCGTTTTTCTTGCTGTCTATTGGACAACGATATTTTCATTCTCCCCGGATGCCGCGCCCACGGGTGCCGGCTTCGGCACGATTTTGATTCTCGATAGAACGGGCTTTGGCGTTGCGATACAGGAGGATTGGTGGTTGCCCCAACGCTGGCGGGCTTACTTTCGTTCAGATCCTGATCTTGGATACGCGCTTCTTTTTCCGCCCTATTCCCGGCCGGCCTGCCCGCCCGGCCATTTATGTTATGTGATTACGAAGAACTTTGACTTCATACCCATGGGAGATGCTCCGTCTGTTTCGTGTGCGAGGTACCCGAGGAAGGGTACTTGCGTTGGGATATATCCATTTGAGTGCTTGCTACGTCTGGCTTTGATATTGGCTACCTGTGAAGGTCCTGGGCTTCTCTTTCGTATATTCCAATATTATCTTTGTCAATGGGATGTCTATTCAATGTGTGCCTATACCTCTCTGTACTACGCTAGTCCATCAACACTAGTAACTTAGTGGTAGTGTCTAAGAGCCCTTCTCTATCACTGACTGGGACTAGTCCAGTCTTAGAAGGATCCAAGCGCGTATACTAGAAATTATAGACTATACCGGAGAGTATCCCTACCCCTCCCTACCCCTACCTCTACTCAACGCACGCAGCGTACTTACTATAGCACGTCTAACCCAGCCCTACTCCCACTTAAACAGTCATCTACGACAAGAGACTACAAAATCACCAAAGTACTCCGTACAAGCGGGAAAGTAGAAGTAGAGTATATTTGATTCTTTGATTTCCGATGAATATACCAACCGTAGTAGAGACACAACGTCGACGAGAGTAAAAGAGCGAAGAGAAGGAAAATGAAGGAGAAAGGGGGGAAGGTATCCTAACGAACCAACTTCCCGATCTCTCCAATCCACTTCAGGGAGAACTCTTCCTCGGTGAATCTCAAGGCGGACTTACGGGCTCGTAGACGCATCGAGACCTTCTCTTCTGCCGGGAGGGCGAGAGCGGCTTCGAAGGCCGCGGCGAACTCTTCCTCCGTGGTAGCGCGGAAGCCTGTGGCGCCGTCGCCGAGGTCGATGACGATGTCTTCGCGGGGACCGCCGGAGTCATGGACGACGCTGATGAGACCGGCGGCTTGGTATTCGACGACGCAGATGCCGAAGTGCTCGTTCCACATGGCGTTGACGCCGATGGAGGCGGTGGCGAGATGGTCGAGAACGGTGGGCCAGCTGGCGTCGCAGAGGAAGGTGGTGTGATCGCGGATGCGGAGCTCGTGGGCCAGGAGTCGGAGGTTGTAGATGTGGGTCTCGTCGGGGCTGGCGTGGCGGACGGAGCCGATGAGGACGAGCTTGGGTTCCGAGTCGGGGTCGGCGGCTTCGCCCAGGCGCTTGCGGCGCTCCTGGAGGAAGCGCGCAAACGAGCGGAGCACTAGGGGGTGGTTCTTTTCCGGGCGGAACTGGGCGATGTACAGGATGAGCGGTTGGCGGGTGTTCTCGGTCTCGGGGTTCACGGTGATGGTGGACTCGAGTTCGGAGACGGCCGTGGGCGGGAAGATGACAGTTGGGTCCTTGTGGGTGTTGGTCTGTCGGGCGGGACCCCAGATGGCGCGGATGTGCGCCGATGTCCAGGACGAGTTGCACATGACGACGTCGACGTGACCGCCGACCCAGCCGTAGAGCTTGGCGAACGCGATCCAGTATTTGCGCTTGACCTGGCCCTTGATGCCCTTGCCGGCGCCGGAGTTGACGCCTTGTAGGCCAGTCTGGTCGTCCAGGGACTGGAGCATGTCGGTGGAGATGGTCGGGTAGTGTACGTAAGCGGCGGTCGGGACGGAGGGGAAGAGGAGCTTGCTGAAGGCGAGGGTGAAGGCGTAGCCCATCGTGTCGACGAAAATATCCGGGACGAGTAGGTTAAAGGCGTCATAGGCGACGATGAGGGAGCCTAGGGACTGGCCGAGAAGCGTCATGTAGGGGTACATGCTGCTGACGACGTACTTGCGGGTGGTGAGGTAGAGGAGCACGACGGTGGGAGCATGGAGGTGGATGTTGAAGCGGTTCTAAGGCTGTCAGTATGTAACGAGGACGAGTTCGATGCGTGGATGATGTACTTGGACTCTGTCCAGCATGGCTGCTTTGTTGACCTCATGGTCGCCCGTGTAGATGGCGCAGATGGCCTTGGGCCAGCGTTTCTGGGTTGCTCTCACGGCCTCCCAGAGAACTCGTTCTCCACCACCGCCTGCGTTGCTGTTCGAACAGGAGTGGTCAGCGTGTGATCTCCCACATAAAAAGGGGCCAAGCAAAGGTTCCTTACCAGAACGGATGAAAGAAGCCGATGATGCCATCCCACTCCTCGTTCCCGTTGTTGCCAGCTGTTCCGGAGCTGGAGCTGGAGGTGTCGACCTTCTCCCAGTCCTCATCGTCACCGGAGTTTGTTGCAGAGGCGGACTTGGTGCGGGCTGCGTATTCGTCCTCGTCGGCGCGGACGCGCGAGATGATATACTCGCGACGAGAGCGGGTGCGCCTCTGGACGACCCAGCCAACACCGCGGAGCACCAGGCGGAGAACACCCAGGGGCAGCTGGGGGAGCAGCACACAGGTCGCGAGGAGAGCAAGCAGGGTGAGAACCGACTTGAGTATGAGCAGCATCATGGCTAGCGCGAGACAGCTGCGAACATGACAAGTGGGATGGGGAAACGAAAAAGAGGAATTGGCCAGCGTGGAGGTTGACGGCCAGAAGTCGAAGAAGCGAAGAACGAAGCGGGTCATCCGCCCGACCTCTTATCGATAACCATCCATACATACCATACCGGCACTCAGACGGTATGTATGGTATGTATGGTATGTATGATATGTATCGTATCATGTTATCACCACGTGACTGTAACATGTCACCTGACGGGATGTTTTCATCCTCTCCTCCGGCTGTCTGTGCCTGGCTGCTCGGCTCCGGCGCGGCGAGCTTGAGGCATTGACCTTTGTCCGATCGTTTGATCCTCTCTCCTTCTTGTATATATCCTCTTTGTCAATTGATAGCCTCAGCCAGTCCTTCGGTTGCTCGTCAACATGCGGGCCTTCCGACTGTCGCATCCCGCACGCAAGTCGGCGGCTTTCCAGCAAGTCCGACATTTCCATCCAACCCGCCCAACGCCCTTCATCAGCGAAGCCCTAGAACTCTCCTCCGCCTACCTCCATACTGTTCACGACGTCACCCACCTACCATGGGCTCTATCCATTCCCCTGAGCGCTCTGATCGTCCGAACCACCGTGGCCATGCCCCTACAAATCTACAGCAAGCTCCAAGCCCATCGCGAACGAGACACCATCCCACTCCTCCTCGCATGGCAGCAAGTTATCAGAAATGAGACTATACCCGAACGCGACCGAGACTACCCCACTGTGGCACAAAAACAGGCCGCCATTCGGGAGTCCGCCGCGAAACGACAATATCTATTCCGTCGTGTGGGGATCGGTCGGTTCTGGAGGCTGACGAACTTCTTGCAAGTCCCCATCTGGATCTCCGTCATGGAAAGTCTCCGCGCCATGTCGGGCAATGACCGCGGTCTCGTGGCCTGGCTTCTATCCTGGATTCGACCCGAGTCCGCAGAGCTCGCGACTCCCCCAGCGATCGAGCCCTCGTTCGCTACGGAGGGTGCCCTCTGGTTCCCGGATCTCCTGGCGGGCGATCCGACGGGAATTCTGCCCCTCGCGCTCACCATGTCGATCTTATTCAACGTGCATATGGGGTGGAAGACCAAGCCCCTCAGAAGTCTGGCCGAGTTGCCCAAGATGGCCATGTATCGGGAGCTTTCGTTCCGGGGATTACGGTTTTTCATTCAGGTGCTGGCATTGAATGTGGGGCTGTCTTCCTTTGTGTCGGAGATGCCCACCGCGTTGATGATCTACTGGATTACGAGTACCAATACCGCCACGCTGCAGACTTTTGTCCTGGATCGGTTCCTGCTTCCGGTTAAGCCATTCACCCCATGGACGCCAAGATTCATGCTGTACAAGCCCGAAAAGAAGGCACCATCGCCACCATCACCACGAGTCCTACCCAAGAAGCAGTGAAGTGCAGATCGGGCGAATCACTGGAGTAGGTAATTCCCGACAATGGGCAACTACATACGAAGCCATGCTTACAGGGAACCAGCCCATTGACGCGGGACTTGGTCAGCCGCGAGATTCCAGGCGCGTCTTGGATGGCAATTATTTGCCTGGCGCTGTATGCAATGTTGTATCAGTATCCCTCTGGACGTCCTATGGATGCAATTAGCCCATGACAAGTCCAGTTGTATATTCATGGCCCAAGTCTGAACTATCTTACTCTAATCTGTTGGGTCTGATGGACTGTGATTTGAAAGTATTATTGCCCTGGACTAAATCTGCGCCAGGCACCTCCTGTCATAGCTCAATCCATGTGGCTAATGATAGAGGCACTGTTTGGCGAGCATGGCAGTGGACATCCTATCCCGCATCTACCTCCCTGTACCATTACTGTCTCATGATATAAAGAGCCTACTATAGCACTCTAAAACCAACGGTCGCAGTTGCGGTCTCAGCCCCAACCGAACAGAGACAATGTAGCATTCTATCTGTGGTTCGATGCTACCCACCCAAAGTCACTATTTCAGGCTTGCGTGAGAAAACGCCGGCTCACTGCCCATTCCAGGGTAGGAAAAGAAACGACGGTAACCAAGAGAATGAGGAAATGAAATTGAACATCCAATCATCATGAAATCATCTTTTCTTTGCGTCTTTTTGCGCCAATAATGCCTTGCTGTATGGAGGGAGACGGGGCAATTGCATCTACAACTGCAGTTAGAGTTTCGCTTTGACGTTCTCGGACGCGCTGGCCTCTTCATTGACGGTGACGGTGCGCGTGTCAGGGCCCTCGCCGAAGAAGATCACTTCGACGGTGACGTCGTCACTGATCGATGTTAGTCAGGGAGGTCTGGGCTGGGTATAAAGGGAGCAAGCTTACCGGTACCGGCGGGAGTAAGGGCTCGGGAGAGTCAGCAAAGCAGAAACCATTTCCTTGTCCTTTCCTCCCATGGCGTTGCGCACGAGGTGGGTCGCGGCGTTGTTATCCTCAACGGTAAAGCGACTGGCGGCGCCGGAGATGTCGTACTGCTGCTGGCGGATAGGACGGCGTTGACCTTCGGAGTCGGTTGCCTTGGGTGCTTCCACGGGAAGCCCCTTGTCCCCAAAGCCAAACCAGCTCTTCAGCCAGGTCTTGTTGCTTGCCCCGGTGCCAAGGCGCTGCTGCTCGACCCACTGGCCAACAAGCCCGACCACTTCCTCGTTGCTCAACATCTCCCAGAGACCGTCGGTGGCGAGGACCAGGAAGTCGCCGCTACCGGGCTCTATCTTGGTGGTGGTGATGATCGGCTCGGCAGTCACGTACGGAGGAGTCTTCAACATAGGGTGGGGAGTACGGCCGAAGAACTGGCGCTTGATCTTGTCCTGCGTTTCCTTGCTCCACTTGTAGAATGCATCTCCGAAAGACCGGCTAGGTTCCAGCTGTCCGAGGATCCGTCCATTGCGCACCACATTGGGCTCGCCGGGATGCTCCTCCCGTAGACGCTTCATCTCAGACGGAGTACCGCCAGTCTGGTCTTCAGAGAGGGGCGTTGCCGACCACTTACCGTTCGGACCACGACGACCCAGTACAGCTCTGGAGTCACCTGCGACGGCGACCTTCAGATCCTTGGACTGGGAGTCATAGAAAGCAAGGAGAGCGCATGATCCGGACAGAGCAGGCGCAAGCATCTCAGCGGCGACCCGGCGCGAGTTGGACTTGAGCACCTTCTCAACGCTGCTGTGCACGATTTCGTCGTCCAGGCGGGTGAAGCCTTGCTTGATCGCAGCATCCACGGCGGCGGACGACGGAGTCAACAGGGAAGGATCTGCGGCCGCAGCTTTGTAGGTCGAGTTCAACTCCCGGGCGACGTAGGAAATGAGAACGTTGCGCAGTTTGGCCGACGTTGTCCAGCCGCTGTGGGATGGTTAGTGGGCAAAGGCTACTGCAGGGAAACTGTGCAGACTCACGAATGACCATCGAACACGGCCCAGAACATCCAATCACTCTTGGATTCGCCTTGATTGGCTGCAGCCAGGGAAGATGGCACCTCGATGATCTTCTCGGCATGATCATCCTCAATGGGAGAATTGCTCGGAACCTGAACAATATCATAGCGAACCACTCCCTTGCCCCGGTTCACCAAATATGACTCCTCGTTCTTTCTGAGCTTCTGCGTGGCCTGCTCCGGGGTCAACATCTCGAGGACTCGGCGGTCGGAATCGTCCGTGTGCTTGGACAAAGGCTGGTCTCCAGAAAGCGGGGCGGTAAAAAACTGATCATTATCCACGAGCAGGGCACGGCGAGTGGATTCTGGGGCTTCGGCGTAGGCAGTGGAATAAGAGCGTAGCTGCGAGGTGGCCGCGTTCAGGGCCGCCGATGCCTGGCCGGCGTTGCCTTGATAAGCGTACCAGGCGCCCGAGGCGACGACGGTCGAGATGACAGCGAGCGAAAAGTTCCGAAGATGCATCGACGATTGAAGAGAGGCGGGGATGTAGGAGGGGTGTCTGCCCGAGGAGGAGGGCCGTAGACCGAGAGTCCGACTGCTAGAGAAGGACACGGCGCACGGTTTCCTACCGATAACTTTCCATGCTGGCACGCGACGGGCAGTTCGGAGGGCTTGAAAGGCCGCACGACGCATTGGGCCGGCGGGGAGAGAGACGTAGGTAAGCCGAGGGTGTCCTGACTACTCTCTGAGTCTGGATCTGGAGGAAAACGACAATCTTCAACCGTGAGAGGCGGAGGAGGCAAGCATCCAGCAATCCAGCAAGCGGTGCCACGGGATCTCGCTGCCATTGCGTCATGTGATACCAGGTGTATGGCCCGTGACAGGACAAACTGTATGGGGACCGTGTCGAACAGTACGACAATACCTGCTAAGCCCCTCTCGGCAGTGTCGTCATTCCCCGCGGGCTTCTTCGTGGATTCTTCTCTTATTCCGTTATCCCGATCACCCATTGCGGCTCCATTTGCTGGCGATCTTCGTGAATCCCGTCCAGACTATTTCGCGACTGAATCGAATCGATCGTCAACTCCTGAATGTCCTCCCGCGCTCTCCGCAAGCTGCAGAAGCAGCGCGAACAAGATCTGCAGTTGGCATCACTGCAGGCTGAACAGGAAAATGACGACTCCAGCGAGGAGGAGCCGATGTCCCGGCCGTCAAAGCCGAAGTTGAATGCTTTTGATCTTCTCAACTCAGTTGATGATGAAGACGACGAAGACGAGCCGGAATCTGAAAATGAGGCCGAGGCTGAGATAGAGGCACCAGAGCCGGTGACTCAACCGAAGGAGGAGAATCCTGCTCCGGCAAAGCCAGCGGGCTCTGGAAAGAAAAAGAAGAAGAACAAGAAAAACAAGGCGGCCGCCAAAGCGGAGGCTACACATGCTACACCGAAGACCAAGACCAAAAAGCTGGATGAAATCGACCAAGCGCTGAAAGATTTGGCCGTCGACCCTAAACACGCCGGTGCCGCCGTTGCAGGAAATGACCGTGATGCCTCGTTCCCGAAAACCCCAGAAGCACTTCTCGCCATTGATCCTAGGTCCCTGAATGCGACGAACGAAATGCGCAAGTTGTTTGGGAATGTGGTGCTGGAGAACTTCGACCAAGACACTGGATCAGGCCGCCGGAGAGGGACCCAAGAGACGCTGGATCTAGGGCAGGCTTTGGCAGGACGGTACAGTCCTGCCAGTCGGGGCCAGAGCCTGGCGGGTGCGACACAACGGCGGAATGCCCTCATGCAGGGCAAAGATGAATGGCCCCGGTCTCCCAGTGGCGGTCTTGGGATGGAGCTCACCGAGAAACTCCCGGACGGCTCTACTCTCTACAAGATTCTCCACAACACTGCGTATACGGACATACAAAGGCAGTTCGACATGTGCGTGGAGTCGATGGACCCCCAAAGAATGATTCATCTCCTGCAATACAATCCCTACCATATCTCCACCCTTCTCCAGGTATCAGAAATTGCGAAGCACCAAGGTGATCACGCAGTTTCCGCCGACCTACTCGAGCGCGCACTGTTCAACATCGGGCGTTCGGCCCATTCATCATTCGGCAACCTCCTGAAGCAGGGCCAGGCGAAGCTTGACTTTGTGCACATGGAAAACCGGGAGCTGTGGCTGGTTGGCTGGCGGTATATTGCCAACCTGGGGATGAAGGGTACTTGGCGGACAGCGTATGAGTGGGCGAAGCTCCTGCTGAGCCTCAACGAGACCGACCCCTACTGTATCCGGCTCCTGATCGATCACCTGGCGCTCCGAGGCCGAGAGTATGCCCACTTTGTGGATCTGTGCACACAGACGCGGTTGAGCAAGGAATGGGATACCCTACCCAACATCCAATGCTCGCTCGCGCTAGCGTATCTCCGACTGAACAAGCCCAAGGAATGTCGCGAGCAGCTCCGTCAAGCCATGTCGCGCTATCCGTGGGTGTTTTGCATGTTGGCGCAAGAGCTCGACCTCCAGCCGATGCCGAAAAAGATCTGGGGCAAGATGCCCCCCACGAATGCTCACGAACTCTTGACCGAGCTTTACATTACCCGCGCCAAGGACCTCTGGAACACCCCCGAAGCGGTTTCTCTGATCGTAGAAGTGGCCGACACGCTTCCCGACGAAGAAGAGCCCATCGAACCCCCGGAGATCACGCTAGACATTGCGCGCCACGTAGTGTTATCCGATGTCCCCCGGGTCACAACGCACCTTCCGGGACGCTTCGTCGCTGGGCGTATCTCCTCATCCGATCCTCTTCCTCCGTACGAGTCGGAGGCTTATCGCCAGCAGTCCGACCCCACTCCTTCTTACTTGTCGCATGTGCCTGACGTCGGGCGGCCGCAATGGCTACGGGACCTTCTGGATCAGCTGAACAACGGGGCCATTCACTTCCCTCGGTTCCAGCGTGATGGGGAAGAGGGGCAAGGAGACGACGCCCCCGCGGAGGCTGAGGCCGAGGGAAGCCGTGCCCCGGCCCATCCAAGCGGTGACCAGCAAGCACTGCTCGAGCAATGGCTGTTAAACGACGGGATGCACACACTGGATGCATTCCTCCAGCAGTACGGGGTGGACCGCGGGAACTGGGGCGATGTTCTCGACTATTCCCCGTTGACGGAGTATGTGGAAGCCTTGGAATCTATCCAGCTGGAGTCAGAGCGCAACCGGTTGCTGCAGGGGCCGATCCGGGAGGCGATGGGCGACATGGCGGTCGCCATGCTGGACGATGAGCTCCAGCTACTGCAGTATGACGACGATGATGCTTGATACCCTGGATTTATCTGCATGGTGGATGGTGTGACCTAGCGTGGATTTAGGAAAAGTCTCTGCTGTGGGCAGGTTTGTTATCCTGTAGATAGATTTATAGATGGCTGTTGCTACGATCGTAGTGACAGGAAAATGAATGCGATTCATGACGGTATCTATGCTTTCACCTGGAAACCCCTGCATGAACGGCAGATGGAGTGACTGGCGCGCATCGCAGCCCCAGCCCTAGTATCAGACACACCTCCATCACTCAATGCCCGCAAACCAACCAACCTCATCAACCAACTCCAGTCATTGATAGGGAAACCAGACCCAACTGATAAGGCGCGATGAGTCCGCGGCGCAGCAGCCAGCTTAGTCAAAAGCATACGGCCGGGTCCACCCGCAGCGATGCGCCAATATATTCTAAGTAGTTTACTATGCTTTAGCTAGTCGTTGACTCAGATCGCTTGTTTAATAGCTTCATTCCTTCGCGGTCCCTACACATTCCACACTGAGTTTTTTGCAACCACCGGATCCAACTCTTTCCTCAGCTGACTTTTCCTCCCCGAACCGAACCCCCATCTTGCCTTATCGCGACGTCTCCCCCGTGACCTCATGCGCCCGACCAGCAAGGGATTGTGAATAAAAGCCGGCGGTCCTTATCTCCCCATCATAGACAAAGAGTCTTTCCTCCCCTCTCACCACCACCAGCGACTTTTCCACCCAAAAAATGGCGACCCTCTGGTCAACAGCCATGACCAATCCCGACTCCGTGCCTCTCACATCCCGCGAAGCAGCCTCCGGCCTTTTGGGCTCGATATCTCTCACCTGCTGGATCTTCCTCCTAGTATGACCCATACCCATGGATCTCACTATCCACCACCACTAGTACCAAACCACACAACACTAACCGCTGAACCAAGGTCCCCCAACTCATTGAAAACTACCGCAACGGCAACGCCGAAGCCATCTCCCTACTCTTCCTCTTCGTCTGGTTCCTCGGCGACATCACCAACCTGATCGGAGGCGCCTGGGCCGGACTGGTGCCCGTCATCGTCGCCATCGCCGTATACTTCTGCATCGCGGACGGGGTTCTCATTGGCCAATGTCTGTACTACAAGGCGCGGAATGCGCGACGCTCCTCCAATGGGATGATCTCTCGTCGTCGGTCCTCCGTGGCCGATGGCCCTGATCCGACGACGCCGCTTCTGGGTCGGCGGTTTAGCGATGCGGGACGTCGCGCGGACGCGGATGCGACTGCGGAGGATGATATGTTGGCGAAGATCGTGGAGGAGAATGATGTTGGACGCAAGGCGTGGGTGAAGAATTTCAGCAGCGTCTTGGGAATCTGTGTGATTGGCATGGCGGGGTGGACTATGGCGTGGCGGACGGGCGTGTGGAAGCCTGCGCCGGTTGAGGAGGTTGATGGCGGGGTGGATATGGCTCCTGGGGCGATGGTCTTGGGGTATATCAGTGCGGTTTGTTATCTTGGGTATGTTCTGTTTCTCTATCCTTCCCATTTTTGGGTGAGTTGGATGCTAATGAGGGGTGCGTAGGGCACGTCTTCCGCAGATTTACAAGAATTATTGCGATAAGTCATGTGAAGGTATGTTGGTCTCATGTCTCTTTGTTTCTACAGGTACAGGTGTTGAAGCTAAAGCGTCCAGGTCTCTCACTACTATTCTTCATTCTCTCCCTATTGGGAAACCTTACCTACGGTGCGGGTGTAAGTCATTCTATGTCCACCATTCGATATAGACGGAAATTAACGAGGCATATAGATCATCTGTCACTCCACGGACAAGAACTATATCGTGACCAATGTGCCGTGGCTGATTGGCTCGCTGGGCACCATGGTCGAGGACGTTACTATTTTCGTGCAGTTTCGCCTGTACGCGGCTCGGGACACGGTGACGCCGGCCGTGTAGCGCGTCGTGCATTCCTTCCGTGTTATGTACATTGTCTTGAAATTGCTGGTGGTTTAGCGCGTCGTTTTTTGACCTGGGGTTGTACGGTATGGGTCCGGCAGATCGGGTGTCTAAGATAAAAGTTCTTGATTGCTTGCATTGCGGGGTGGATGTTCGGTTGATATTGATATTGATATTGATATTGATAGTGCTTGTTGGTTTGATGTCGGGGTCTGTTGATATGGGGATTGGTGGCGTGTATAGTATAGTATGATTTGATCCTCTACATACCTACGGTCTCGGATGGCTTACAATTACGGGGGATAGAACGAGTTTGCTCATGGTCGCATGACAGACATTGCATGAGAGCTGGGCAGCTAAGCTCGAGTACTAGCAACAAGCACAACAACATCAGACACGGAGCCGAAGACGGCCAAACCGATCTCGCCCCCGACCCGTACAAGGATGACATTCCCACGGCCGGAATCCTAGCGGCATCCGGCCCAGTACCTCTGTCACGACGAAGCCCATCATGCGAGTAGAGCGCCCAGTCCCAACGGATGTCTTTGTCCGTTCATTCTTTCTTTTGATTTTCCCTTTTTGGTCTTCGTGCGGTCGCGTAGTATCAGGTACAAGAAATGCGAGGGGCGAAAAGGTAGTAGCAAGGAAACGAGGAAAAAAAGGAAAATAGGAACCCGAACGGTTGAAGGCGCTTAGTCGAAGAGACCGAAGCCCATGTCCTCGTCGGACTCCTCCTTCTCTGCAAGAGGTTAGCAACCAACCCAATCTCCTCACTCCTCCGGTGTTCCCCATCCACACCCAAGGGATGATTCTTCGTACCTTCTTCCTTCTCCTCAGCGGCAGCCTCGGCGGGGGCGGCAGCGGCAGCACCACCGGCAACGGGGGCAGCAGCGGCAGAGCCAGCGGAGCCAACGTTGGTCAGGAGGTCCTTGATGTCCTTGCCCTCGAGAGCCTGTGGAAATCGACGCGTAAGTCTTTGAGCGGGCCAGAGTGGTGATGGTCGACCGAATCGCGATCGCATGGATGAACTGGGTGTTGCGAGAACTGGACGGATCAATTTACCTTGGCGAAGATGGAAGTCCAGATGGGCTCAACCTCGGGAACCTTGGCGGCAGACAGGAGAGTCTGGATCTTCTCGGCCTGTGGTGCACGAAATCCATCATTAGCCTAACTGATTCTGTACCTGGCAGTTTCCATCCCTGCAATCGTCCAATATCTCATTTCCTTCCGTCCGTTGCTTCATTGGATCCACCTCTTTTCGCGACAAATTGTTTGTCCATTCCTTGCGCCCTGCCCTGCCCTGCCTTCCAATCCAGGTGATCAAGGATGAATACGTACGGAGACCTCGAGGCCGTCATCCGCAAGGATGAGGGCGGCGTAGGAGCAGGCGAGCTCGGCAGTAGACATGATGGTCGACGGGGGGTTGACTGGACTGGAGTCTCGAGAGGGATGGGATAAAGAGAGGAAGAGGAGGAGGGAGACTTTTTTGTAACGGCCTGGTCGAGTTCGGACGGTGAGTGACTAACGCTTTCCCCCGAGCGGAAGTTGTGTGTTGAGCGCCGCAGAAGCCCTCGCTTAGGGCTGCTCCCGTTGCGGCCTAGCGCCGCCGCCCCTCGCTCGTGACTCTGCGCTAGTCCCTTTCGGGCCGGGTCGCGCGGCGATGCCATCATCGCCTGATGCCTCCGCCCGCACTTCGTCTTTCCTCCGTCCATGGCCTGTGTTGCGACTGCTGCCTGTTCCTCCTGTCTGGCTTTACTTGTACTCTGATCTTACCCACTCGAGTCGCTGCGCTGATTCAATTCCGCCCCATCCGCATCAGTCTTCCCGTCTCCCCGCCTTTCTACTCCCCCTCCCTCCTACCCTCCCACCAGCTATGGACTCCCCCGCCGTCCCCGCCCCGCTGGATCCGAAAGAGCAACCAATCCTCGAGCGCCTGCTGCGCACTCGGGATGCGCTCATCTTGCTCAAGCAGGACAAGTCCTCCTATATCAAGTCCCGCGACGTCCTTCCCCTGTATGAAGAGGTGGTCGCCGAGGTGGAGAAGCTCAACGCCGCGCGCAAAGAACAGGACCGCCGGCGGGCACATAACAGACGTTAGCACTGAGTGGGCCTGTGTATGGATGTTTGCGATGAGTGACCAGCTGACTGGGTTCCGCTGCAGTGGACTATGTTCTCGACGATTGTTTTCAGCTCATCTCGCTGCTGTTTCTGACCGTTGGTCGAAACAATGAAGCCCCCGCCGTGTACGTGATGCCCCCGTCTGGATTGGATGAACCGGGCTAACATAGTATCGCGGCAATGCAGATACTCCCTTGCGACGACTGTCCAGGTATGCGTACTGTTTCGAGTATCCGCGACGCATACTAACCCTCACCCCCCTAGCGTCTTCTGGATCACCTGGAAGAGGCCGGTTTCTACAGCTCCAAAGACCTGATCTCGATCACCAAGACCCTTGCGAACATGAACGAAACCCTCGATCGATGCCGTCAAGCCTACTCGCCTGCCCTGATCACCTTGCTTGAAAGCCGCCTCGAGAAATGCCAGCACCTGTTGGAGAAGCTGCAGAGTGGACTGGCCAAGCTGGGCCCGGAACTGGCGGCCAAACACGAGATGCTGGTGTCTATTCTGCGGTCAACTTCGGCCGTCAACACGCGCTCTAAGGTAGTTCGTCCTTGCCGGTGAGATCGCGCACGCTGACTCTGGTAGTTTTCTTCCTTTGAGGTCAACACACTTCGGACCCAGCTGAAGAAACTTGAAGACGAGATGAAGGACGGGAAATTTGTGGATGCCGAGGGGGTGCCACTGCCTGGCACCCAGGAAGATGTCGTGCAACTGAAGGATCGGTGTTGGATCTGGACTGAGACTGTTCTAGAGCGGTATGCTGGGCTCTCCGCACGATGAGGGGTGGTGCTGACTGTCGCAGGCAAGGAAAGATTGACGAGCGCTTCAAGGAGCAGTACGACCGACTGATCGAGATCCGCAACCAGCTGGACCGGCTTGCCGTGACACAGGCGTGGTCGCTCCGCGAGACCGACCTGTTCGGCTACCAGCGCAAATTGGACCGGATTGATGAGGCGCGCGTGAACGGCAACTTCGTGGATGCAGAGGGAAATGCGGCGGATATTCACGCGCAGCGGGTAGGTCCTTTCGTAGGGTGAAGTGAAGTGTGCTGACCGGCTGTAGACATTACTGTACCTGATCCGGCGGAGCTACGGGTACATCTATGCGCTATTGATTTCGTCGGAACCGGTGTCGGAGGCGCTGTTGCCCGTGTACAACCAGCTACAGACGTTGCGAAAATGCCTGCTGGAGGTGCAGGAGTCGGGGGGCGTGTCGAACTCGCGCGAGCTCTACCCGTACAGCATGAAGGTTGGTCCCCGCGTTGACATGGTGGGAGTCCGCTAACAATAGCAGCTTAATTCGATTGACAACATGCGTGTGGACGGCAAGTTCTACGTGGGCAGTGACATCCCTGAAGGGCAGGGCAGCGTGAACGCGCTGCTGGCGGAGTGCTACGATATTGTGTGGGAGTTGCGGGCAGCGGTGGACGAGGAGGATCGAACAGGGTAGATGAGGGATGGAAGATCTTTTGCTTGTACTAATGCAGATGGCGGGAGGACCTTGTGTACTGGGAGCCCGGCTTTTTTGGACGGCGTTTGGAGTTGTACGGGAGTAGTGTGAATGAATGAACTGAATTTGCGGAAGCTTTGCGGAAACCTGAAGCGATCCCTGCTGAAAGTATGAAGATGACCAGATGACATCACTCCGCTCCGCCCCGCCAGCCCCACATCCCACATTTCCCCATCGAGAAGGTACTACTACGGATATATCTACGGGGAAGGTACATCCCTCTCAATAACTACAGGCTTCCCCTTTCCCTCCTCTTCTCCTCTCCTCATCCTCCCATTCTCCATCCCCTTCACACAGTTTCCCTCACCGTGATAGAACCATGACCGAAACCATCCGCCCCGCCTTCACCGACCGACCCCGGCCACTCCTCTCCTACGGCATTCCCTTCCCCGATGCCGCCGCCCACCATGTGGACGATCTCTTCCATGCATCGCGCGTCCACATCATCTGCTCGGGGTCGCTAGCACGCAACACGGACGCTCTAGACCGACTCACGACCGCGCTGGGCCCGGAGAAGGTGGTGGGCACGCGCATCGGGATGCAAAGCCACACGCTGTGGTCCGAGGTGCTGGAGATTGTGCACGAAGCAAAAGCCGCAGAGGTCGATCTGCTGATTACCCTGGGCGGGGGCAGTTTGACGGATGCAGCGAAAGTTGTTGCCTTGGTAAATCCATGTGCCATTGCCCTAATTCCGTCTATATCCTCTCCTCTACTACAACCACGTCCAGCCCACCACTAGCACCAACCCTACAAACACCACACCCCGTTCCTACTACACATCAATTCCCAAGACTAACAACAACAGGCCCTCTCCAACAACGCCCTGACTTCCCAAGCCCTCTCCACCCTGTCCACCACACCCCCATCCCCTAACCCGAGCATCCACCCCCCAACAATCCCCATCCTCTCCATCCCCACCTCCCTCAGCGCGGGTGAATACTCCCCCTTTGCCGGTGCCACCGACGACACCTCCCCGACCTCCGCACCCCATAAACACTCCTTCCAGTCTCCGACGCGCGGACCCGAACTCATCATCCTCGATCCAGCCCTAACCCACACTACGCCGGCCCGGATCTGGCTCAGTACGGGTATCCGGGCGGTTGATCACTGCGTGGAGACGTATTGCGCGGTGAAAGGGATGACCTCTGAGACGGATCAATTGGCCTTGCATGCGTTGGGGTTGTTGGTTCCGGGGTTGCTGAGATGTAAATTGGATGGAGAGGGAGAGGCAGGGTTAGGGGCGAGATTGGATTGTGCCCTGGGCTCGGTGGATGCTATGGCTGCTTGTTCGAAGGGGACAGTACAGCTGGGGGCGAGTCATGGGGTTGGACATCAGGTATTTCTTCCTCTTTCCCCCACATTCTCCTCCTTTTTAGTCTATTCTCCTTTACTTGGTTCAAAGGGGAAAGAGAGGGGGATAAGATACGCTAACTTAAGATACGAATACAGCTCGGCCCCCTCGGCGTCCCCCACGGTGAAACATCCTGTATCCTCCTCCCCTCTGTATGCAAATACAATGCCAAACACCGCGCCAACAACGAGCGCCAGGATAGGTTGCGCGAGTTCTTACTACGGCAGGAGGGTGTGACGGCGGTGGTGCGGAAGTGGCATCCCGAGAAGAATAATACAGAAGGGGTGGAAAAGGCAGACCTAGGCGACGTCCTCGATGCCATCATCCGGGAACTAGGGCTACCGCGAACATTAAAAGAAGTGGGGGTGGGACGTAACAACCTCGATGGCCTGGCGGAGAATAGTCTTTTGGATCGATGGTGTCGGTCAAATCCGGTGCCGTTGGTTGAGAAGGAGCAGGTGTTGGAGATTTTGGAGATGGTGGTGGAATAAGTATTCCCCCCGCCTGTTTCTTCCCTCGATCTCTCTCTTCTATGTAAAGTGGAGTTCAGCTGTAAAGATGGAATATATGTATGCATATATGTATGGCTTATTATGGTCCTGACTGCGGCCGCATCATGACACCGCTATACCCCGGTAAAAGAAACCCCATAGTCCATATCCTTATTGTTGGTTCCATATCCTTCTTATAAGAGTGATTGTCGTTGCATCTCGTTCAACTCATGCCAAGGTCCAGCACCAGTCCTTCCACTTTACTGGAAGTAGCTGCGCACCGCTGCCTGGTTGTCCGGGTTGACTCCCGCTAGGATCTGTTCTGGGTTGAAACCAGTTGCGGCTACAAGCTGCTTTGCCGATGCAGCCACACGTGCAGCCGTCTGTCCTTGCAGCGTCTCGGCCTCGAGCGCCGCCACAATGTGTCCGAATACCTTGTCGGCGTTGGAGAGAACCACTGGGTTTTGTCTGGAGCAGGTTAGTATGAAATGAGCTGTGTCGGACAGAGGGGAGGGGTCCCCAGGGGGAGGAGGGTACTCACTGATCAATCAGCTGTGCAAGGAAGGAATAGGCGTACGGAGCCGCCTCCTCGTCAAAGGTGATCGGCAGGGTGCCGATCCAGTTGGCCACAATATCGGCCGCGTTTTGCACCTTGCTGGCGTTGTAGTGAAGGATTTTAGCGATACTGGCCGATGCGTTCTCCGTCGCAAAGACGTGCTCCTCGCTGCGGGCCTGGTTGATCTGCGTCACCTGGAAGAGGCTGGGGATGCTGGCCGCCACAAAGTCGCCCCACGCTGCGCCGCCCTTCTGCGCCGCCACACCCACACCGTAGGCAGCCGCTTGCCGGTTCGCCGCGTTGGGGTCCTGCAGGCCCGCTGCCAGCGGCTGCATGATGTGGTCCTTGTAGTTCCAGGACTCCGGGCCGCAGAACTCGAGCACGTCGTCCATGATGCACAGCGCCCATTGCCGCTGCGTCGGGTCCTGACTGGTGATGAATGCATCGTAGAACGCCATCAGCTGTTCCCACGCCGGCAGGAACGTCGTACCCTGGTTCTTGAAGATCGTGTGGAAGGCCTTGTTCATGTCGCTGAGCAGGTTCTGATCATCCTCAATCGCGTACTCGTAGTCGAGGTTGTCGTCCTCGCCATCGTCCGCCTCCGCCCGGTCCTCGAGACGCGCCTTCACACGGAGCTGGTAGTCCTCCAACGTCGACTTGGCTGACTCGATGAATGCCTGCATGTGCTGCTGGGTCAGGCAGTTCTGGCCCACCACCTCCACCGACTCGTAGAAGCATTGGTACATCTCTGCCAGCGTATCCACAGTGGGCTCGGCGCTCAGCACTTCGATGATCTTCTCCGCCACCTTGTTCCAGATGCCAGCAAATCCAGCCGACTGATCTCCGTGGGCCTTCTTGTAGGAGTTAAGGAGTTGGGGAATCAGCTTAGCAGATGACACCCGCACAGGGTCGTGGAAGAAGAACGCCAGTCCCGGAACTGCAATCTTCTCCATCGTCTCTAGAACATATGGTTCAAAGGCAGCCTCCAGAATCTGAGCGTAGATTGTGATGAGCTCGATGGCGGTGTTCTTGTCCTCCAATGCGCTGGTCTTGATACCAATGATCTTGCCCTTCAACGGCACGAGCTCCCAGCCCTCATCCTGCTCGACCTGGTCGATCTGGTCCTCGTCGTCCAGCAGCTGGATGTCAGCCTTGGCGGCCGCAACCGTCAACAGGGGTGGCATCACTCCGGGAAGGTAAGGAACGAAGTCCTGGCCGAGCACCCGGCACATACGGCCCCAGCAGTGGAGCAGGTACTGCGATTGCGGGTCGTCCGCGTCGACAATGTTCTGTTGGATGTTGCCCAGCAGCTGCACCAGGTTCAGCGCATCCTGGCCCATCTTCTCCTTGCCGACCGCCAAAGCAATCAGCGTGGCACACTCCATCGCCTTCGCGCGAAGCAGACGGTACTCCTTTGACTGTTCCTCCTTCAAGACGTTGAACAGCAGGGGCATCAGGGTATCATAGTACTGCTCGAAGGCGTTCTCCGCAGAATCGGCGATCGTGGCGATCGTGGAAAGGGCTTGCTCCTGCACGTAGCGCTTCGGGCTGCGCAGCAGCAGTAGCAGGTGCTGCAGAAGATCACCCAGGTACGGCTCCAGCACCTTTCTCTCGGCCTCCTCACAGAAGTTGACCAAGGCCGCGGCCGCGTGCGCCTGGACGCGGGGCTCGGTGCTGTTGAGCACGGGGATGATGTTGGTCAGCACAACCGCGTGATACTTCTCTTGCATCGTACCGGCGAAATCGGTGCTCATCTGGCCCAGAGCGTTGCAACCGGCGTACCGCACGCGCGGGTGGGGGTCTTGCAGAGCGGGCACGACCAGTCGCAATACCTGGTCCAGCTCGCCGACCATCAGATCGCGGCAGCCCTCCGAGATGGCGGATATGGCCATCAATGCGGCATGGCGATCGCGCCAGGCAGAGGACGACATCATGCGAGGGATCCAAGCGAAGGTTGCCGGGAGGATAATCTGGCCACCCAGCTTGTTGGCCAGGCGGTCCATGCACTGCTCACCGGCCACGTGGTTGAGATCACTTTCCTCCAGGTCCAGCTGGTAAAGGTCAGTACACGGGCAGTCATGTAGAACGCAGGGAGGAAGGGACCACTTACATCCTCCGATGCATTCCACTCGGAAGCATCTTCATCGTCAATACCGATGTCAGTCATCAAGCTGAGACACTGGGTCACCATCTGCTGGGCGAACTCGGAGTTCTTCTTGCACATCGAGGGCGCATAGTCGGCAAATGTGGCCATCAGCTCCAGCGCGTTCTGGCGGACCTGGTCGCTGAGGTCCTTGTCGGCAATCACGCTGATGCTGAACGTGACCAGGTTGTTGAACATGCTCTTGAACATCTTCGGGCATATTTCCGCTAACTCGATCAGGGACAAGAAGGCGGACGAGAGTTCATCGCTTTCGGTCGATTCCTTCAAGGGAGGTAGAATGTTGAGCAGATCGGGCATCAGGGAGAAGAACTTGGTTTGAGACTTCTTGGCGATCGAGCGGAAGAACGAAGCGAAGGCCTCCATGGCGGCAATGCGCACCTGTACACACGGCGGTCAACAGCGGCTTGGGCCTAAACAGCAGGGGGTCGACATACGGAGACGACATCATCCTTGAAACCCTTGCTGAACACTCCGACAACGGCCTCCTCATGGGGCTTCTCGATGATTCCGGGAGTGGTGTTGAAGATGCGGAACGCGGCCTCGCGCAAGCCGGCGTCGGGGGACTGGCTAGCCTGGAAGAGAACGCCGAGCAGTTCGGGCCATTGGTCGCCTAAGCCACAACAATCAGGTTGATAAGATCCATCACGCGTGAGAGTCCTCCATGGAGCATACCATTATCGGTGTACTGTCTGGCAATCTCAGCCACGGCATCGCCGATCTTCTTGCGGGTATCTGTGACAGACTCATTCGTCAAGCAAGTCACCAGCTTCTGACGGATGATCAACCTTTGTTCTCCAGTGAGGGTCGAGAAGAGCTCCTTGGCTTCGTTCGAGACGGGGTCTTTTCGTGTCTTGGTTGCGATTCTTCTAAAGAGGACGGCGGAGAAGGAACGTGTCTGGGGAGATCCAATGATGAGAACATGGACGTGAGCAACGTCGGGGGCCACCGGTTTGGCGATAACGGCGTGGTCTGCAGGGCTGATCTCTGATGTCTTGGACCACGCCTTGAGGGCCCACCGGAGATCCCCAGCAGGTCACTTACTAGCACATCCTCCGCACCCTGGATCTGCTCGGCCAGGCCCATAAGCAGGACATCCGGGCGGCTTTGAATCCAATCATTGTTCAGCTGTTCTTCCGCCTGGGCACGGATCGTGTTGTCGGGGGTGGACAGCGCGCGCAGCAGCTGCGAGAGCGCCGAGTGGACCTCGGGAGGTAGCAGGGACATTTTGACGGCTCAAAAGCGAACAATCAACCCGAGCTGAAGACCACCAAAATCGCGGTGACGAGAGACACGGGTTCAGCGGTGAACCCGGGGGGGGTAGGGTGTGGGGGTGGTTGGTGAAAGGGACTTTTTTTCGCCCTTGAGAATTTGTTTGGTGGGGGAAAGAAATAAGTTGACCGGTCGAGGGGGAGGCGGTATCTATGGGCACCAACCAGACAGGTCAATCAATGAACGGGCAGCCCGGCCTGACAAAAAGGAAAAGAAGGAGGAACCAACAAGTTTGGTTAATCAAGACCAAGGCGGGAGAAGAACAAGCTCAGCATCGCAGCCGGACACGGAGCTGCGGGTGAACAGGAGGGGAGGGAGGGGGGAGGGGGGCCGTGGATAGAGATAGAGCGAGAGCGATAGATGGTGAGGGAGGGAGGGAGGGGAATTCTTGGGAGCGAAGTTCGATAATCTTTCACCTCTTCGACCTCGAGGCCCCAATAAGAAAACCCAAAATTCCCCCCAAAATTTCCAGCCCGCCAAGGCCGCTGCCCTAGCCCGTTTCCGGTAAGTCTCAGGCAGTCAGGCAGCCGCAGGATTCGGCAGTGGTCCAGGGACCTTGAACTACAGATGGAGGTACTCTCTCTACTTCACTGGCTTCCAAAGGATCTATCATGATCTATCATGCTTTATTACCAGATCATACACCCCATTCATAACCATCATCATGTGTGCGCTGGCCAAATGAGAGTCATACATGCAATTGCAAACCTACGCTTTCACTAACACAACGGTATCCGAACAAAGGCATGCAGGATTAGGACTGGACCACCAGCACAGGTAGGAGATTAACCAATGAGAAACGGAAAATAGAGCCACAAAGCTCAACCACAAACGAAACGCTCTGGGGGGTACAGATATATGACACGGAAGGAGACATCGAGCAAGGAAATAGATACAAACGCGCTGGCTTCGTTCATCGCGACCACAGCTCACCGGGAAGTGGCCCGGCTCAGGATGAACACTCCCGCAATGACGGCGGCCAGCGTCACGATCGCTCCCGGAAGCAGCAACTCGTTGGGCACACCGGCAATGAACGGCTCCTCGGGTTGGTGCGCATGGAAGGACTGGGCCCGCGGATTCGCCACCAGGGGCTCCTCCTCGAACTGTTCTTCCGAAACAGAGCTCTTCTCCTCGACAGGCCGGGCTGGGGCCGGTTGGGGCTCGACAGTAGCAGGAATGGGAGGCTGCGTAGGATCGTGGACGAAGAGATCGACCTTGTCCCGGTGCGACATGTGCGACAGGCTGACGGCGTCTATCAGATCTTGGTCCGTGGTGATGGACACGGTGTCACCCTCGTTGTCCATATAGCTAAGAGCGTAGCCCGTGTTGCTGAGCTTGCCCTCATCGCAGCTGGGGGCACCTCCGACAGCCTCCACCTCAAGACCCAATTTGGCGGAGACTTGAGCAACAAGCTCAGCAATGCCGGCAGAGGGAACGACGTTCACGCGGTGCACACGGCCGCTGGGAGCCTTGAACTTGAAGGGGAATGGGGCGTGTTCGTTGTGGTGCGGGTCCACGTGGTACTCAGAGTGCTCGTCTCCGCCATGGTGAGAAGCGGATTCGTTCGGAAGAACGCTGTCTCGGGCGTCATAACTAGCCTTGGGAGACTCAGGGCTTAGTACTGACCGCTGCGCGGGCTGCTGGCTTCCAGAGACCATGGAATCGGACTCGTGGTCCATCGACAGCCAAAACTTGTTCCATGCCGGGCCCTCGTCATCATGAGACTGCATGGTGTTGATCTGATCGACGTCAGACTTGTTCCTGATCCTGTGATGAGAATATGTTGGTACTGACCTGTTCCAGAGTGGCGTATGTAAGCTTGAGCACATCCACCATGCCCACAATCTCACCCGCATCGTTCATCACGGGCAGGTTCAGGTAGTGTCCGTCTAATCATTCTAGGGTTAGTCGCTTGTCCAGAGGTGTAGACATAGGTCGGGGTTACTGACCGTGCATCTTCCGGAGCGCAGCCTGGATACTCATGTCGCTGGGAGCGAAATCGGGGTGAGGGGTCATCACACGGACGACACTGCAAGTCGCGGGGTCGAGTCCGGGAGCAATGACACGCAGCACGATATCTTTACTGGTGAAGATACCGGTGATGGATCCCTGGTCCTGCACGAGCAGAGCAGTGGTATGGTGTTCCTTCATCAGGGCCGCCGCATCTCGGACGGTTGTGCGAACGGAGACCGTGGTCGGGGGCATGCCATCCAAAACGGACTCAAGCGTCGGGCCGGACATCTTGCTTCGTAGCGCTTCCACATATTGGATGATCTGTTGGGGCTGGCTGGAGCCGAGTTCGGTCTGAACACCCTCCAATGCATCGTAGAGTTTCCGAGATGAGCTGTATGCACGCTCCAACTTTTCCATCGCATCGTAAAAGCACTTTGTGATATCGAGAACACCCGAAATATCCTGGTTCTCGTCCATAACCGGCAAATGTCTGAAGCCTTTCCGAACCATGAGGTCAAGGGCATCGGTAGCACTGGTATCCGTTCTCGCGCACAGAGGGTTCTTGGTCATAATCTCGGCCACAGTGATTTCTCGAGCCTTCAGGCCCGCGCCGACCACGCGGAACGCGAGGTCCTTAGCGGTGAAGATACCAGCGATGCGATCATCATCGTCCGTCACAAGCACACAGTCCTCCCTCTTCGCGGCCATCAATTGGGCGGCTTCGGCAATGGAGGTGTTGGGCTTGATCTGGAGAGCCTGGCTAGGCTTCAAGGCGAGGACGGTACCGGGGGGAGCTTTGCGGGAGCGGTTTGCTCGTGCCGGGACATGTCTCTTTTTGTTGAGGTCGGCCTCCAATTTTCGACGAATAGCCTAGTAGATGGTGTTAGAAGATTCAATGGCAGGCATTGAGTGATCAGGGCTTCGAAAAGAGGGTGCAATTTTTTGCCCAAGACTTTTTGAATTTTTTTCTGTTCACCTCCTTTTCGTCTGGAGCAGTTGGAACCCGAACGGGGAAAAGCGTGTCATACCTCATCGCGCTTGGACTGGTTTTGCCTCTGACGGCTGCTGGCGGCACTCATGGTGGAACTCCCAATGTCGCTGGAGGCAGTCTGGGGGGTGTTAATCGTGGAGGAAGTGTCGGGGCGAGGACGAGGAATGTGACTGTCAAAGTCGGGCAGCCTGCCTCTACCGACAGTCTTGTGGCTAATGGTTCCTTTAAAAGTGGGTGTGGATGACATGGCGCCGAACCGGAATGGCGGACCTGGTAGGCTGGCAGGTCTGTGTTTCACGAACCGGTCAAGAGAGAGCGGAGAATGCCACGGAGCGGTGGAATGCAGACACCCGGGGGGGACAAACGAGGTCTGAGGAGCGGGTTGAACAGAGACACGCCACGCAAGGAACAGGATGAGGAACTGAGGAAGAAAGACACAGCACGATGATCTGGACGACCGGACGAGAAAGATACGGCAACCAGGGGGTTCCCAAGAGGTTTAGCCTGGCCGAACTATTTGCTGGTTAATGACGGGTTTCAGGGAGAGGCAGACGGGGACGGGGACCACTTAGATACAAGCCGCCCCCTCAATCCGTGAGTAAACAGAATACCGTATTGGTGTACCGTAACTTTGGGTCGGGAAGGTCCTGCGCACTAGGCCGTTTTCATGCAGGGCACGTGAATGGATCATCCAATGTTTCCTCTGAGCCTCCAAGGCAGGCGGTCAGGCCACCCTCCACAGCCCACTTTCCCACTTCCCACTTTCCACTTTCTACGGCACCCCCCCCCTTCGGCTGCCTCAGGTATCAACCACCATGGACACCTGAGGCCACTTATCCCGTGACCCAGCTCGCTTAAGGGCATAGGGCTACCACACAAACCCGACACAACCTCATCCCGAGAGCGTCTCCGGAGCCTTTACGACAACCAAACCCGACAGCCAAGTACGCAACAACCTCCCATCCCCTATTCCCTGACTCACATTCTCTGACCTGTCGCTGCAGAGAAATCCGTCAAGATGGTCAAGAAGAGGGCGAACAAGTAAGACCGAACCCTTTCCTATCCCACCCATCCATGCCCTATATACAACTACGCACACCTAAAATGTGACACCGACGGGACCGCCATATACTTGCCGCAGAAAAGGCCCGGCTACCGTACAGTGTGTTGTATTGGGGTTAGAATTATCAAGAAGAAGGACCGCGAAATTCAAAGCGAATCATGAAATCATGGAATCAGCAAATCAAAAAGGTCCAAAACTAACCAGTCTATAGCGGTCGTAACAAGAACGGCCGCGGCCACGTCAAGCCCGTGCGCTGCTCCAACTGCGCTCGCTGCACTCCCAAGGACAAGGCCATCAAGAGATTCACCATCCGCAACATGGTTGAGTCCGCTGCCATCCGTACGTTCCACGATCCTCCATCGTTGATCTGAGTTTGCCGAATCCGTCCGCGCGCGCTGTCTGTTGTTCGTTCCGAAAAGAGTTGGGAAGTGGGGACGTGTCTGCAAAGGATTGAAGTGGAATGTGGTCGACTGCGACAAGGGAAAGACAAAAGGGCGATAGCGACAGCGCGATGCACGAGTGAACGGCATTCAACCAATTGCGTGAAATATGACAACTCCGGACTGACTCGTGTTCCTTCCCATCTACAGGTGATATCTCGGACGCCTCCGTCTTCACCGACTACGCCGTCCCCAAGATGTACCTGAAGCTGCAGTACTGCGTCTCCTGCGCTATCCACGGCAAGATCGTTCGGTACGCGACCCACCCACCATGACCACCCATGACATGATGACCATCTCGACCATCATCGCAAAATGTACCCCCGAACAAGAATCCATAAGCTGACCGGTTCTCTTCCAGTGTCCGTTCCCGCGAAGGTCGCCGCAACCGTGCTCCCCCTCCTCGTATCAGGTACAACAAGGATGGCAAGAAGCTGAACCCCCCTCAGGCCGCCAAGGCTATGTAAGGAAGGAATAACCAAAAGAGAAAGAAAATGGAATTAGTTTAGGGGCCTTAACTGTTGCTTCTTGATATTTTTCTTTTGTGTTGTTGAAACAGACTTCTTTACACGGATTAAATGGAATGAACGGGTTTCAGTTTCGGGGTTGATTTGAAAAGCAAAAAAGGTTTCCTGGTTTCGCCGGTGGGCTGGAGAGACGAAATCTATATCAGAAACAAATAACGAAATTCTAAGCTTCAGGTGTCCCGCCCAAAGGTAATAGGAAACAGAACAGACCTGCCATTCGTGGACGGATGTTGACGTGCTGGGGGATCGCTTCGTTTGCTTGAAGTTCTCGGGCCCGGTATTGATCTCCTTGACTTACCATGGCATTCAAGGGAACTCGATTAGATCTAATGAAAAATGGAATGACATGATCCCATCATAGTTTACCAAGTCTTGTTAATTACGACGATGTGAGCAATGCCGTTTGTCGATATCTTCTAATCACTAGTCATGGATGCCGGCGTTCTAGATGCTCCGTCATGGGTATAAATAGCCCTTCTCAAAGTAATTCCCATACATATCTACCACCCCACTTCGTCCTTTCGGCGCTGCGTTCCGGACAATTTTCACTTCTCCTTTCCAATGCCCCTCCAAGTATTGAGCAATGGATAAAGGAGGCCCTGGTGTCGCCGCCAGCGAGCTCAGGCTTGGCGACGGCGAGAATGTTTGAAATGACGACACAGGGGGAGAGAAGCGAGAGGATACAGTGTTACGTCTTTCCCGATCGCCCCTCACCATGTCTTCATACTCTGCCTTTTTAGTGCGTCGGAAGGACGCCAATGCGGCGACGAGATCAACATCCGGTACTATCTCCTTCCGTGGTGCCCCTGATTCTCCACCTTGGTCTTGGAATGGGCTGTGCGAGCGCATGCCCCTAGGTGTGGCCGCGGGATCAAAGAAGTTTGATTGCGAGGGCAGTGGACCTGGACGAAGCATAGACGGTGAAGACGCTATATCTGGCTCCGAAAGCCCTGTACGGCATGGATCATCATCTTCTGGTATCAACGTCACCTTCTCATTCAAGGCAGCTATAGGGAAGTATTTCCCTGAATAAGCATCGGGCACCCCACACTCCTCTTCCCCAAAAAAGCTGAAGTCGCCTATTGCTGCCGACCACAAGTTTTCAGAATCTCGGTCTCCTGTACTTGATTTCGAAGCGCCTGTGCGGTAGCTGGCTGGAGTCCATCGGGACAATTTCTGGGTCCGATCACTGGGTGTGATCTCCAGCACCAAGCGGCGAAGAGCAAACAGAGACCTGACTCGTTCCTGTTCAGCTCTGGCTCGAGCTCGACCGGGTGGGAGGGAATAGTCCGATCCCGCTTGGAGTGTTGCAAGTAATGCTTCATTTGAGCAGGCGGTTATGAATCGGATTAAAGATGCCAAGATGGGAGAATTGGTAGGTACGTGGGACGGGACGTCAGTCAAAACCATGGTCTCAAGATGAGGGACATGAGAGGGATGCAGGTATGGAAAATAGCTCCCTCTGCTATCACGTCGAGGAAGACTTTTTGGCCGCTTGGCAAGCAATTCCTGGATTTTCTGGGCCCGAGGATCTTCCGCTGATAAGGGAGAAGAGCATTGCGGTATTGAGCCCACGGTATCCAGCGTGATGCTGGGAATGCTCGAGATGCTCGAAATTGAGACGTCATGAGGCAAGCGGGTGACATGAGTATCGTCCCGCCCATCTTCATGGCTGACTTGGTCTGTCTCGACCACCTCGGGGGCGAAAACGGAGCCTCGTCGCCGATCAGGTAACGGTTCATCTTCATAGATAATTGGTTTTCGAACGCCCTCACTAGACCGAGACGGCCAGTTCGATGGTTGCGGAACGGGTGTACCGGGAAGCTCAAAAACAGCGGCTTCGTTTGAGGGCATTTCATAGATCTCATGATTGGTCCCTAACTCCGCTTCTCGAGGTACTTCACTCTCATTTCCAGCTGGAAGCTCCGGGAGCAACATATCCAATGTTACAGGCTCCTTTGACGGTCCGTCAACTGTACAGATGGCATGATGGGCTCTGAAATAGGTAAGGTTGTCTTTGGCTGTGGTGCCCAGGATAGGTATCAACTTCTCAGCGCCAGGGAGCTCATGGGCGTCATCCTGAGGTGAGCTGAGGGGATGCTGCCTACTGCTAATAGACTCGACAGTGTCAACGGTCCCCACATCTAGGGCATGAAGTCGAGATGATGCCAAAAGGCTTGCGGCTCCTTCCACTGAGATGGGATTGTCCGCAATATAGAGATGCGTTATGCCTACCTGCGATAGGTCCTCAACCCAAGAGCGGCCTGTCAGTGGCTGTGTTAAAGCTTTCAGAACTTCCTCATCTAGAGGAGGGTGGCTGAGAAACCTCCGGTTGGAGAGCAGCGGTCTTGAATGCGGCGAACGCATAGGGGATCCAGATGGTCCTCTCCGTGGGCCATCCTCTGCACCTGGCGGTAGAAAGGATGCTTGCAACAAAGATCGGATAGACATGTCAGTAAGAAAGTTATTGCGCAGATCTAGAAAGCGGACTCTACGCCCAATAGCATTGGCTAGAAACTCGGCGTCATTATCTTTTAGGCCAATACCTCGTAATTTGAGCACCTGGAGATGTTCCAACTGAGATAGAGATGAAAGAACTATACGATCCCGCGCAGGGGTGGTATAGGAGAGATCGAGATAGATTAAACCCGGGAAGCGTAAGAGTGTCTCCGCAATACCCTGTGAGGTTGTGTTGGGCTCCCTATCCGCCAGTAGTAGACGGACATTATAGGTCTCGGAAGCCGTGTCAGTTCCCCCCGGTGAGCCACATCCTTTGAGAGCGGTCATGGCATTGTGGTCAAAAAATGGCAGCTTCGAGACCATCAGGGATTGGAGGCAAGGTAGCGATTCCAGAATCTCTCTTAACCACTCGGGCCGTGGACCCCCATAGATCTCCGAGAGAGCAGGCGGCAGGTGCAGCGTATGGGTGAGTATCCGAACCTCGAGTCGGGCATATTTTAGTGTCCTCCTGAACCTTGTCAGGGCGACTAGGGTGATGAGCCAAGGTCAGCACCAAACGATCTCCTCAAAACACTGTTCGAGTCTTACCATAAACCGCATCGTTATCAGTTCCGAAGTGAGAGGCCGGGTCACCCCACAGAAATGGCATAAAAACGTCATGCCATCTCCGACACACCGAGACTGCTGCACAGAGGTCGCTCGAAGGAATGTACTGGGCTATAATCGACCATGCGTCTCTGGTTGTGGCGCTCTGGTAAGATGGCGGTACAGTATCCATCGTCACGATCGTACGTGGTAGTGGTACAGCGTTCACCAGGCTAGGGTGGGCTTAGACCTTCACCCAGGGAGGGCTAATGATTTATCAGGGGCCGTTCTGCTGCAACACATCGAAAAGAAGAATGAATGGGGCGATTGACCATTTGAACTGGATGTTTGTCCCACGGGGCGCTAAGACAAAACGGCCCCCCAAGCGTGCTCAAGTGTGCTGGACTGCTGACGGGCGTCGGGCACTGCCACGGTGCCACCACACGTCGCGATGGGGCGGGGAAGGTCCGAAGGATCCATAGGGCCCAGAAGATCCCATAGATTATTTGACAGTAGATACTAGATAGATAGATGAGATGGTCAGATGAACGAGTGGCCCTCCCGAAAAGAAGAAGAAGCAGAAGAAGATAGTAGTAAGGCTGTCAGCGTATTGTACGGAGAACCGCTGTGTCTGACGTCATCCCCCGCTCCGACGGCCAGCAGCAGCCAAACACGCGCCGGCAAATAAAACGACGCCGACAGAAGCGCTTCGTCCGACTGGCCTCTTCTCATCTTCCCCATCTCAGCTTCTTCTCGCCTTTGCTCCATAGGTCACAATGGAGCCATGGCAGCGCAATATTCGCAGGATGCACCAAGTCGAGGAATTCATGGATCTTGATCCAATGAAGTCCGACACGGTCGCCGATTTCGCCGCACTTCTTCAGGCGGTCCGAGAAGGGCTTACCCATATCGACGACGAATCCTACATCCCCGATTCGCAGATCAACCTGATGTTCCTCACCAAGCTCAAGGACTGCCCGGAGTGGAGTGATTGGGCCTCTGCCATGCTGCGAGATCGTCGAATGAACACCCCCAATCCAGCGGACCAAATCACCTTTCAAGAGCTAACCGACTTGGCCGTGGACCATGAGAGGATCCGTAAGCGGCGGGGAAGGCGTGTATGGAGCGGCAATGGTACTTCCAGGGTAGAGGCCGCATCTCCCTCGAAGACTTCGCATGAATCCCACGCCCCCACGCAAGACGAGATCAACGCGTTTGTTGTCCGACAGATGGACCAAGATGGGCAATTCCGTAGTCGCACTGGAAGCGTCCGGGGACACGCCAAGAGACCAAGTCAAGAGGAAATCAACGACTACGTGATTGAACAGATGCGCCGCGAGCGAGAGCAAACCTCGAGGGATCAAAGCTACAGTCAGCCCGATCAACGCCCAGTGCGGATGCACTGTACATTCTGTGGGGACAGACACCACCAGCTATCAAACTGCTGGCGTCGATGGAGGGTTGCTGTGGAAGCACCGCACGGGAATTACTTGCCCAAACGCGTCGAGTACAGAACTGAGATTCCGGGTCAACCGCCCATGTATCGCTCGGGGTTTACTCTTTATTAAGCAGCGACTGCATGACCGACATGACATGATATTGATTTTCCATCGTGTTGCGATGATACCTTCGTTTGATCAGCGTGGCGTTTGGTGTCCTAAGATTCTGGTTTTCTTTAATATGGAAGACGTTATTTCCTTTGCGCTTAGCCCACATTTATATGGGCTGTCCAAATACACTGCCGTCCCTACAGTCTTTCTGGTCATTTCTGGCTCAACTGATCTCCTGTTTCATTCCATATCTCAAGGCAATGCCGTGGCTCGGTGGTAGGCAAGGGTCGGGATTCCTAATCGCAAGCTTTCAAGGTCTTTGAATGTTGGGTCTGTCTTCAAAGACGAATCGCTGTCTGGCCATTTTCTCTGTAGCAGCATGTCTCGCAGTCTCATCTGAACAGTAACACATGCATCTGCCCACGCGCAGACAACACCCGCCAGACCCTCTGTAAGGGAGAATGGATGATCTGGCAGTCGATAGATGTTAGAGGCTGGCGAGGTCGGGTTATGGTAAGGAGGTGTCTCCCGCGCGTGCAGCATGAGTGACAGCGCTCTTGACAGGAAATAGTCACCGGTGAGCCCGCTCTCCACTACCGCCGTATTGGTGGTCTGCGCTCGTCCCATATAGTTGCGCTTAGCGGTCTCCATCTCTTCCTTATCGTACTGGAAGCTGTCATGAAGAAGCAACAGGGCCCAAGCATTACCGGTAATACCATGACAGATTCCACCCCCTTTGGAGAGTAGCCCTTCCTCCCAGACCCGCTCACTCGCCAGGCGAATTGCCATATCCCACTCGGGCTGCCAATAGTCAGATACCAAGGGTATATTCCTTCTGGCGCTTGCCATAAGAGCTAGGATGCCAGGACTACCATGGCAAATTTGGACAAGAGGAGAGGAGCGATGGGATGAAGGCCCACGGTCAGGAAGGTTCGTTGGGAGGTGCCCGTTATTGGAAATGCATATTTTGCAGAGGTTTGTGATGGTGTCCGCTATCAGGGGCAAATAATTGCGCGAAGCGCCATCGTGTAGCTCTTCTGGATTGCAGGCAAGGAGGGCTGCAAGTATGCCGGCTACAAGTTGTCAGTAGAGCAGGTCATAGGTACTTCCTCGCATGGGCTGAACATACACATTCCGTGTACCCTAATTAAGATGTCAGAATCGACATTATGCTACTCAGCACAGCATTGGGCGCTGAAATGAATACTTACGCTCCTAGGCCGTACCGGTCTTCATGCCAGTGCCACATCAACGGCAGCGCATCCTTCTCCCCATGTTTCTTTGTGTAGTCCTTTCTGCCTTGGAGTCCTCCTTCAACAATCGCGTCGACAATCTTTGGAACAGATTCAAGAACGGACGCCAGAAGGCCTGCGGTCTGCTCGTCATACCTGTGGGCTCTAATGCTGAGTACAACCCATAAGAGTCCCGCCCGACCATACAAGACTTCGTCGGTGCCAGTCAGCTGAGTACCATGGGGCAGCATGTGGCTATTGCTGAGGGCCACCTGCACGACATTTCGAAGACATTCAATATCGGCTTCCGAAATCGCTGCGCCTGATTGCGCAGCTGCAAGAATTCGCAGTAATGGCCCCACTAGCACGCTAGAAGAGCCAAAGGGGGATACTCTCTCGGGAAATAATGGCACCTCCGGCCCATGGGATAGGATCCGCTCACTCGCAAGCCTGCGAAAATCAAGGGGAAGCCCGACGTCTCGATCGCTCAGCGCCTTGATTTGATGGTCCACTCGAAGGAAGGCAAGAGCAATTCCTGAAATAGCAAGGCTTATTAGGATAGGTCCAGTGGAGCTTATGACATGATCGACAGCAATGTGGGCTGGCGGGAGGCATAGACATACCTGGAAATCCCACATAACAGCCCGTGTTGTATGTTTCCCCCCAGTCGTGCTGAGGAGGACAGCCTTCTTGCAGTAGATTAGCCCCACGATTAACAGCAACTTGTAATGCCTTGAGGGTGTCTGTCAAGGACTGTTGATCTATCTCTAGAGGGGTTAAGGTATTAGGGTAATACTGAGGGAGATCCTTGGTCGTCATGTCTGCGTAGTAATAGAGGGTGTCTACAAAGGGAAAGGGCCAGAGTAGATCTTGGTGGTTTAATGAAAACTAGAATATGATAATTAGAATGATTCTAGTAGCACTTATAGTACTATGAGAATCCTACAAGAGACAAATGTGGGAGAGCAGCCGAATGCGTCGACCACGTGCCTCGATCACCTGATCGGTATGCATCGACTTACTTCATCGAACTGGCAATGACGGTACTTCAAAATGTCAAGATAGCCCTCATAGGGAAAGGCCAAGGGGACCAGAAAATCAACCCAGGTCCTTCAGGTGCACCATAGGTGCCTGCTCTCGTTTTGCCCTTGTCGTTGCATGCCATTCTTCAGTTACACGACAACCCCATTTTAGGCACCCGACTAGCAGGTGGGTTTCCCATATTCAAGCTCCTCATAATTCTGGGAGATGGCTGCCTACACCTGAGAATGTTTTAGATATGCGTGGAATTTCTATCTGGAAGTCTGGTCAGAAGAGAAAACATCATTTGATTCGGACGAATGATGAATTTGAGAGACATGACGGCATGAGGCGAGAGCCAACAAGTACTTCGATATATAGACACCTTCTACAAATTTCAGTATCAAGAACCCCGCAGCTTTTGACTGAGAAATGAGCACTCAGATCGGTACTTAATTCAGATTCACTACTACTTCCATCGATCATCAGCAGGAGACTTAGTCAAATCATGTCCGTGATCGTATCTTTTACTTTCCATCTCCTGGCCATAGGTACGTCTACCTTCCTCCAAAACGTTTTGCCGGTACTAGTGCTAATCCTTGATTAATGACCGCAGATAATGTTGTTCTCAAGTCGACTCTTCGAGGTAATCAAGACCAATGCGACTGTGAATGGCTAGCAGACAGCCAGGACTGTCGTCATTGTGTTCCCTTGAGACTTGGGGCTGGACCTGCACACTTTCCGGTGTCGTTGCTCAAAGCACTATGCATATATTAATCGCTCAAATAATTGGGTGGATCGGCAGTCTATTCGCAGTTTATGGGCTAGATGATCGACCTCAGCTGGGCCCCTCCAGCTGAGCCCGTTTGGTTAATTCGGTCATGCATCGCTCTCGCCTTTCTGGAAATCTACTCGATGGCTCTTCATGGCACCCTCCACACTCGCAGATGAGTTACATGGCTGTGGGTGCTAGTACTTACTTACCTAGAATCTAGATTCAGCTGTCATTGAATTGTCATTTCGAACAACATGCGCTAAACATGCGTCGTCCATTTAGCCGAACATGGGGGCAGGAAACCACATCTAATTCCGGTGGATATGACTCTTTCAGCGAAAATAAAAGTACTTAATTTGCACCTCCTTATATTCAATCTCTATGTCGATACTGTCTTGTATCTGCAACGTTACCAGTTTATGCCCGGGTATTTATGAACAAGTGGCTATCATGGTTAGCATAGTAGTGGAGATCCAAGCAATGCCTAGATTTCAAAGACTGACAAAACAGCAGTCTTGGTTAGTTATATTCTATTACCAATATATTGTGTATCCAGTTATAGCAATTAATGCTACCTGTAATTAGCTTTGGTAGGTGCACAACTGGAACAATTCACCCCAGTCGACATTATATACTTCTGCGGCCAACCACCCAGAGGAACGGGAACCCTCAGCTGCACTAGCAAAAGGAGATCATGGAGCAGGACAGAACTCTGAACGTCGAATGTTGTACAATGTTATCTATGATAAGGCAGAGCTACATATAGACGCTCAGTTCTGTCTTCTCGAATAGAGTATAAATAGACAGTAGCACTTGGAATCGACATCTGGTGGGGTTTGAATGAGAAGTAGAGAGCATGAGCGCCCCTGGAACGTGAATTACCACGGCATTCCGAATGAGCAAACGGCTCATGCCCACCAAAAAAAGATGAAGAGGAATTTTAATACATGATAAGAAGAATGCTATACCAAAGATCTCCTGAGCGAGCCATCGAGGGGGAGGGGAGCAACAGGTAGGGTTGCGGGGCGCGGCATGATTGGTCACCGCCTCAGCACTGGGAGTTTCGATCCCAAAGAAGCTCGGGGAAATTTTGGTCGAGAGCGTTATTGACCTCCGACCAGCTGGGACATTCAGGGCCACGATCGCATCTTTCTCCTGTTCCTTGTCCTCTGCCTCACATACCCCACTCTTCTCCGCCGTTCCTCCCTGAACTAATCTCTTCAAAATGGCCTTCGCCGGCCAAGCACCCACGATCATCGTGCTCAAGGAGGGTCCGTCACCCGCCCGCATTGCATTGCATCCCATCTGTGTGTATCGCTGAGGTTTGCTGACTCTCTTGATGTTTCGTCGTGATCAGGCACCGATACCTCCCAGGGCAAGGGCCAGATCATCTCCAACATCAATGCCTGTGTTGCCGTGCAATCCACGATCAAGAGCACCCTCGGTCCCTATGGAGGGGACCTGTTGCTGGTGGACGGCAACGGCAAGCAGACCATCACCAACGATGGAGCCACAGTGATGAAGGTGCGTCTATCGGATGCCACCTTTAGCATCGCTGGCTTTTTTCTTCATTCTCTTGCAGTTATACTGACTATCACTTGTTTATCTAGCTTCTGGACATCGTTCACCCCGCCGCCCGCATTCTCACGGATATTGCCCGCTCCCAAGATGCCGAAGTGGGTGATGGAACAACGTCGGTCGTTGTCCTCGCAGGTGAGATATTGAAGGAAGTCCGCGAACTTGTCGAGCAGGGTGTCAGTGCACAGACGATCGTTAAGGGTCTGCGGAGGGGTAGTGCGATGGCCGTCAACAAGATCAAGGAGATCGCCATCGACATGATTGACGCTGCGGGAAGCGTGGAAAAGAAGATCGAGACGCTCCGCCGACTGGCCGGAACGGCGATGAACAGCAAGCTTATCAAGCGGAACTCGGACTTCTTCACCAAGAGTAAGGGGCTTCTGCATATTGTGGCATGTGGTATGGGACGCGGAGGCTGACAAAATACTCTAGTGGTGGTGGACGCCGTGCTGTCGCTCGACCAAGATGACCTGAACGAGAAGCTGATCGGTGTGAAGCGCGTGACTGGTGGTGGTCTGCAGGATTCCCTTTTCGTGAACGGTGTCGCTTTCAAGAAGACCTTCTCCTATGCCGGTTTCGAACAACAGCCTAAGTATTTCAAGGACCCGAAGATCGTCTGCCTGAACGTCGAGCTGGAGTTGAAGAGCGAGAAGGACAACGCCGAGGTGCGCGTCGAGCATGTGTCGGAGTACCAGGCTATCGTCGATGCCGAGTGGCAGATCATTTACAACAAGCTTGAGGCTATCTACAAGACCGGCGCCAAGGTTGTTCTCAGCAAGCTGCCCATTGGTGATTTGGCTACGCAGTATGTTTCTTTGCAGAGATTCAACAATCATATTACATGCTGACTCGTGTTTTCCTGTTTACAGATACTTTGCGGATCGGGACATCTTCTGCGCTGGTCGTGTTGCGACCGATGATATGGACCGGGTTTGCCAAGCGACCGGAGCGGCTACGCAGTCGACCTGCAGCGACATCCAGGAACGTCACCTGGGTACTTGCGGTACGTTCGAGGAGCGCCAGATCGGTGGTGAGCGTTTCAACCTCTTCTCCGAGTGCCCCGCCGCCAAGACCTGCACACTGGTGCTGCGTGGTGGAGCGGAGCAGTTCATCGCCGAAGTTGAGCGCAGTCTGCACGACGCTATCATGATCGTTAAGCGCGCTCTCCGCCACACGACCATTGTCGCGGGTGGTGGTGCTACCGAGATGGAGCTGTCGAGCTTCATGCACGGCTTCGCGGACCGCAACGTGCCCCACAAGCAGCAGGCGGTTGTCAAGGCGTTCGCCAAGGCGCTCGAGGTGATCCCTCGCCAGCTGTGCGATAACGCCGGCTTTGATGCGACGGACATTCTGAACCGGCTGCGCGTGGAGCACCGCAAGGGCAACACCTGGGCGGGTGTGGACTTTGATCACGAGGGCGTCCGGGACAACATGGCCGCGTTTGTGTGGGAGCCCAGCTTGGTCAAGGTGAACGCCATCCAGGCGGCTGTGGAGGCCGCATGCTTGATCTTGAGCGTGGACGAGACTATTAGTGAGTACCCCGCGACCTAGTTGAACCCCTAAAGCCCATAGTGTTCGTTAGACTGACCGACGGATCCTTTCTTTTCCTACACAGAGAACGAAGAGTCGGCCCAAGCTCAGGCACCAACACGGGGCCTGCCGCCGGGTGCTGCCCAGCGGGCCCTTGGAGGAGGCCGCGGACGTGGCATGCCTCGACGGGGACGGTAGATGACGGAGGAGCAAGGAGGAATGGGGATAGGCTGAGGAGGGAAGATGACCCGGATGGTTGAACACAAAAAGCAAACGATAGTTAGAAGAACGCATTCGGGGGGGGGGGGAAGGCTTGGTGTATTACCTCTTGTGCATAAGGTAGTGTCTACTAGTACCCCGGCCGTGGTGTCGGCGCAATCACGTGCCGCAGCAGGGAGAACGATCTGCTCTGCACGGGTCGGATTAATGGACGACGAGAATTTTCTGGATGAAATTCTGGACCCAAGGGGGTGGATAGATCAGTCCGTGCTATTTAAGGTGGAGCGGAAAAAGGAAGGAATGGCGGATTGTCTGGAATTGGGCATCAGTATGTAACTATCTAGATACTATGCAGGAGCCCTGACGGCGGCGTACTCCGTCGATAATAATATATCTACATAGCAGGGAAAAACAAAATTAAAAATTAAAATAAAAATAAAAAAGGGGATCGGGGAGGCCGAGGCATGCTTTGTTTTTCCTTTTCTCCATTGCGAATGATTGCAGGGGTCTGATCTCTGCGCCAACATAAATAACGCCCGAAAATCCAGGCCGCGGCCCTTGTTCCCGGGCCGGACCCAATCAGGTCATCAGCACCCCCGGGCGGCACTGCATCGGAACCCCATCTGACGCCTGCGCCTTTTCTTATCCTCTCCATCTCTCTCCGGCGGCTGCTTCGTCTCCCTCTTATTTGTCTGTTCCGGCCGGCTTGCATTCCATCTATCCATCGATTCATCCTCTCTCTGGTCACTTGTCAGACCATGTCCTACTATCCCCCCTACTCGGGACCCCCCGGGTATCCCCCGCAGCAGTATTCCTATCCTCCCCAGCAGAGCTATGGCTCCCCGCCCCAGCAATATCAGCAGTGAGATCTCCTTGCGTGCTCCTCTTCTCGTCCCCCTCAGGATCTAGACCTTTCCTCCTACGAAAAGCCCTCCTCTTCCGGTGTCGCGCTGACGCCGCCGTGCAGACAGATGAATCCTCATCAGCACCCGCACCACCAGCACCACTCGTCTTACGAGGGTGGTTACCCCGGCCAGGCCTATCGCCAACAACAGCCTCCCAGCAACCCGTACCAATACAACCAGCCCTCACCGCAACCATACCAAGGGTCGCAAGCCCCCCCGAATGGCTATAATGTATGTCTCGCTTGATGCGTTACATCCCTGCGTGTTGGTGGCATGGCCAGTGTGGCTGACGTCGCTTCTCTAGGGTGGTTACTCTGCTCCCAACCAAGGTGCGATGTACGGGGGTCGGCCAGGTACGTTTGATATGATGCTCAACTCGAGAATGTGGCAGAGCTGATGTATCTCAGGCGCCGACGCCTACCAGAGTTCCTACAACCAAGGCAACCACGGCAGCCACAGCAGCCACGGCATCCCTGCGCCCCCGCCCACCGAGCCGGTCAGCTTCGGCCAAGGAGCGCCGCAAGGATACAACTTCCAGTACTCGCGCTGTACGGGCAAGAGAAAGGCTTTGCTGATCGGTATTAACTACTTCAACCAGAAGGGTCAGCTGCGCGGATGTATCAACGATGTCAAGAACATGTCGACCTACCTGAACCAGAACTTTGGCTACGCTCGCGAAGACATGGTGATTCTGACGGATGATCAACAAAACCCCATGAGTCAACCCACCAAGGCGAACATCCTGCGTGCCATGCACTGGCTCGTCAAGGACGCTCAGCCGAACGACTCCCTGTTTTTCCACTACTCTGGTAAGCGCGGATCCCTCCCCTAGCTGCTGGACTGGACTGACGACAACAGGGCACGGTGGACAGACGCCTGATCTCGACGGAGACGAAGACGATGGATACGACGAAGTAATTTACCCGGTCGACTTCCGGGCAGCGGGCCACATTGTCGACGACGAAATGCACCGGATTATGGTCAAACCGCTACAGCCGGGCGTCCGATTGACGGCTATCTTCGACTCGTGCCACTCAGGCTCGGCGCTCGACCTGCCCTACATCTACTCGACCCAGGGTATCCTCAAGGAGCCCAACTTGGCCAAGGAGGCGGGCCAGGGCCTACTGGGCGTGGTGTCGGCATATGCGCGCGGTGACATGGGCGGCATGATGTCGACGGCCGTTGGGTTCCTGAAGAAGGCCACCAAGGGCGACGAGGCATACCAGCGTACGGTCCAGACCAAGACGAGCGGAGCGGATGTGATCATGTGGTCCGGCAGCAAGGACGACCAAACCAGTCAAGACGCCCAGATCGCGGGTCAAGCCACGGGCGCCATGTCGTGGGCATTCATCAGCGCGCTCCGCAAGAACCCCCAGCAGAGTTACGTGCAGTTGCTGAACAGCATTCGAGACGAGTTGGCGACCAAGTATACGCAGAAGCCGCAGCTGAGCTGCAGCCATCCCTTGGGTAAGCAGTCGCCTGTCGCTTCGTGATTGGGAGTAGTTCTGACGGATTTTAGACGTGAATTTGCGGTATGTTATGTAAATAGTTGCTTGCGGGTCTTGCGGGATAGTTTGGGATGGGAAAAAAAGGATTCCAATTTAATCAGTACTATACTCTTTTACAGAGCATGATTTATCCCTTGAGTATGCCCCTGATGCCTGTTATGATTGCATTGTTCCGGGGTGGGTTGCTTCGTTGGCTTCGTTGTGCATATTGAGAGTGGTTATCGAATCCATTGACGGTGATGTTTCATCACTATATTCATCATAATCATGCCTATGTCCATGAGATGCTCATAACTTTTCCAACCATACCGACCCGACCCGAACAGAGAAGAAAGCAAATCGATCGTATGTAGTCATCCTACCACCTCTTGGGCGCATCCACCACCGTCCTCGAGAACGAGGCACTAAACGTCTCCGTCTCCTTTTTCTTCTTCGCGGCAATGATCCCCGTCCGATCCGTCACCGGCGTCGCATTGATGATACTATCGAAGGCCTCATCCTCGCTGCCGCCCGCGGAGCCGGATTCCGCGTCCGAATCTTCCAATGGCTGTTGCTCCTTCGACTCCTCCGGCCGAGCGATCTTCTCTAGCTGCGGCTTATCCTCCGTCGAGGGGTTCTGGAAGGCCTTAGAGTTCAGGATCTTGGCGCGGATCGCAGCCATTTGCGCCTCGTCCTCGGAGTCATCTGAAATCGCGAACGGGTCCTTGTCTTCCTCTTCCTCTTCCTCCTCTCCATTCTCTCCTTCCTTGTCTGACCATTCTTCATCCTCATCGGAATCCGACTCCGCCCGACGATTTGTGTTTCCGACCGTCCAGATATCGTCTGCGCCGCCCGCGGCCCGACTATCCTCATATTCCTTCTCGATCTTGGCTAGCCATTCCTCCTCGGTGCGCTTCATCTCATCTTCGTCCTTGCAGGCCGCATACCGCTTCAGTAGCTTCGAGTTGATTTCCAGAAATGCCTCGCCGTATCGGAAGTGTTTGAGGACTTCGCGGGCCCAGTCTTCGTGTCCGCAGATACAGAAACAGGCGGCTAGGGCTTCGACGCAGTTGAGACGCCAGGGTTTACCGTAGTTGACTGTGTTGGCGGCGATGAGGTAGGGTACTGTTTTGGTCAAGCAGTTAGTATATGAGTCGGAGGTAGATGGGGAAGGGAGATTGTAAAGTACGTGGGTGTAGACATACAGAGTCGTTCACATTTTCCTCCGATGCGCGACCAGGGGACTTCCTTCACTCGCACCCAGGAACATTCCACCACTGCGGCACCGAATTGTTCGAGGAGGTCTTTGTCGGCGGGGGAGATGATTTTCTTTGCGTTGGGACTGTGTAGATTATTAGTGATCGGTTTTGATGAGATCTGTGGACGGGGATCTGTTGTCGGAGACGTACGAGACGATGACACCGGGGAAGCGCTGTCCGATGGCCAACTCGCGCATCAGGCCAAACTGCATCAGTCGCTTTCCGGAGCAGCGCTTGGGGTCGCAGTGGCCGAGATCCCAGCAGGCGGCCTTGAAGGGAGGTCTGGAGGGGCGGTCGGCATCGTCGGCGTCGGCGTCTTCGGCGTCGCGGCGGGGAGGACGGGGGCGGGGGTTTGCGGCGAATTTCTTGCCTCCTCGGGCGAAGTTGTCTTTCTTATGGCGGACCATGGTGATGCTGTGTAATGTGTTGGAGACCGGAGGGAGTGGGGGGTTTTTTTGGAGAGGAGAAAAAGTGATGACGGCGGCGGGAGGGGAAGACACTTGAGGGAGCCACACGTGGATTCGAACTAAACCCAGCCGGACTCGGGCGACTTCGCCCTGGAAAGTAAACCAAGTCGACCAACTCAACCAACTTCCCCCGTCTTCCCCTCACTCCGCCACCGTCTCCACGAGCTCTGCTGGCGCGTGCTGTCAACGCGTTTGCCATTGCGCTTCTTTATCTTTCTATCCCTTGTTCATCCCCGTTGCCGTCACCCTGGAGGCCGCTTCAGCACGCATGGCAGCGAGGGACCGCTTCGGTGGTGCCTACGCTGACCTGGGCTTAACACCGCTGCAACGGGCTGTTCGTATGCACGCCCCCTGTTTGGCTTCCCCCCTCAACACATCGCCTGCTAATCAATCTTCTCCGATCAGGAAATGCCTGTGACCTCTCGCATTACGAACCTAATCTCGCCCTCAACCTCGAAGTGGCCGATCTGATCAACTCCAAGAAAGGCAATGCGTGAGTTGTTGCTGTCGCGCCCACTCCGGCGCTGATACCCGTGCCATGCATTTATTAACCACCCAACCCCACTCGTTCTTCGTTATAGTCCCCGCGAAGCTGCCCTCGAAATCGTCCATTTGATCAACTCGCGGAACCAGAATGTGGCGTTACTGGCATTGGCGGTAGGCCTTCCATGACATACCATCGGTGTGAGCTTAGATGTGTGAATGCGGGGCTAACATGCCGCTGCGATCCCTCCCCTCTCCAGCTCCTCGACATCTGCGTCAAGAACTGCGGCTACCCCTTCCACCTCCAGATCAGTACCAAGGAGTTCCTGAATGAGTTGGTTCGTCGATTTCCAGAGCGTCCGCAGCTGCGGCCCACTCGGGTGCAGCATCGCATCCTAGAGTCCATCGAGGAGTGGAGACAGACCATTTGTCAGACGTCGAGGTATAAGGAGGACTTGGGCCACATCCGCGACATGCACCGGCTATTACTCTACAAAGGCTACGTGTTCCCGGAGATTCGCCATGAGGATGCGGCCGTGTTGAATCCTAGTGATGTGCGTGTTTCTGGTTTTGGGATGAGGGTGTTGCTGACGGGTGGTAGAATCTGCGCTCTGCGGAGGAAATGGAGGAGGAAGAACGGGAGGCTCAGTCGGCGAAATTGCAGGAGCTGATCCGTAGGGGTACGCCTGCGGATCTGCAGGAGGCTAATCGGTTGATGAAGGTCATGGCAGGTTACGACAACCGACACAAGACTGATTACCGGGCCAAGGCGGCCGAGGAGGTCGCCAAGGTGCAGCAAAAGGCCAAGATTCTGGAGGAGATGCTACAGAGTCATCAGCCCGGCGATCCGGTCGCGGAGGGTGATGTGTTCGAGGTAGGTCCGGTGCGGATGTGTCGTGGATTAGCTGACCTGGTCTAGGAACTGGCGGGGGCGCTGCAAAGTGCCCATCCAAAGATCCAGAAGATGTGCGAGGAGGAGTCGGATGATCCGGAGGCGGTTCACAAGCTGCTCGAGATCAATGACAGTATACACCGGACCATCGAACGGTACAAGCTTGTCAAGAAGGGCGACTGGGAGGCTGCATCGCGGATTCCCAAGGGCACCCTGGGCACGACGACGGGTGTCGGAAAGAATGCCAACAACCAGCTGTCGCTCATCGACTTTGACCCGGAGCCGGCTGCCAGTGCGAACGGCAACGGCGCGCCGGCCGCGACAGGTGGCAGCTCGCTGGAGAACGACTTGCTGGGCCTGTCAATAGACGAGCCCGCTCCGGCCCTGGGTGGGATCTCGCTCGGACCAGGTAGGAGATTGATTCTTCTGGTATGCATGTGTTGACCTGGCTAATGTTCGTCTAGCGGTCACGACCACTGCTACGCCATCGATGCCCCAGGCCCCTGCAGGATTCAAGCCCAACTACGACATCCTGTCTTCGCTGGGCAGCTCTTCCCAACCGCCATCGCAATCTACCACACCGGTCCCGGGTGTACGGCCGCAGAGGGTCGTCGCGGCAGCCACTCCACCTCCAGCCGTCGATCCATTTGCTTCGCTGGTCTCCGCCAGTCCCCGCCAGGCCAGCCCGCTGCCGTCCGGAGGATCCGTGACAGGATCTGCAACCGGGTCCCTGCTCGATCTAGTAGGAAGCGGACCGGCGCAGCCGGCTGGGAGCGGCCAGGCGGTCGAGGACGACGAGTGGAACTTTGCATCCTCCCTGCCGGAGAGCAACACGCTGCCGAGCACCAACCGGGTGCGGGTGCTGAACTCGGCGCTTCGAATTGAATTTGTGGCGCGGCGCAACCCCCAACAGGCGGAGCAGATCCATGTGGTGGCCCTGTTTTCGAACGGGACGAGCCAGCCGCTGAACGAGCTACACTTCCTGGTGGCCGTGGAGAAGGTGAGGAGCTCCCTCGGATCAGGGATGAACGGACGGAAGCTAACGGCAGCAGGCGTACACGTTGCGACTCCGCCCACAGTCCGGGCGGGACATTGGACCGCTGCAGACGAACGGGGTGCAGCAGGAGATGCTCATCTCTGGGGTTGCGGGGGGCAAGGGCAATTCGGTCAAGATACGGTTTCGGGTGTCCTACCGGGTGGGCAACGAGCGCAAGGAGGAGCAGGGGATGGTGCCGCCGTTGGGCATCGCCTGAGGAGACTTTGCGAGACTTTCAGCCGGGCAGGATCTGGGCCTGCCCTTCTCCTTGACACAGTGTTTCTGCTAGCTAGCCTGCATCGTGCCTTGTCGTGATTTAGTTCGTGTATACCAACCAGAGCAAGTTTGACCGCGCCGCTGCAACCTAACCAGCAACAACCTTCCTCCTCTTCCTCTGTTAGGTAGTTACGATCCTTTTCTCCCCTCCCAGCCGTCGAATTTCCTGTTCTTCTCCCACTCCCCGAACAAACCAATTGTTTGTTGTCCCCCCCGACGTCACCGTCCCGACCTTGTCCGATCCCCTTCGCCCGATGGACCCCAGACGTTCCCCCTTTCCCCCTCCCTCGGTTACCTAGGTACATGCCTACGTCCCTGTAATTCCCGCCGGAGCCACGGCGGCGTTACGAAGCACACCCAGGGATAGGGCCGGGGGGCGTAGGGTGGCATGGTTTGGATTGAGTTAGGGGAGGGCGTGGAAGCCACGAAAGGCAAAGGGCGGTAGATGCCGAGGCCGCAGGCCCAATGAAGGGGATGACTGGAACAGGGAAGCCCGAGAGTTAGTTTAGCATGTGTGTGTCTGTGTCAGTGTGGTGTGTGTGTGGGGGATTGTTCAGAGAGGGATAAGTAGACGAGACGAGCTTCGCACTTGGGGGGAAGGAGGGGGGGTGTTCCTGGGTCGGTGGCGGTGGCCACTGAGGAGTCCCGTGGAAAGCGAGCTAAGCCATTTGGAATAGTAGGGCCTTGGTCTCTGGGGAGCGTGTGCCACTGAGGTAGTGCCCATGCCAGTGTCCATGCCAGTGCTAGTATTAGGGATATAGGGAAGGGCACCGCTGGTGGTGCTGATGCTGATCCTGGTGGGGACCGGGCATAGGCATATCATATGATACTCGGTTATTGACCGAGTTACGATACTGCACTGGGAAGTATCTCCGAAGTACACATCACCCATCTCACAGCCTGAACGCACTGACCAGCGAGCCTGGACACTCGTAGGGGTCGCTTGGATCTAGTGAGCTGGGCTAACCCAGACGGAGGGCGCAGAGGGATTCCCGGTTTGGGTATGTTTGAGGGCGATGAAGGTCCACTCTGCTGTCTTGTCTGTCAATCAGTCGAAAATAGTAGTCGCAGAGATCTGGCAGGTGGACATGGATGATCGACAGTTGCTGAGGAAAGACATCTGGGACTGCCAGATACGAGGCCAAACGGTACGTGCGATGTACCTACAGTAGCGCGTACGGGCGGATTACGGGCGGAGGACCCGACCATCTGTCACCCTGCCCGATCCGGGTAGGATTGGCGGTGGGGGCCAATCACTCCTCACGATCGCGATCGCCGCGCTAGTACTACTATGCACGCCCGGTAGGTCGTTGTAGTTTGTACCTCCTTTGTATCGGGTACTGTAGTACTGTCGGCCGGTGGGCGCGGCACCACAGCAGCCATCCCGACTGCTGCAGGTCCCTGCGACTTGGACGCTACTTGCTGCGACTTACGCGAGATCCGATCGTATTCCTGCCTTAGGGTTCTTTCAACACCACGCCTTTCCCATTGCGACCAGCGAAGGATTCTGGCGAGATTCTTCCATCCGCTCTCCTTCTCCTCTCTCCTCTCTGCCATCCCCCATCGCTGCCGTTTCCCCCACATCTCCAAATCTCTCTTCTTCGCTCGGATTACTGGAAAATGGTTCCGGTTCGCTGCGAGCCCATACTTCCGCCGGCCCATGGGATCGGTCGCCCCTCGAGTGCTTGACCCGGCTCTGCGAGAACCTTGCGCTGTCCGCCGTCCCATGGCACCGCCCCATCCTGACTTTTGGTCGGCCCTTGTTTCGGCGACCCAGAGTTGCCCCGGCGCTGGATGGCTCGTCTAGACTCGGGCCTTGGCTGGCTGAGCTGCTGTGACCTGACAGCTAACTTCGCTGCTTGAACCACTCCCGTGTCAACTCCGCGACTCAGTTGGATGCCCCTCCTTGGCTGCCGCTATTTAACTTCACCGGTCCCCCCATATTGTTGTCTGCTTCTTCATATACAGGGCGAGGTGCACCTTTTATCCCCAGCCTTTGACTTCCCGTGCCTCTGCCTATCTCTGCTCAACCCCTCCCCGGATTACATCTACCGCTCATCATTCACGATGGGCTCCCCCGTCATCGATGTTGACGTCTGCCCGAATCCTCGGACCAAGGAGGAGAACCAAGAACGGTAGGCTCCCTTGATCTCCTTGGGCATCCCGGTTGCTGACGACGACAGAGCCTTCATTGCCGCCTCTCGCCGTAAAGACCGCAGCTTAGATGCTCGGGTGGAATCGGCCAACCGGGCCTCCAGCCTGCATAAGCAGCGGACTGGCAAGGCCCTCCTCATCAGCCGGGACATTGTCGAACGGGAGGCTATGTACGAAGAGGTGGATGATCGTTACCAAGAGAAGATTAACCGCATGCTGCACGCCCAGTCGATGCAACTGCAGAGCGAGTTCAACCGCAATCTCATGGCCGCCTTTGCGGTCAACCGCCCGGGTGCTCTGCATCAACGCCGGGCCACCAACTCCCATCTCAACCCGCGGGCCTCTCTCAACGGCATCCGCAAGATGAGCCTCGACCTCTCTGGGTTGCGTGCCTCGGTGTCCGAGGGCATGCATACTGGACCGATGACCAGCCCGCTGGGGGCCCACCAGAGCAGCTACGTGTTGTCGCCCAGCTACGACCCGAGCTCCCAGTCGCCGTCGTATCCCAGCGTCGTCCCCGCATCGTCGGGCCAACTGCCATCCTACCTCGCCCAGACGGCTGGCGGACCCACTTGGCCGACGCAACTGGGCGGGCCGCAGCCGGTACGGTCGCCCTGGACAGCAGGGTTCGCTTCGCCGCCGCAGCAGGTCCCGACCACGATGGGCGACATGGGGCCCATGCCGGTCCGCCAGTATCGGGACCGCCTTGGCTCCGCACCGGTGATTCCTGTTCACACGATGCCCTCCCCATCCCTCGCAACCCCCACGGTGCCCAACAACGGTGCTACGGTACCTCCCACGGCGGCGAGTCGCCCGGCCCACCCGATGTACCAGCACACGCGTGTCCGGTCGGAGCCCAGTCAAGCGATGCGGACGCAAAGCCTGGCTCAGCTGTCGCATCTCAACTCCCCGCATGGGTTGCCGATGGAATCGGAGCCCGTGCCGACGCCGGATCTGTGCCCGACGCCCAGCACGCCGCACTCGCCGACATCCACGGGACAGAACCCGGGGCTCTGGGGGTTGGAGTTGAACAAGGATGAGGGGGTGGCGTATGTGCAGGAGCACCACATGGATCCCGAGTTTGAGGATTTCAGCCGGTTTGCGTTTGGGCTGGGCAGTGGTAGCCAGCTGCCGGAATCGGAAACGGCGTTTGATGAGTTTTTTACGATGGAGGATTTTCCCGTCAGTGCATGAGCTACTTTGATACATTCTGTGAATTCTTTGGACGTGTACGAGGGGAGAATACCCGGGGCGTTGCCGGTTCATAGCGAATGATACTACCATTAAACCGTACCACCGACCACCTATCCAGCAGTAGGCCTGATTTGTTTACCACAGTGACAATCAGGGCGAGTGGACCCGTCCTGACTAGACCGGCGAGAGTTTTGCAACGGATGCAGTGAGGTTACATTGCCGCAAACAGCGGGAGCGGCTGCCGCACGCAGCCGCTGAAAGAACATCATAATGGCTTAATCCAAGCCAGTCTTATTATTCTTCTGACGGTTACTGCTATCCCTGTCCTTAAGTATTCAATTAATGCAGATCAGAGAAAACCTATTGATGCCTGTTTAGTCAATCGCAATAGCAATAGCAACAGTAAACCATTATAGGAGTATAGTAGATAGTAAACACGACATTAACGAAGTGCAAAGAAAGAGAGAGAGAGAGAGAGAGACAGCCCCACATCCAACTATACCCACTAGCCAGTAGCCACAAATCCCTCAGTTACATAGTACAATTCAGTCGCTACGAACTACATACCTACCCAGAGGTACGTACAAAGTACTAATAAGGAAAAAGCTCCCCTCCCTGGCCCTCCTGGGCTATCCGACGATACCCATCCCAACCCAAGCAACCAAAGTACAAAGTCAATCAAACATAGCACTAACGAGATGTAGATGGATACGACCAGCATGCCAAAGTAAGCTTTTTGAGGGAGAAGTTTAATTCGATGGTGGTTACTGGCCTAAGGAGATGGTGCATGTGCCAGTGCCTAGTAGCTTGGTGGGTGGGGAATTTGGGGGGGTTGGTCTGGAGTCTGGACTTTGGTGGGTAGTGGGATCGGCTTGAATGCGGACGGGGATGTGGAGGAGGTGTACGTCGGTTTACTACGTAGTAGGTTGGTAGATGTCGGGTAATTGGTGTTGGAGATAGAGATGAGATTGGGCTTGTGGGACTGGTGCTTCGGTTATCTGACATCGTACATCGTTTGGCGTGGGCGTGGCAGGGCGCCCGACGCTAGAAGGGATGGATGTGTGAGATACGGGGTATGCAGGTAGGAGGGGAGTTTAAGATGTTGGTGTTTGGTATTGGGAGATAATCCCTCACTAGTACTCCGTACTACTCAGCTTCCTACCTACCTACCTACCTACCTACCTACTATCACAACTAGTCGGTACCTATTTCTTTCCCAACACCCTTAGCAAGTTAGCATCCCCAAATCAAAACAAAAACAAAACCAAGAAAAGATCACCCTCCCCCTTTCCAAATCCCTCCACGAACCCGCCAATCCACCATAACCCACTTAATCAGACCGAATTGAACGGGAGAGCTTGTGTGGATCCATCCAGCTAGCCAGCCAACCCCCAAAATCAGTCAAACCGTAAATCTCCGGACCGACCAGTTCTCGATCGTCAGTGGGTGGGTTGGTGGACTGTGCGTTTAAATGAATCTGGCGCGGTAGTGCCAGGTGGATCACTTGCAGCTCGCTTGATCGGATCGGCTTGAAAAGTGGAGGGACTAGGAGCTACGAAAGGGAAGGGGATCGGCGGTGGTGATGGTCTGTGCTATGTACTGGACTGTCTAGTCTCTACTGTTAGGGATTGGGGTGGTGAGTGGGGGGGTATGGGTTGGGGACGGATGAGGTTAGGGGCTGTTTAATGTTTGCTGCTAGTACTACCGTGCTAGGGAAGTTGGGTGGGTGGAGATGTCCGTGGTTAAGGAGAGGGGGAGACTTGGATACTGTTGTCGCCTTGTAGGGAAATTGGAACGTGCTGCATGGATGGAGGGGAAGGGGTTGTGTGGGTTTGGTGTGGCTTTGCTTAAGCGAGGTGGGTATTTTTTCTATTAGACGTAGTACTCCGTACTATATCCCTATTACTGCTTATTATCTCGATAGTGAGCATGATAACATTAATCCTACTACGGAGGGACTACTCCGTCCTACTCTACCCTCTATCTACCGAGTACAGTCTTAAACCACCCCCCATCACTAACCCATCACCGACAAATTACGGCAGAGCAGCAACCAGACTTGAACTGTAGACATTATACTTCCCACCCAACCTAGTCTCACCCAGACGAGGGAAATTATTTCCGTCCTCCCAGCATCACCACCCATTGGCTTGCCCGACCATTCGCCTTCCCCTCGATAGTCGCTGCAGGCCCGATCCCGCTAGACGGGATGCGGTCTAGAGGCATCGATATCTACGGGTCCGTGAGTCCACGCTAGCCAGGTCTAACGATTTATGAGTTCCGCCTGAAGCAGAGAGACAACTCACGGTACAGAAGGCTAGACTTGTGGTTGCGGTTAGTGCTGTGCCGACGGAGCACGGTCTATCCGCCATCTAGTGTTGGAGGCTCGGGTGTCCTCCGTACTGTACTTTGATGGGTGGAGGGAGATAGGAGGCTAGGATAGGCATTGACTATACATAGCTGAGTAGAGATGATACTTACCTGGTTGGTTGATTGGTTAGGGTATTTTCTTCAGTTCCGGCCCTTTTCTTCCATTTTACTTTTACCTTGTAGTTCGTAGTATTTGCCATGTGAGACGGGGATTGACTCGATACTACGCCATGTGAAGGAACTACGCCAGTATACCCTCCACGTTCTTCACACATCCAACATCCAACCTCCACACATACATCCATGCAGGCGATCAACCTAGGTAAATCATATCCGAAGCCATCACCCATATCCATCCCGTCCACCATACCTTAGTTCTGCATAGTCCTATGTACCTAGATAATCGCCACATTCGCCACATTCGCCACGTCTAACCTAGCCCACCTCCCACCACCACCATTACGACCGCCTCAGGTACTCTAACAGTACCCAACACAACCCATCCAGCATCAACCCCCCCTAACCTCCCCAAGCCCAACCCAGGCCACCATACAAGGAAAAAAAAAAAGCAAACGAAAGATATCCATATCGTGCCCTGGGACCCCCCAAAACTCAAACCCTACCTACCTACCTACTCACTCCTCTGTGAGTTATGGTATGGAGCACCTCCCTACCAAACAATAGTACTAGTACTATGGTATGTTACTCTGTAAGTATCCACCCGCGCACGGTCTCGGGGATGCCCGGGGCTTTAGTCATCTCATCGTTGCATCCTGGGTGATGATTCGTGGGTAGTGGTGTTGCTTGGTGGGGGAATGGGGATAGGGGATGGATGGATAAAGTGTGTGCGTTCCTAGGTCGGTTGGGTTTTTGTGGGGCGTGGTAAGTACGGAGTACTAGGTTGTGATTGCACTGGGGATTGGGGATGGGAGTGGGAGTGGGGAATGGGCGGGGCGGGTGTATGGATGATACGGAGGGGTAATTAAACCGATGGGTATTTGTATGTATGTAATTGAGCTGGCGCCAGCGGGTTGCTCAGTAGGTTTCCGGGTTTGAACCTAGTGGTTTAGGTTAGGTTTAGGGTGTGGGGAGGGAATTGCTACATACTATGTAGTAGATACTAAGTATGTAGTAGATAACTAGGTATGCTGGTGGAGTATGTACGATTGATCTAGGTACAACTGAAAGTAAAAGATAGTAGAGATGAAGGAAAAAGGGGATCGGCTATACGATTCGTCCGCTGAATAACTCCCGGCCAATCTCCCCGCTGCGTCGCACCCCCACGCTTGAACTGCTGCTACGTCGGCGTCGGCTGCGACTTTCCGCTGGGTCCGCCGGACTCAGTCCGCTGGCACGCGCGTGTAGGTTGAGAACGTCGGTCAGACTGACCACTCCCACTAGTCGTCCCGAGAGGCGCGCCCCGGGTAGTGCCGACGCCGGCATCGATGGCGCGCTCAGGAATGCGGCTGGCGGGTTGGGGAGGTGCGTCGCGCTGTTGTTGTTGACCGCCGGGGACTGCGGTGGGCTGGGATTGTTCGCCAAGGGAATGTGCACCGAGGAGTGCGACGGCGTGGGAGGCCCCGATGACGACGGAGAGAGCGGATCAGTCACCCAGAGACTATATGTGTGAGCAGTAGAAACAGTGGAACAGTGGCGCAGAGCAGGAGCAGGAAGCTTACCGGTGTGACCGGGTGGCTACCACCTTGGCAACCATGTGCGCCAGCGTCGATCCCGGGTTGACATGGAACACCGGGAACGAGTCCTTGCCCTCTTCCAGTCCACGATTAGACAGAATCACCGAGATGAAATGCGTGCACGTGTTGCGAAGCAGTGGCAGCGAGGACGAGCGGGTGAGTAGCTGTCCTGTTAGCTACGCTCGCGATCTGGGAGAGCTGCATACCTTGACGTCCGTCGTGGAAATGTTGCCGATAACGTTAAAGTGGTTGTCCACGACTGCAATAGATGAGATCCCCTCGTCGTTCATGATCTGCAGCGCATCAACGAGCGGCCGGTCGCCACTGCACACCGTCAGTTGAGCCAACGAGAACCATCAGAAACACCTACTTGATCGAGATGACATCCCGCGACCCGATCCGCAGATCGTGCAGCGATTGCGGATACAGCTGGTCGATCACCGGGAAACTGCGGCCATTCTCCCAGAGGAACTTGACCAGCCGGAATTGACTGAAGATGCCAACCACCTCGTTGTCGTCCCGCTCGCTGACCACCACTACGCGATGCACGCCGCCGCCGAACGTCTGCACCGCCGTCATTACACTGGCCGACGCTGGCAGCGTCGTCAGCGGTTCCTTCCGGCCGAGATCCTTGACATCCCGCAACGGGATCGGGAGGCCCTCTTTCGCCTTGCGCGCGAGTTCTTCGTACGACGCGAGGAGTTCCTCACCCGGCTGCGTCAGTCCGGCCGCCAGCAGAAGATAGGCGTTCAGATCGGAGTAGTCGAAGGTGCCGACGGCCGACTTGTGCTGGGGCGATTCCCGGATCAGTAGAACCGCGGCCCCGGAGTCGATTAGAATCTAACAGCGTCAGCTCGACTCGGCATCTACCAGGTTCTCGCAGCGCCCACATTCGTCGCCTCTTCAATGCCCGTGTCTACCTCGACGAACTTCAAATCGTCCGGACTGACCAGCTCCCCGATCGAAATCTCGCGCCAGTCCCGGCCGATAAATGCGGGGTTGACATTGTTCGGGGCCGGTGGGTTATCGATGAGACTCTGGATGGCGGACTGTGTGAGCGAGGGTTGTCGACGTGCCCGCGGTGACCCCGGCGCGGCGCGGAGGCTGTCGCTGATACTCTGGCGATGTTGGTGGTTCGGGAGATGCGAGGAGAGGCGGAGGGACCGAAGGCTGCCCGAGGGAGGGCGAGAATCCGTGCTGGATCGGGGAGATGCGACATTCGATCCACTGGAGTTGTTGTCTGCCGCCGTTTCCACCGGTTGGTCCGTCATGATGAGCGGATTAGAGTCGGGGAGGAGCTTAGGTAAGGAGGGGTCCAGTCGGGTGGAGGAGGGAGTATGGGAAGTGGATTCGTGGTAGAGCAGTCCTTGTGATCAGACCAGGGAGATATTGCTCCCAGAAAAGTTGAACAGCATCGAAGGAGCAGTGAAAGCCGAACTGGCAGGGAGCGAGCTGGCCAGATGGAGGCGAGATGGATGGAATGACAGGTGAAGCCGAATGAAAGGAGGCCAAAGGCGGGGATGCGGCGGCTCCCCAGCCGCCCAATCAGCGCCCCCCGCTTGTCATCCCGGCGTCATTCAGCAGCTCCAGTGCCTCGTCTATCTACACTCCATTCACTCTCCCTACTTACCTAGTGTCTACCTTAGCTTGTCTGCTCGTATGGGTTGGTCGACCCGTTATTGTCTATGTATACCTTTCACAGCTCACGGGTGGTACTCCCACATCGCACTCGATAGCTCAAAACAGACCACCCGGTGACATCATCCAGCCGACCCACCTCCATTGACAGCTCCAGTCAAATCACAAAAACTCCTGCAAGAACCCCCCCAGATCTTTGGCACTGCGTTGCTTCATCACGGCTCGCTTGGGATGTGCGCTGGCTGCTACTCTCGGCCTCTTCGGGGCCGGTTCTCGCTCGTAAGCTTTCGCGCGGCGTAAGCAGACCAGTCGCGGCTTCTTTAGCCTTTTGCCTAGTGCCCGGCCGGTTTTTTGTCCGACCTGAAAATCGAGAACAGGGGTGTCGGCTAGAACAGGCGATTCTGTCGCCTCATCCCTGACGATCGATTGGTAATACTCGTAGAGGGTCTCGGCCCGTTCTGGTTCGAGAACCACCTCCCAACCTTCAACGTCGGCATTTCTTGCACTCGCAGAGACGAGCCCTGGGCAGTCCTCAGCCACAACCATCTGCAATGACGGAAACCCTCGCAGGTACCGGAGTGCTAGCCGCGACAGGTCCGTCTGATGGGACAAGACCAGCACCCGGAGATGCGCAAACGCCCCCGCATCCTGCGCCAGCTCACTCCACGTCCGGACGATGCGATCACTGAGCGCGGCCAGCGGCGGCTGAGTCTCGTCTAGAACAGGGGCCGTATGCGGTGGTGTGGCAATTTCCAGTGCCACCAGGTTCCGGATGCTGGCAATCTCTACGAGTTCAGGGACCCTGGCGAATGATGAGGCCAACGTTAACACTGCTCGCCAACTCAGCGAATCGCTTCTCACCAGTCCCAGATATTCTTGCATGGACATCCTCGGGCCTTCGATCTTCACCGAGCGGTAGGAGCTGACGGTTCGGAATTGCTCGGGGTACGCTGTTGCAAAGAGCTTCCAGCTGTGTAGCGTTCTCTTCCTGCTATGGCAAAGTTAGATCGGCTCATTCCTAATGCAGGTGCCCTTACCTCCTGCCAAGGCAATCCCAAAGATAGCTGGCGATGCGCCATGGTACGTCGACAAACAGGGCAGGTTGTAGGTTTCTCTGATCCGACAGGAGCTGTATCATTGCAGAGTGCTGCAGAGAGGGGGCCCCGGCCTGGCTGGTCTCCTCCCAGCCTCGAGGCAAGAACGGGGACTCGTGTACCCAGGATGGCCCTTTGGACGAGGACAAAGAGGGGATGATGGTTGACTCGGTGTAGACCTGGCCAGTATGGCTGTCGATGGTCTTGGCCATACTGGGAGATACTCAACGGCGGCCCGCGAACCTTCTCGTTACGTAGATACTCGTCTCATGATAGAAACAATCACTGACTATGAGGACTTTACTCATCCAAGTAGACCTCTTGTCGATTGCTGAGTCGGGATATCGACGTGATGGAAGTCGATCACCGAGACGCGTTCCGGTTGGCCGCTGCACGTGATCTCGCCCGCCCAAAGATGCAGCGGCCTGCCATTGTCCGTTCTTCCTAGCATTCTAGCAGCATGGTCCTACTTGATTGTTTTTAAGTACATCTTTGCGACTGTGTACAAACCGCGGTGGTCGGGGTGAGCAGTCATGTGACACAGTGCGGAGTCGTAGTTTCCCGATATGGAAGCCCCGCCCATAGTGGCTTCCTTCCCTGCTGGTCTCTTCTTTCTTCTCTCTTCTTTCTTTCTTCTCCTCTCTCTCCTTTCTCTGCATTACTTCATCCATCAGAAGCACCTGTCACAGAACACGGCAGGCTGCCATTTTACTTTGACCATGACTGCTCACATGCCGCGTGATTGCTTGGCTCGGACAACTGGAAAGATACCATCGTTATTGACACGATGTAACTAACGCTCATCACAACAGACATTCGTATCCAATCAATCCATCCCAGCGCAGTGACGTCGTTGCGTATTGCAATGCAGGGCATCCTGGGCATTCTCACCGCCGCGCAAGTAAGACAGCAACGGTCAAATTCCTTAAGTTCAATGATCGTCCTGATCCCTGTTCCTGCGTGGCCTGCAGGTGACTCGAATGCCAATTCGACCACGCCCCTGACGCCGGTCAGCCGCTGCGCCTCGATCTCCCATAGGTCACACGTCCCCCCAGGCTGACCGGGCGCCAGGCGACGAACCTCTTATGCAAGTGTCGAAAGTCTGCATGTTTCTATCGATCCTATACCCCACAGGGACACAGCCTTATGGACCTGTTCCCCTGACTCATCCGAATAGGAAATGACTCAGGCTAGGCTGCCTGAACAAGAATAGATGTCACTGCCCTGCGGCTTGGGATCAACTACGATTCTGCAGCATCAGGTGGCTGCCAGGATTGCCTCGTGGCGGTCTATAAAGTAGATTCCGGAGGGATTATAAGCTGGCTTTACCATCTACAGAGCAATTTTCTCCCCCGATAGAAATATTATTTCGTCTAAATCGTTATATCACGCCTCTTGGACACATTTCAGAAATTTATCATTGTTTACTTGAGCAAGACGACACTAACATGTCTTCTGACACCAACTCCAAAGACCCTACCATCCTCCAGAAACTCGCCCGGATAGCACATGCCTGGAAGCGAGACTCGAGCATGCTGCAACTGGTCACAACCTTCCTTACAAAACCCCCCTCGGTCCAAGTGGCAGACGCACGCCAGCACACGGTATGGTTGTTCGACAACACGGCCTACCAGCCGGCCTCAGCCACGGTATCGGGACAAGGATCATGGTGTGCAGAAGTCGTGGCTTGCGTTTTCCGGAAAGATAGTCGGAAAGACATCACAAAACTGGTCGCCATGATCGCAGATCTCATAGGACTGGATGGGGAAATAGGCACGGACAAGGAGACGCGCCACCGGATAATGGAACGGCTGCAGCCATTCTTGTTTCATACCGCATCTGCCCACTTGATGACATTAGAGACCCCTCTCCCCAACAGTACCATCCAGATGCAGCAGATCGGGCCCACCGATGACAGTGGCATTAGTAGTCAAACCATCAGCGCACACAGCCAGCACATCACGGACGGCACCAAGATCCGGTCGTATCTTCGGGGTTGGGGAAGTGAGGTGTTTATGGATACCATCTTTGCGAGCCCACAGGGCTGGCTTGTCATCTCCGACATCGACGATACAATCAAGTATACCATGACCTCGGAGTCTACTGGCATCCTGCGCACCACGTTTGTCGAAGACCCCAGGCCCATTGCTGGAATGCCTCAACTTTATTCCCATATTCAGAATCAGCTTGTGCCGGCGTGGTTCTACATTTCTGCTTCCCCATACAACTTGTACCCATTTTTGCATGGGTTCCTTGAGTCCTATTTCAGTCCGGGTACGATGATCCTTCGCGATCATTCCTGGTTGGATATTAGCGAACTGGTGAAATCCTTCACTGTCGATACAGGCGAGTACAAGGTGGACCGCTGCGAGAAAATCTATAGCTGGTTTCCCCAGCGACAAGTGCTCTGTATCGGAGACTCGACCCAGCAAGACCCCGAAGCTTATGCCGAACTCTACAAGAGGCATCCAGATTGGATCCAAGCTATCTGGATCCGAAAGGTCACCGATGTCCCACATCTGAATGCACAGAATTCACCGGAAAGGTTCAAAGCTGCCTTTGTGGGGGTCCCGGAGCATGTTTGGAGGGTGTTCGAACAGCCCGCCGAAGTACACCACCTCGTGGCGGAACTCAAGTTGAGCGAGTCAACAGGCACACCTCGAAAATAGGATCAAGTCAACCTGCAGAAACTCCCGCCACCACCGTAAGGCACAGTGACAAAGTCAATCTCGCCTGATCAATTGGTACGATGAGTGTCGATCTATCGATCATCGTTGACCCGGTGCTGAGATAAGCACTCGCACGTTGGTTACGTCAACATGAGAGTATAATCCAGCGATCAACTACGGTGGCTGCAGCCACACCAGAATTTATACTCCCTTGGTCTCCAAAGGCCGGAGACGAGATGGTTTTCCCTGGTTTGTTGGAAAAACGGCCGATTTCATCAATCAAGTCTGGTCTTTCAAACATCGCCAAGGTTTGCAATAGGTACTGTCGCAGCGGTTCAATTCAATTCATTCCAATTGAGTTTGATTGGATAGATCAAAAACCCGCGGGTGGTTGTGTATTTTTGAGCGAGTGAACAAGCCGTCATGAAGCCGGCGAAACCTCAGTCGACGACGATGGACGACCAGACGTTCGTACCACCAACTATGAGAGCGATCTACTTCAGCCCCGCGTCGACAGCCATTATGGACCTCACAGCCTTGGATGAACCCAGGCTAGACTCCCATGTCAAATTTGATTCTGATTTCCAGACTCCTATACCCTCAGGAAAGGAATACCTCGTCAAAGTGCAGGCAGCGGCGTTCTCCCATGACGAACTCCGGCTGTCTAAGATCCTCCACCCATCCAAATCGATTCCCCAGATTCCTTTGCATAGCTTTTGTGGTACAGTCATCAGTACCCCCGAAACCGACCACTGGAATCCGGACGGGCCCAAGTTCAAGGTCGACGATTCCGTCTTTGGTCTGATCAAGCATACGCGCGACGGTGCAGCAGCCGACTATGTTGCCGTAGCGGAAGATGAGCTTGCATACAAGCCCAAGAACATCAGCGCGGCCGAAGCAGCCTCTATCCCCTTGCCCGCTCTCACGGCTTGGGAGGCTTTGTTCACATATGCTGGAGTCGACCCCGGAAGCATCCAAGATCGCCGGCAGTTACGAGTTCTTATTACCAACGCCCGCAACAACGAGGTTGGCACCCAAGCCCTACAGTTGCTTCGATCCCAGTCACTATTCCCGCACTGCCGTCCCTGGATTTGCGTGACCTGCGACGCTGAAGATCAGGAGGAGTGCCTGCGCAGTGAGTTTGGAGTAGATGAGACGATCTACGCGCCGCTTCCCCTACCCCAGGACTATGATCTCGGGTCCATCTTCCGCAAGAACCACTGGGACCCTGTCGATGTCGTCCTCGACTGCGCTGGCCAGCAGATGTTCGAACAAGCCCACTCCCCAAAGGTGATCAGGGAGCACGGGGCTGTCTTAACTGCCGTGGACTCGACGCCCGCGGAAGCGCGAGATCCTCTCGGTCCAGATCAACCGCGCGAGGATGGCGTGCTTAGTCGGTTTGTTGTGGTGAATCCCGATGGCGAGGCCCTAGGTCGTGTCTCCAAGCTAGTCGAGGCGCACGAGATTCAAGGACGAGTCGAGAGCATCAAGGACCTAGTTGAATGCACGGACGTACTCGCTTCGGGAGCGGCGGGAGCAGGTGGAGGACGACGGGGAGGCATGATGGTGGTTCGCGTGAATTAGTACAGGGACTATTCCCTTCTCCCTTTTTCTTTGTTCCTCCAGTCCTTCAGCTTGCAGCTTTCAGTGATACAGCCCGATATTTTTCGTTCAGCATGACAATTGCCAGAATGTACGATTCTTAGAAGCTACAATCGCACTAGAACCAAGAATGCTAGACTAATAGATTTTAATCATCCTCGCGACCCGCCATGCTCTTGCGGATTGTCTCTCCGCCCAGAACGTAACACCAAATTCTTTTCTTGTTAATGATTCTGACGGGCAGACAAGGTACCCATGAAAGTAACTAACGACATGGTGGGAAGGTTAGCGCTAGAAGGCCAAAAGGGCAAGGGATGAAAAAAGAAGAAAGATAGAAAAAGAGTAGAAATTCGATCCAATTCAGACATGACAGGACAAGACACGACGCAAACAAGAGCCTAGGTAGTTACTAAGAGTTGGGTGGGGAGGTAGGTGGCGGAGAGAAAGGCACCCGGTATGTATGGTACATACATGAATTGGAGATGGGAGGGGGACAAAGAAAGAAAGGGAAAGCGAGGAAGGAAGATTGGAGCATGTTCAAACACAGGGAGACATGGAAGAGCTTTCCTGCCGCATATGTGAGAGAAAGAGGAAGGAACGGAAAGGAAAGGAAGAAGAGGAGGGCATGGTGATGGTGATTAGAAGGGGACTGACTGACTACCTATAGTTAGTCAGGTAGGGTAGAAGAAGATAGGGAGAATTTTGGGGAAAGAATCATAGAGGAAAATTATAGCAGAGCTCCATCCGGTTGTTCTCGATCATGATCTCTCATCCTCTATATCAGTTGTTTCTTCTGTCATGTTGTCTGTCGATGTAAACACAAACCAGTTGTGTTTCATCGAGGCATACCGGGTCGTGCCTGGCTCTGTTGTTGCGCAGAAACCGAGGATAGTGTTTCTTCTGGTGCTGTCCTGGCCGGATCTGAACTGACTTCAAAGGAGACGATACGACGTGTCCTGTTGGTGTGTTTTATGCAATACATGTGGCATAGCCTTGTCACTTCGGACGAAGGGCGAGTCGAGGAGAAGGAAGATGGAACAAGCAGACAACAAAACAGATCAAAGGAGATCGAATCGAACATCTCGTACAACAATGCAAGGGACCGCTTTCCACGGATTCATTTAACGCCACTCTGCCAGTTCCCACCGGGATGCCGGTGACTACTTCAAGATGAAGCCAAGTAGCTTTCCGTGGTAGTGTTTTGTTGTTCAAAAATCAATAGCATAAGAAGGGGAAGACGATGGAGAAGACGAACTAGGTTGGGACTATAGCAGATGACGATGGGTGATACCCTTACAGTAGGGAGTCGAGTCTAGTGAAAACGCTCAAACATGCTGCCACAATCTGTATCCAGTTAGCATTGCGCGCAGAGAAGAGAACGGAACAACATACCTCCATCTGAAGCTCCCTGTCTTTCGCCTGGTTCACCTCGTCGTTGATGGCCTGCGCTAGGTTGGCACCAATCGCCTGCGAGCCTCCTGCTCTGCGGCCAAATGGCCATTGGGAGTATTCGGCCAGCAACTCATCCACCTGCGCGAACGCCCTTTCGCGAGCCTCGTGGCTCATGGTGACGAGTGCATTCTCCAGCACGTTGGCCGCATAGGCCGCGCATACCATGGTGATGGTCCGCAGGTAACGGAACTCGACGTCCTCGGGGAGCCATGCATTCGCAGGCAGGATCACAGTGCGACTGCTGCAGACGTTGCGGACGCGGCGGTGGAGGTCGTCCTTGGCGCCTCCATCGGCGACGGGGTGCGTAGCCATGTCGAAGAGGAGGAAATTGCGCTTCTCAGTCCGAAGGATGCCCTTGTCGACAAGGCCTTTGGCGAGGCGTTCGCGCACCTGCTTGAGCTGGTAGCCGATCTTCATCAGGTTCCACGTTTCACCTGAATGGAGACACGTCAAGTCAGCGGTTGTATGAATAGAAACCCGGATGAAATCAATAAGAAATCGCAGAATCATCAAGTATCCTTGTACGTACCGCTCAGCAGATCGATCCAGGAGTTCACGCTCATCTTCTCACTTGACTTCATTATCTTCAGCGCCTCGTCCAGCAAGACCTCCCCTGTCAGCGTATCGTCGACCACCTCAATCACACGATCGGCCAAAGGGAAACGTCGCCGAGAAGAATCCTTCTGCATGCTGATCCGACCCCGAAGCGCTAGCTCAATCACGATGCATCCTCGTAGGGCGTAGGAGATGTTCTCGTTCCAGAAAGACAGGTAACCCTACAATGACACCGATCCGGGACGCGCCTGTCAGCTTGACCCACCTCCGTCAATCCGTGTACACAGGCTAGGGGCTCACCTGTTTATCCTTCAATCCCAGCAGAAGCACCTCTTCCATCAGCGTCAGCTTGGGCTGCTTGCTTCGCTCCTCCGTCTCGCTGATGTCCCTGGGGTCAAAGGCGATCTTATGACCATTTTCGGAGCTAGTGAACGAGGTCTCGGGAATGCGGTTATCCAGAGAGGAACCATTCCTTGACACCGGCGAGGAAACTCGGCTGTCGTCGTGTTCATCGGCGCCAGCGACTCGACCGCCACCTCGTCGGCGAGTCAAGCCCCCGGCTGAGGCCATGAGGGTCTGAAAGCGTCTGGGGATCGGGAGCGGGGGAGGGATAAAGGAAACAAGGACGGAGTGTCGGTGAGCACGCGAGTGATGGGGTCTATGCCGCTATCGCATGCGACATGGACTGGTGATTGCCTATTGGGTCGGTGCCTTAGAGGGTGGGAGGATCGGAGGTTGGAGTTGCTGGAATGGAAGCGTGACGCCGAAAGTTTGTTGGACGGGAAATTGTCAGGGGGGGGGGAAGAAGAGGAAAGGCGAGCCGACAATCAATGGGGGTGGAGAGAAGGAGACGGGCGGCCAGGCAGTGGGGAACGCAACCGGGGAGGAACAAGAAACCGCAATTCCAGCGGATGGACAAGTGAGGCAGCGGTGGTGGTGGGAGATGCAGGAGGAGATATAAGATTGATGCGGTCGCTAAGGCTATCTGGCGCTTGGTCTGCCAGCTGCCGCCTCCAGTCGTGCTTCTCCGGTGACGGACCCCCCCAGGCACGGCCCCATCCAGTGCTCTTCACCGTTCACCCTGTTTCAACCTCAGCCGTACGCGGTCTCATCCTACTCTCATACTTCTCTACCTTTCTTCGCCGCCTCTTCTCGCACCCTCCATGCGTGAGACAATCGCTGACCTGAATGGTGCACTCCCTCTTCATCGCTCCGACTCGGTGGCCTCCACGTCATCCCACGGAACTGAATATCAGACTTGTTCCGACCTCTCACCGCGTGCGATCCTAAGCTTACTTCGGAGCCACCACGACTCCAGTCTCTACCCCAGCGTCCCTCCAAGGATAGCGTTACGACCCGACCAGCCAAGATCAGTCAAAACTGCATTGAAGATGATATACACGATATAATAGAGTGAAAGAGCACAGGCATGTATCAGCATACAGAGTAGCGTGACGACTCCCGGCACCTCGCGGTGGCAAGTCCCGTATAGATGCACGCCATCATCCCCTTTCTTTCTATTCTAATCCCCCAACCCACTCTCAAGTCCTCGCATTACGTTCGTATTTAGTGGGCTGCCGCAGAAGTCAGTTTTCCATTGTAGTGGCGGGAAATAGGAATAGCTTACCATCGGGCTGAGCAAGGATGTACTCAACAGCCTTGTCAACTGTAGCAGAAGGATGATCAGCATATAATCTCCGTGACTCAAGAGCCACACTTACCACCGTGGATGGCATCGGCATCCTTGTCGGGGATCTCAATGCTGAATTCCTGTAGACATTCCATCAGTACCACGTCATCCAAAATCCACGCGGATAAGCATTCATACCTCCTCAATGGCCATGACGACCTCAACGGTATCCAGGCTGTCCAGACCGAGGTCGTTGGCGAAGTGAGAGGCACCGTTGATCTGTTGGGTTGCGATGTTAAAATAGTCGTCCTTTGTCCGAGGGAAATGCCGAGCCGGTGCGCCCGGCGGCCAGCTGAGTTCAACTAACCTTGCTGACATCGGAGACCTGTAGATAATCCCATCCGTTAGTCACGATGCATTCATTTGGGGTCTGCAATTCCTTGCTGGGGCCGGATTCGGGAAGGGCGATGCGGACGCACCTTGTCAAAGTTCTTCAAGAGGTTGACTATCCGACCCTCGACCTCCTCCTTGTTGAGACCGGCAGGAGCGGAGTAGAGTCTGACACCCTGGTAGGCAAAGCGAGGGGCGAATTGAGCCGGACGAGCGACAGGAGAGCTACGGATCTGGAAGGGAGCCGAGGTCTTGACGGCACGGGGGGCGGAAGCCCGGAGGGAGCGGACGATAGCGGAGCGGAACATGATGAAAGTGACACCGACACGAAGAGGTGGAGGGGAGGTGGGGGGGAAAAAGAGAAAGAAGTAGTGGTGGTGGTGGAAGTGGGTGGTGATGGGAGGAATAATGGATGATGAACGGATGCGAGCAGTTGCAGTTTGGATTCTGTTGCGGCTCGGAGGAAGCAAAAACCTGGCGGCGGGCCAATCACGGGGCGGCAGAAAGCCATGACCTAAGCAGCCAGCAGAACTTCGTCGACTTCCAACTTCGACGCTTCTGGTTCGAATTGCTGCTGTCCCCCTCTCCAATTGCCCTCCCCCTCGCCCTCCCCGCTCTTTCTCGCGCTCCCTCGACATCCGCGATGGCCGCCCCCAAGTCCGTCGCCAGGCTCGTCGCCTATTCCCGCCCTACAGCCTTTCCTCTTCGCACCTCGCCGCTGGGCTCCATCGCAAACTTCTCCTCGTCGGTGAGCCGGGCAGCTACCCCAGCTGGTCCCCCCCAGCCGGGCTTCCGTCTGCCCCCTCCGAAGAAATGGGACGAGGGCTCCGAGTCCTCCCTCGACAAGGCCGGCAAGTACTTCCTCATGGCTGAGCTGTTCCGCGGCATGTACGTCGTGCTGGAGCAGTTCTTCAGACCTCCGTAAGTCGTCCCTCGCCAGCTTGCCTTGTTCGCGTCGGTGCCCTTCATCGTCGGATCCCTCCGGGGGCCCACCTGGGCCTGTCTATCGGTTTTATCTCTCAATGGCATCATCGGCTGATGCGATGATGGACTAGTTACACCATCTTCTACCCTTTCGAGAAGGGTCCCATCTCCCCCCGTTTCCGTGGCGAACACGCCCTGCGTCGCTACCCCACCGGTGAAGAGCGCTGCATCGCCTGCAAGCTCTGCGAGGCCATCTGCCCAGCCCAGGCTATCACCATCGAGGCTGAGGAGCGTGAGGATGGAAGCCGTCGGACGACGCGTTACGATATCGACATGACCAAGTGCATCTACTGCGGTTACTGCCAGGAGAGTTGCCCGGTCGACGCCATTGTTGAGAGTGAGTCCATCGCATTGACCACCGGTGGTGGACTGTAACTGACACCCTACGATAGCTTCCAACGCCGAGTACGCCACCGAGACCCGTGAAGAGTTGCTGTACAACAAGGAGAAGCTCCTTGCCAACGGTGACAAGTGGGAGCCCGAAATCGCTGCTGCCATCAGAGCCGATGCTCCTTACCGTTAAGCTGCATCTAGGCAACTGACACCAGCCATGGTGCCTATCTGACACTCCAGTGAAAGAGATGCAAACAAACATGATATAAGAAGAAAGTCTTTCCGAGCTAGAAAGCCTGGCTTGTAGCCACCCCATTTATTCCCACTCTGTACATATCTAACGCCCATCCCTCCCCCTCCCCCTGATTACCTTCTGTACTAGTCGGGTCTACCGGAATTCCTCAGTCATCCGATTCCGGGTCTGGTTTTGTCTTTGATGTTGAAATCCTGCATGTCGTGTTGCTTCTACTTCTGTTTGTCTAGGAATCCAATCAAAGAATTTTTCCTTTGTTCTGCTGCTGGAGTAGGTCTTGAATTTAGCCAATGAATCCCATCCAAGACAGCAGTGACTACTGTCATTGCATCCACGCCCGGCGAGTGCTTTGTATGTAAGCTATTCGAGTTGGTAAATGAGCTGCCACCCATACTAACTCAGCATGCAAAGTCGGAAGAACCCGATAACTGCTGAGTCTTATGTATTTTCACCTTTAGCTACCGTGAGATATACACTTAGATCAGGTTTGCATTGCGTACAGCAGTGCTATACTATGTAGTATATCACGAGAAGACACGCAAGAGGGGACGAGAACATGAATTTACAAGTTGAGATCCCGTTCAAAGTGTTAAAAAAGATACATTCTGCGGAAGATTCCGATAGACTCCTGGGAGATTAGGGGATCTACTTACGTCCAGAGTCATTAATGGTTCAGTCTAGACTCTTTTCGATCTGATAAGATCTCATCAGGGATTTATCGAAGGGTCTGGATCCCAAGCACACCTAGGGGGTTATATCGGGGTTAAATGTATAATTTTCAGGAGATTTCCCCATCTGTCGGTTACGTCCCGAGCCGTAGAATTAGAGTAGGAGGGTTAAGGTTAATCTTTCTTTGTGTGCCTCTTTGTTCCTATAGGAAGGTTGACTTCTCCAGTACTTGCCGTTTAGATATGGGGTCTAGAACGGCCGGATGGGTAGGCTTCATTGGCGGTGAAGCTCGTTCTGGCTGTTTGCTTTTCTCTTGGCGAGAAACTCCTCAGCACAGTGGTTGTCGGCTGGGTTTTGTAGGCTATCGCAGATGTCCAATGATGTATGCCGGGACACCGGCCGGGAGAAGTGAGGACCCCGGGGAGAAGGGGATGGTTTGTGTCGTTTGCCTTACGCTGGGGTGGAATACCTCAGGACGTAGTGCTTTCATGCGAAGATTTGCAGGCTATCCCAGCGATACCTGATGTGAGGTGCCGACACACCAGACAGGGAGGGGGAGGTTGTGGGACATTAAATAGCGATGGCTTGTCCAGCTGACCAGAACCAGTCTCCTGACATTCAGCATGCCGATCACACTGTCCGTACTCGTCTTCCGCGGCGATCCAGTCGACGCTATGGAGTACCGCCATGCGGGCATTTACCTGGACTATGGCAAGGACCAGTCAAGCATGATGCATGTCGTGGGAGCCCCGGGGGTTTTCAGGTTTCAAGAGGATGATAAGATGGATTATGCAAAGAGTGAGAAGCTGGAGAGACATATTCTGGTCACGACATTGCATAAAGGCTTCACCAGAGACATGGTGAAGGCTGCGTGCTCCAGGACGCCGGTGAAGAATGACGGTTCTGAGTGGAACTGTCAGCATTGGGTGGGTGATGCCTTGAAGGAGCTGATGAAGCTGGGGGTTCTGATAGAGAAACGGGAGGAGGTGGAATGTCTAATGAACGAGCAGAAGAAGGTTGAATGTCCGATGAAAACCCAGAAGAGGATTGGAGATCCGATGAAGGAACAGAAAAAGATTGAATGTCTGGCGAACGGCCAAAAGAAGATTGAACGCCTGGCGAAAGGACAGGTGAAGGTTCAATGTCTAACGAAAGAGCAGCGGGAGGAAGCACTTGATAAGATGACCGCTGCGGTTGCGGAGGCGAAGGATGAGAAGCATTTGTGTGTCACTGTGAGTGGATGGACATGAAGACCAAAGGGTCTTATGTGGTCCTCTCATGAGACTTGCTCGTCGTCTGCTGGCAGGGACGAGTCCTGATAGACAAACAAAAGTTGCGGATAGACAAAATTGCAGACAAAAGCTATTCGAGTTCCGGGATGGTCAATCGCATCTTGCAATACATCTGAGATCAAACATTGTACGTGAGAGTAGAGAATAAACAGAAAGACAAATTGCTTCGTGAGATTCGGTATATATGCACAAAATGAACAGAGAACCTCCAGAGTAACTCCCCAAACACCGTTTCTCCAATGCCCGCACTCCTCAACTTTTGTCTCGAGCTCCGGCTCAATCTGTAGCATCACCACTCTGGCTTCCCTTTTGTTCTTCCTTTTTCGGCCCATTCTTCGGTGCATGTATGTACACGCTGTCAGAGGTGGCGGGTTGTTGTTATTACATTTTGACGGGATGTCCCTGCAGCCGACATTGCTTATTTCTTTCCCCCAGACTTGGCCTTGAAGCTGCCTTCAAATCCGGGTCTGGACTTCTTCTTGCCCCCAGTCTGCTTCTTGCCACCACCGCCGCCCTTGCCCTTCTCTTCCCGTCGCTTCCGGAGGTTCTCTTCGCGTTTCTGCTGTCTCATATCCTTGCCCTTCTTGACGGCATCCAGGCGCTCCTTCCATTCGCGCTCCGACTTCTTCTTGGCCGTCTCCTTGCGCTTGAGGGCCTTCTTTAGCAATGAGGTGTCGTCGCGGACTCGCTCGCCATGCGCCCGCTTCTTCGCATTCAGCCACATATCCTTCTCCTCGATATCGGCACGCTTCTCGTCGTCCATGGCGGCAAGCTTCGCCTTCTTGGCCTCAACGGCCTTCAGCGTCGCGGCGGGGTCTTTGGGCCCTTGACTCTTGTGTTGTTCCCGGACGTTGGAAAGGGTAGGGTCAGCGTGTTGACCGTCTGCGAAGACAACACGGCCAAAGGCGAAGTTGTTGTTCGAGCCAACAGAGTCAGCCGGGGAGCGCGGGGATGCGAGGAGGGATCCGGAGCCGCCAGGAGAAAAGCGTCGGGCCATGGCTTCATCCTTCGCCCGTTGCTCCTCTTCCCTAGCTTTCTGGCGCAGCTCCTTCTTGTGTGCTTTGCGTTGCTCGGCTTTTTGGCGTCGGGCTTCGATGAGCTCTTGGCGGTTTCTGGCGGGCTTGCCATTCAGCCCGTCCGCATGGCGAGCTGCGCGAAGCTCGTCGAGCCGCTTCTGTAGCCGTTGCTTCAGCTCATCGGGAGTAGCCTTGAGAGGCTTTGGTTCGGAGCTTGAGGAAACGGTGCTATCTCTGGGAGGAATAATAGAGGATATGGAAGAGCTGCCGGATTGGGGATTGGAGGCATCGAACCCAGAGTTCGGGGTCGACGCAGAGGACGACGGTTGTTCTTCTTGTTCGGCGCTGAAATCGAGCGAGAGCTCTTCGGCGGGGACGCCGTCAACACTTTCGTCGTCGTCACTATCATCGTCCTTTTGGTCTTGATCCTTAGTCTTACTGGCGGGGGTCAACTCGGATTTTTGCGCGGCCTCTGCCGCAGGGGTCTTGGTCTCGGTTGGCTGTTGCTCGGCTACCTTGGCCTTCCTGGCAGCTTCCTTAACCTTCTTCTTCTCCTTCTGGCTGGCTTTCTTTTGAGCTTTCTTCTCCTCCTTCAACTTCTTGCGCGCTTCGGCGTCCTCGGCTGACTTGGCGGGGGTGCGGTCCGGATTGGCGGAATCCTCAGCTTGCTTCTGCTTCTTCGTGGTCGCGTCGCCTCTTTTCAGTCCTTCTTTGGGCAATTCGGAGCCGAGTTCACCGCCGTCAGAGGAGTCGTCCTCATTCCGTTCTTCGTCACGTTTACGCTTCCGGGCGTTTTCGTCCATCACATCCTTGGCCGATTTGGCGGAATCGGGGTCCAACTTCGCCCGCTTTGCTTCACGGGCCTGCTCCTTGGTTTGCTTCTTCCGCTTCCATTGATCCTATTCCCCGCATCGCGGTCAGCCAGGCCTTGGGTGCCGCATTGGGACAAGGGAGAAAAAAAGAAGGGTGGTGGAAATTTTTGCACCGAACAAGATGGGACGAGTCACATACACTGCCATCTTCGCCGTAGTAGAATTTGGCCGGGATCAGCGACAGCAAACCGTCAAAGGCCTGGGCATGGCTTCGCAGCCGTTCCTGAGAAGAAAAAAAAGAGGAGGTCAATCTCGTGATCGGGCTAAGTGCAATGCACGGAACAACACACCTCGATATCATCCATCCTGCAAGAAACAGAGTGACTGCGGACCGTCCAGGGGTTCAAGCCGTTATACCGATAACGTACTGGAGGTTGAGGGATCTTTGGGCAACGCTCGGTCGAAGTAGCGAAGGCCGGCGATACCTCGAAAAAATTGGGTGGGCAGGTTGAAATCTTGGCGCTCTGTCTCCGCTCGGTTGTTCACCGCCCGCACCTTTTTGTGGGCCTCGGCGCTGGGGGTTTTTGCTGCGCCGATCGATCAACTGGCGAATGACTACGGAGTATCAGTGCTACAAGATATCTACTACAGTTGATATCTGGGGGACCCCTCGCTCCCTGTCATCATTCCATATATCTATACATCATCCGTATGCTTGCTCAACAAGCTTGACCATCATGCCTCACGTCAACTCTATACATATTGTCATCACATTCATTCACCTCCCACCACATCCGCAGGGAAGGCTGGCTTCCAGAACATCCGGTACCAGACCATGATGATTACTCCTGAACATTCAGCGCAGATGGCACATCCAGTCCAGGACATCTTTCGCTTCGAATATCGGTGATATTGTCATAAGGGTACGGAATGGTCCAGATCAAGTCGAACCTAGATAGGACATTAGTAACCGGCCCAGCCCAAAACCAAATATCCCTAACTCACCGCTCATCAGGGTACTCCGGAGGGTCATCATAGCCCAGCGCTTGAACAATCTCCCTCATCTTGCTATGGCGCCAGGAAATCAATATATTCCCGGTTCCCTTAAACTCGCGAATGCGTTGCGCCACGCATTCCACGCGATTACGCTTGCAAGATGTATCGACAGGAAGGCTGAGGTCCGTGGCGACGGGGAATACGGTCTCATAGGAGCGCCTATGCTGTCCGCCTAATGGTGTAGGAAATGGATTAGCATGATGCGGAAGCAACTGTGGCATGCGCTATGGCTTACGCGAATTGATCTTGGGCGCCATCACATGGCCAATGCTATAAGGCGAGGTCACACCGAATAAATCCCGGAGACACTCTGCGCGTTTGAAGCCATCTGCGTTCAGTCCGCTGTCCTCGGGATCCGGAGGCTTCTCCCCATGGCGGATAAGGTAGACTGTCGGAGGACTAGGTATGGAAGCTGAGATTACAAGCGGAGCCCCGAAAGAGAATAGGCATAAGAGAGAGGTGAAACGCATCTCAATCCAAGACTATACACGTTCAAAGGTCGCTTCTGAATGCAAGTGCAAGGTCAGGAGTCCTCCGGTGGAGAAGCGACCTAGAGTCGAGGAAAACTTTCTCTGCTCCATCCTGGGAAGGTGCCTCGATACTATATAGATACCCAATGGTGCTCTAAAGGACCCATATTACGGTTGCACGGTGATATGTGGGGTAGAAAGATCATCGGACTGTCAAGCCCCATGCACCAGCGCTGCAATTCTGACTATGAGCGAATTTTTAGGATCAACTGTGCGTATGTAGGAAGATCCGGGGTCGTGGATGCTGAAACTCCCTCCATACGTGGACGCAACACTGTCGGTCAGGCGGCTACCCACCGTTGAGGCATCGTTGAAACTATAACCTTAAACCGGACAAATCTGTTGGTCATCGCTGCTGGCTGATGAAGTCAGATGATGATTGATTTATTAGACCAAAGTGCCGTTCTGGTGAGGACCTTGGGAATATCAACGACCAAAATCTTTTGCCGCGTAAGGGGTAATGGCCGCCATGTGCAACATGCTCCATTCCACCTTGCATTTTGCGTATTTAAGGGGTGATAAGGCTGTTGCACTGCTTTCTGGGTGCAAGCTTTGGATCTTGGTGTGATAAGGTTTGATAGTTACTGTTGGGTTGGTATGTAAGCAGATGATGTCTAGGGTGGGTGCAGTCCCTGGATTAGTATATAACTAAACAACCCCCCAGCTCTGCGGAAATTTACTACCCATGATGACCACAGTAATCTTCAAGTATGATGGTGAGGAATACCTTGACAGATCTCCAGGCAAGATAATGTCCAGGCTATTGCATTTGAGTACGGAGTATTACGCCTTTCCTTCAGTCTTGCTGCCTACGCTTGACAGACTTCAAGGCAGGACGCTGTCCCTGTTCCTGTCTGCTCCCGCCCGATGCCAGCAGAAACCCTGGTCTGAGGCTAACCTCGGAGGATGGCCCGAGGATTCTAGAATGACAGTCGACAAGGCTGATTCGGCCATTTGTGTTCCATCGACGGAGTACGGGCGCATCATCGCTATCTGATCACCTTCGCAGTGCCCCATCGCCCGAGCCCGAGCCCGATCTTTCCAAGCCTCAATCAATCGCCAAGGGTCCAAGATAGGAAATCCAGCAGCCGGACCGGAACCAGTTGCGAGCGGACCACTCACAGTCCGAATTCCCTCCGGATCCCTCCACTGCTGGTACGTGTTCGCAGCATTAGGTTACGTAGGCGGACGTAATTTTGGCACTAGTGGATGAAAATAATGTGTCTGCCTGCTAATGCTGGTCGTCTGGACCCCAATAAGGAACCCTTACGGAGTCCGGCAACCACGGAGGGAAAAGTAGGCGCGATTCCGACATCCGGAATTCCCAGGAAAAAGTTCATGGCTGTGGTTTGTGTTTTTGTCTATCGGTTAGAAAATCCCAAGTAGATTCAAGGTCGGATCTGTCCAATGGATTCGGGGAAGGGAATACCCGTATTGCACGGGTATCGGCATCACGCCATTATTAATAGCACAGCCTTACTGTTATGTGCACAGGAAGAGCCCTCAGCCACTATGAGGCTGTGTATCAGCCATAGGGATCTCGGTAGGACGTACTATGGTATTATGGTACCATGGTAACGTCACCGATGCATCTACCCGTGTTAACTCCGAGGTCAAATTAGCTGCGCGCTTACGGAGTAAAGGGAAGGAAAGGGGGCCAAATGTAACGTTATGCGTATCATGGTAACTGCATAACGAGGAAGTACTTCTGACTGATATTACTATACATAGATAGTAGAACACCGTTGAATTGCCACTGCCTGGCAAAAGCAAAAGTACCAAGCTGATCCCCAGGTTGGCGGGGAGCAATTCCGGCAAGTCCGATCAACAGCAGCCGGCGCTCATCATGAACACATGGCACAGCCACCCCGCGCTGCATAGTGGCGGGGATCTAGTGATTCCGTACAGCATCAGCCTCACAACAGCCACAATGCAGACGGTTACCAGCCCACCACCAGGCTAATGGGGTCCAATACTGTCCAGCCCCTGTCCATGACGGCGCTGTGACTGACCAGCGTAATATTGTCCCGTGTTTCTCACTGGGTTCAGGTCTTGGCGCAATGGGGGCTTCATCGAATCTTGGTGGGGCTCCCTCCCTGGGCGAGTCAGCACTGCGCCTGCTCAGCCCTGCAGTGCCAGATCACCTTATCAAGTGGCCAAATATCCCACTATAAAAGCCTTGGGAACCCCTCGTTCGGTCTTTCCTTCCATCATCTTACCAAATCCACATTCCTCTTTCTTCCTACCATCACACCCCAACCCAACCCAACTAAACCAAACACATCATAACCATGTCCGGATACGACGGCTACAACAACCAAGGAGGCTACTACGGCCACCAGCAGGGAGGCTACAACCAGGGAGGCTACAACCAGGGTGGTTACGGCCAGGGCGGCTACAGCCAGGGCCAGGGCCAGCAGGGCGGATACCCCCAGCAAGGATATGGCCAGCAGGGTGGATATGACCAGTACAACCAGCACGGCGGCCAAGGTGGCGGCAGTGCCAACGACTACTACGGCGGCCAAGGTGGCCAGCAGTCCCAGTACGGTGAGGGCCAGTACGGTCAGCAGCAGTACGGCCAGGACCAGCGTGGCGAGTATGTTTATCCCCTTCCTATTATTTGTTCGACTTCCAGCTGACTTTTTTCGCTAGATATAACCAGGGTGCCCCCGGCGGAGCTCAGGAGGGTGAGCGTGGACTTGGTGGTGCCATTGCCGGTGGTCTGGCGGGCGGATTCGCCGGTCACAAGGCCGATCACGGATTCCTCGGAACCATCGGTGGAGCCATCATGGGAAGCATTGCCGAAGACGCCATCAAGAAGCACAGGAACAAGGATGAGCAGCACCAGCAGGATTACCAGAGCGGCCATGGTGGTTACCCCCCTCAGGGTGGCCCTCCTTCCCACAACGGTGGTAGCATGATGGACCAGCTCGGCGGCTTCTTCAAGCGATAGACGGCTTCTTTTTTATTCTACACCGATTCCTTTCCATTGCTTAACGTTACGAATTCCCTTCGACAACCGTGAATGAATTTTCGACATTGCTTCGTTCGGCCGGCCGGGTTTTAAGAATTATTGAACTACTTTGTTGCTACTCCTATTATTGAGATCGTTTTCCTGTGCATACCTGGTGCGGATGAAACGTTTTAACTTGATACCGATACTGTATTCAGTCTAGCTAGCTCTCTGTGATGACCTTTACGAAGAACATACAGTCTTTGGCTTCATTCAATTGGTGCCCTGTCGTAAACGAATCCGTAGATGCCAAATTCCGCAAATCTTGTTTCTGAAGACTTCAAACCCGTTCCATCTCATCATGTGCAATAACAGATCATCCCTTCCGCGCTTGATCCTCGCGCATTTGAGTTCACCATGATGTTGGATGAGGGGCTTCAGGTGGCGGGGTGAAAGGCTCGACGACGACCCAACCCCACCTTCAGCGTTTCATGCCGGAAAATATTCATCCTTTCCTTTTCCTCCCGATTTTTCATCCCCGAGCCCAACCTACTTCCTTTAGACAATATGAGGTGTTAATTATTATGTATTACTATTAATTTCGGTCTATGACGAAGATGGCAAAGTTCGGATTTGCAATTCCACACTTTCTGGGGAATGGTCCCCGCGTTAATCTATCTTAATCCTACACTTGTTTTTGTTTTTCTCACTTTTAGTACTATTACTATCGAGGATAATTAATAACTCCAGCAAACATACCTCCAGAATAGTACACCGACTTGACTAACAAATCCAACTTACATACCTACCTACCTGCCACGACCCCTCCCCTCCCCTCCCCCTCAGTCAGCAAGCGGGAAAAGATCATCCCACAAACTCACAAACACACAAATGACCTAACAGATCCGGACAAGGATTCATAAGCCATGCACATCCTAGCCAATTGGTTGCCTTACCCGGGGTCGAGAAGGTTCCATCGTGGCATTTTGTGCGTTGGCAATGCTTGGCCGGCTGCCTTTTTTGCCCGTTCAGGGTATGGTTTGATACAGAGGTTGTAGGGATAGTGGTGTGTTTGTTTGTTTGCTTTAGGGGATGTGTTTGCGGGGATGAGGGATTATGAGGGATTGGTTGGGTTGGGGGATTGCTGCGTAGGTTGGGTTTTTTGCGGGAATTGTCGGATGGGGTTACGGAGTACTAGGTTCTGTTGTGGTATGGGTTGTATTTCTTGTATTGGGTTAGTTGTTTGTGCTTGCTTGGTGAAGGTGTTTGGTATGGTGAGTCCTAGGTGGGTTTATGGTGTCGATAAATCATGGCGTATCTCATTGCGTTGGAGTATTGTTGGATTTACTAAGAGGCATGCATGTGCGAGGTCGGCGACATCGGAGCTATGGAATTTACTACTTCGTAGTATGGTTAAAAGTGGCGTCGTAGGTGGCATAGTTCTCTTTGAGAGTGACTAGTAGAAGAGAATGTCCATGTTACCTGACAAGATGAACAACACTACGGAGCACCGATCGATCGACGAATGACTTCCCCGACATCTAAATTTCCGTAAATGGCTTAGCGCAGTTCCGGCCTCAGGCACAGTCGCGCCAAGCCCGACATCAAAAGTTCGAGCGGAAGATTCCCTTGGAACAGCTGCTATAGAACAGAACTCCGGCCAACACAAGACAATATGATTGTTCGGCAACTATGTGTGCGGCAAAGTAAGATTCCAAGGCATCAGATATCATGATCGTGGACTTTGTGCTGATTCTCTTTTCAATCCAGGCCGCCAGCTCCGGGCTCTTCCCCGTCAGTCGCGCATTCTGGCCCGATTCTCTTCGACCGAGACGACTTTCCAGACCCCCGTGCAGACCACCTTCGCGGAGCCTGAATCCCAATCAGAGACGCCTTCGCCATATATCCCGGTGCCTGAACCCGTCCGCACTGAAGCAAATCAGAATTTGGACAAGGGCCTGGCTCGAAGTTAGTACCGCAGCCGCATCGTTAGGCCGTGGCTGCTCGAATGGAAAGCTAACCATCCGTCTTTTTCAGAGATCCAATTCCACAGCCTCGGTAGTGATGTAGTCGGCGCCTATCTGCCAAAGAGCCTCCTCAACTATCCCCCGAAAGCCGCCGATGTTACCCTTGAAATGCTCCTCGCGAACCAGACACACCTCGGGCACTCGACGTCCCGCTGGAACCCTCAGAACTCCCGCTACATCTTCGGTATCAGGGAAGGCGTTCACATCATCTCCCTCGATCAGACGGCGGCTTATCTACGACGTGCGGCCAAGATCGTGGAGGAGGTCGCGTATCGGGGTGGATTGATTCTCTTTGCGGGCACGAGAAAGGGACAGAAACGGATCGTGGTCAAGGCTGCGGAACTGGCTCAGGGATACCACATCTTCGAGCGCTGGATCCCTGGTAGCTTGACAAATGGTGAGCAGATCTTGGGCCACTGCGAGAAGAAGATTGTCAACGGCCTGGATGAGGAAGTGAAGATCTGGGAGGAGGAGCTGGCAGAATATCATGCCCTCAAGCCCGACCTGGTTGTTTGCCTGAATCCCATTGAGAATGTTGTCCTCTTGCACGAATGTGGTCTCAACAATGTTCCGACCATTGGTATCATTGATACGGACGCCGATCCGACCCGTGTCACCTATCCCATCCCTGCGAACGATGACAGTCTGCGGGCCGTGACGTTGATTGCTGGTGTGCTCGGAAGGGCAGGACAAGCAGGCCAGGAGAGAAGATTACAGGAAGCCCGGGAGGGTCGCGTGACATACCCCTGGATGAAGAGTCTCCGTGTTACTGCGGAAGAGGGAGACGCCTCAGGAGTGATGCCCTCCGAGACGACTACTGAGCCTGCTCGGAAGTCTAGGACCGCGAGGGAAGATGATGACTAGAGTTGGAGTCTTGACAATTGTTCTTCTTGATATCGGTCTGCCTACTGTGAACTTTGACTGGGATGTATTGTATAGGACGCTGTAAATTTCATTTTTCCCTGGTGTTATCATGTATCAACAATGCTATTGAATTATCTTCTGGTCTTAGCTACTGCCGGATCTGGCGACCGTGTGTCGGCAAATCTTCTCGATTCGCTATCCTGAGGCTTGCTGACGGTCATGGTCTGAACGCTAACACTACGTGCAGGTAGGTCTACATCGGTGACAGCAACCATTTAATCTGAAACTCATTTTCTATAATTTCGGACGCTTCTAACCCTTATGACGATACAGTGACATTTCGAAACCCCACATATAATGCTGAAACCAAAAGACCCTATTTCTTCAAGGTATACACCACCCGGCCCCGAGAGTCCTTGCCCTTGTATTCCACAGCCTTCCCAATATCAGAAACGACGCGTCTCTCATCACCGTTGTGAAGGATGATATCAAGTTCTTTCCAAGCAGGAACAAACCCAGATTTCTCATCCCGGGTGAATCCAACGACGACCTTCTCTTCTGTGGAGCTATAGCTGATAGTGTATTGTGAGATGCTCGGGTTAAGCGAGATTCCATCGTCTTCGAACCAGGCAGTGCTGAAGACCTGTCCATGAGAACTGGCACGGGGTGGAAAGATTTCGACTCCTCTGTAATCGTCGATCTCTTCCACGGCCACCGAGGCTGGAGTCTCATCGCCGGGCACCCTGGTATGGATGGGCTTGCCGACGGGGATAGCGCCACCGATCCTGGCCAAGAGGGGGATGCTCTTCCTCCATTCGGACGAGACTTCAACCCATTGGCCGGAAGCGAGGTAGTTGTACGGCTCGTTCATGTTCACATATCCAAAGTCGAACTGATCATTTGCCTTTCGGGGTAGGTACATCTTGGCAACGCTCACACCAGGCTGGTAGACGCCTCCGACCAGGATGGTGTCACCAAACCAGAACTGCTCATCCCCAGACTTGAGTGCCTTTGTCCAGACCTCTGGGTCGGATTCATAGCCCCAGCCTACCCAGCGTTGGGGTGGGGATGCGGTCAGGTGGCTCTCCAGGCCGAGAGAGTAAATATAGGGGAGGATCTCGTAACGACGCTTAATAGTGTCCCTGACAAGAGGTGTGATCTCGGGGTACATCCACGGCTCGATGACCTCTCCGACCGAGCTGTTTCCGGGAGAGGTCTTGAAGCAGTTGATGGCGAAACGGGGGGAGTGGATGCCCAATTGGATCCATCTGAGAAGCAGTTCGGGCGAGGGCTGAGGACCTTCAAAACCTCCGATATCATGACCGCAGCACTGCAGGAGTGAGATGCCTGCGCTGAGGGACAGAGCGTTTGCTCCCTTCATGCTTTCCCAGCTGGTAACGTTGTCTCCGCTCCAGGTGCTGGCAGCGTAACGCATCGTTCCTGCGGTAGCACTCCGGGTCAAGACGAAAGGTCTTTGATTGGGTTCGAGGTTAAGCAGGGCATCGTGGGAGGCTTTGCCCATGAGCTCGGTGTGCATGGCACGACCCCAGAGTCCGACAGTGTTCTCAACACCCTTTTTGGCGGCATCGGAGACGGTAGGCTCATCCAGAGCTAGCTGCCAATCATCGTCCGGAAGCGTGTACTCGTTGTTATCATTCCACATGCCATCAATTCCAGCGCGCTTCAAGCTTTGAACTCCGTCATACCACCACTTGAATGCAACGGATGAGGAGAAGTCGATGTGGCATCCGTCACCTCCGGTTGCGCCTCCAGCACTCCACAGTCGCATATAGCCCGGCTTGTTGTCTTCAGGGTTCTTGAAGAATCCATTTGCATCAACAAGTTTCTTGAAATCGGGGTGCGATGCGAGCAGGAACGGCTTGATGTTTGTGAGGAGGCGAATGCCCCGAGAGTGGTACTTGGCAATCCATTCTTCCGGGTTGGGGAAGCGGTGCTTGTTCCAGGTGAAGACATTGCGGACTTTGGGTTCCGTTTCCGCGATGGAGTATCCGGAGCTCATTTGGTGTGCAGAGCAGGGAATGCCGTGCTCTTTGAGCTTGTCCGCAAATTCCATCAATCCTATATGCGCAGGCGGGTCATCAAGCATGGTGTACTTGTACCCGCCTGAGATGTACCCATATGCCCATCGGGGAACCAGAATGGGGAGACCGACCAGCTCTGCATAGGATCTCACAACATCCTTAAGGGTCTTTCCGACAATCAGGTATTGCTCGAGACCACCGTAGTCTTGACGGTAGGTTTTGAAATAGCCCCAGAGGCCGTCCACCTCCGAACCGACGGACCAGGTTCCTCTGCCGTGCGTTGTCGAGAAGATAGCCACGCATCCATCAGGAGAGGCTTTGATTAACAGCGGAATGTGCTTGTATAGAGGGTCGGTGTTGTAGACGTCATATCCGAAGCTGTCTGTGGCCGAGAGCTGGAAATGGCGGCCGGTGAGATCCATGGGAGCTCTCTTTTCTCCCAGTCCAACATGGAGAGCATCACGGTCATGCTCTGTATAGTGCGCGACGCCAGTTGCGTCCGCGACATAGGAGCGCAGAGGCAGATCACGATACAAGGGTTTCTTCGAGCCCTTCCATGATAACGAGACGACCGGAGTGTTGGTCCACTCAATTGAGGCTGTGACATCTCCCACTTCAATGGTCTTCTGGTTCTGGCCACTGGTTGTCGATACCTGGACGCCGTCCAGATTTGTCGCCGGCTTGATCACACTGGGATAGGGAGGAATGGGGTGGGTTGCAGATGAGAAGGTGACTCGGAATAGGTTTTCACGGATTGGTTCAAACGAAAATTCAAAGGATCTCTCTTGCGGACTTGAACGAAGGTATACAGAGGAGGGATCCTGAGTCCCAGCAGGGGACTCTTGATAGCTCTTGGGGCAGAATTCTTTTTGCGGCATGGTTGAGGGATTGAGAGAGTACTGATTCAGGACCGAATGGAGGACCAACTACGAGAGCGACCACGGCCTGAAATCCGCTCTATTTGAGTGATTCTACTTGCGTCTACATTTCTGGGAATTGCGTGGCATCCAGGGCCCCGCGTGGAGCTGTATACTCGGACATCGGGGCTCATTGCCGACAACTGCTGGGGCTCCCCCACACTGGCGTCCCCCGCGTCCTCGTGACAATTACAGGCGAAGCTGGGGGATTCCCGCCCATCGGCTATCACCCCCGAAACCCGAAGCTAAACGCTTTTTAACCTCGAATGTCTCCCCACGTCGGATTCTCGCCCTGCACGGTGATGCCACGGCTGGTTCGATTGGACGCACCGTCGGATCATGTCCGAAATCTTCCTTGTCATGTTGTCCTGTCGCGCTCTGCCGGTCTGGGGCCACGTTGACGCTAGGCTTATCATGGTCTGCGTAACGAGCCACGGCTCGTTGATTCGCTCCCGCATCGGTCTTGGGCTGTTTTGCCCGGGGCTGGGATGATTTCCCCACGGGGTTCTCCTGTTGTGGTATACCTTGGATATGCCTCCCAGAATTTCCCCGGGATTTGGGGTTTATCTTCCTTGGATTTCTCTTGGTCTTTGTGATCTTTGTTCTAATTGTCGAGTGTTTTCTTCCTACCCGAGAGCCCGTCCTCCTTAGGGCTATCTCCTTATAGCTTGAACACCGACGAAGAACATAGAAGACACAATGTCACACCAGAAAGGAGCAACAGCCGGCAAGGAGGCACAAGATGAACATATCGAGTCTATTGAACCCGCGCCCCGTCCGGAGCAGGGGCACCCACACGAGCCTACCCAAGACAAAGCCATGGACCTGATCATAGATGCGGGACAGTCTGCCATTCTCACCCCCGAGAACAACGCCCGAGTTCTCCGGAAGATTGACCTTCGGCTGCTGCCAATCCTTCTGGGGATCTATTTCTTACAGCAAGTTGACAAGTCCACTCTCTCATACGCGTCAGTCTTTGGTCTGGTCGAGAAAGCCCATCTCCACGGGCAGGAATACTCTTGGTTGGGGGCAGTCGTCTATTTGGTGCAACTTGTTGCCCAGCCTTTTGTTGCCTATATTCTGGTCAAAGTGCCATTGGGAAAGTTTCTGGCATGCACCACCTTTTGCTGGGGCATAGCCCTGACATGCATGACCCCGGCGAACAGCTTTGCGGGGTTGTTGGTATGTCGGATGTTCTTGGGTCTTTTTGAAGCTGGTATACGTGAGTATCCCCCGGGACGTGATGCTGGTTTGGAGCTAGGCTGAAAGTTGTAGCACCTGCGTTCATTGCAATTACCCAAATGTGGTATCGACGACGAGAGCAACCCGTTCGGCTGGGTTCGTGGTATGCTATGAATGGTGTGGTGAACATGGTAAGATAGCCTTCGATGCTTTCGTCGAAGGGTGCTAACACATCTTCTGATAGTTTGGGAGCCTGATAACCTACGGTCTTGGCCACATTGGTTCTTCAGTCTTTGAGCCTTACCAGGTTTGTATTCCCACTATGCTTGGAATGTAGGGTGCTGAGTTTATCAGATCATTTTTCTATTCTTCGGACTTATCACCATTGTTTTCTCTGGCGCTATCTTGTGAGTCAACCCTCCAAAATAAGTCTTGTGCGTTTCTGACCTTGCTATATAGATTCTGGATGCCAGACTCACCGATTAAAGCCAAGTTCCTTGAAGAGGATGACAAGCTCTTGGCCATTGAAAGGTATTACCATGCATCCACGACAGTGTGTCAGGTACTTACAGTATGGTTAGACTTCGTATGAACCAGCAAGGTATCGAAACTCACGAGTGGAAATGGGACCATGTCAAGGAGGCATGTCTTGACGTCAAGTCGTTCTTCTGGTTCGCCCTGATGTTTTCAATCTCGTAAGGACCTCTACTCCAAGCTCAAGAGCCACAACTCACGGAAATACAGTATTCCAAGCGGCGGTATCTCGACATTTGGACCGCTGATTATTGAAGCCTTTGGATTTAACCAATTCGACACAATCCTCTTCAACATCCCTTTCGGTGCAGTCCAGCTCATCGCAACCATGGGAGGAGCATGGCTGGCGACTAGCCTTAAGATGAAAGGGCCTGTCATAGCTCTGCTATGCTTGCCTGCCATTGCGGGGTGTGTGATGTTGCTACAGATTTCGCACAATGGGCATCACAATGGGGCATTGCTAGCAGGATATTACATTGTAAGTTTCTTTGACTTTCTGCATGACTTGGCTAACATGTATCAAGATCTCTGTCTACCCAGGAATCAGTATGTCTCCCGGACTTCACGCGCAACCACGCTAACGGACATAGCACCCTTGATCTACTCCTGGTCCGCAGGTAACACGGCAGGCGAGACGAAGAAGAAAATCGTGAATGGTGTTCTGCTCATTGGACAATGTGCTGGTAATGTATGTGAAGCGAAGCCCAGAGAGCGGCCCGGATACTTATCAGCAACAGGTCCTCGGTTCGAACCTATACACCACCAACGAAGCACCATTGTATAGACGTGGGCTTCTATCCAAGTAAGTCGACAAGCCCACACAATGACTTCTCCAATACTAATCATGACTCTAGCCTCGCAATGTTCTGCGTCCTCATCCTGCTCTGCCTGTAAGTTCCCCCCTCTCCGCTCCCATTAGATGCGCTATACTCACTCCCCAGATTGAACATGGCATACCTCTTCCTCCTCAACAAGAAACACGAGAAACAGCGCGTAAGCATGGGAAAAAGCGCCAAGATTGTCGACCATTCCATGCAAGTCGTGGGTGCTGTTCCAGTAGACAAACTCGAATCTCCTCAGCAGGTCCTGGGCGAAGATAATGCGTTCAAGGACCTGACAGACTGGAAGAACGAAGACTTTGTCTATGTGTACTAAGACAGATTAAGTCTTTCTGAGCAGGATACTCCAAAGATGTCAACATATGTCGTGAAATAGCAGTTTGTATAGCGTATAGCCTTGAATTAACCCACTGGATCCAAATTAATGTAGACATCCCCCTTAACCCTAAATATTGAACGAACCACTAAGTCCCAATCAATCTCCCAAATCACGTACGCCAACCAACCATTCCCTCAGCAAAACCACACACGTACACAACACGACAACCAATAAATACCTCTAGCCGTGCTTAGCCTCCGGGGTAACCCCGCAATCCCCATCTCCACTCCGACCCCGGACAACCTAACAACTAACCCATCCATTCCTTCAAGTTCCTCCCTTGCATACATACCATCCCCTTTTATTCAACCAACGCACCTAGACTACGCTAGATATCAACATGGATCTAGATGATGCCCCGTGCGCGGTCTCCGCTCCAATAGGGAAGAAGCGTATTCCGGTATGGTACACCTCGTCTCTTTTTTCTTAGCTGGGTGGGTGGGTGAGTGGCTGGCTGGCTGGCTGGTTTATCAGCTAATGCGGGTTATTTCTGGCACTTTTAGAAGGCGTGTAGTGCTTGCCGGCTGTCAAAGGTGAGTGTCTTTCTCCTTCAATGCGGAGGGGGATGGGTATTGATGTTGATGTTTGTGTATGGGTAGGTGAAATGTGATGGGAAGCGGCCGTGTACAAGGTACAATCCATAATGTGTGATTGGTATAGGGGGGTCCGCTAACAGACCTGGAAAGATGTAAGCGATCAAGAAAGCGATGTGTGTTTTTCGAAATCCCCAAAGACCCGGCTGTTGAGTATGCCTTTCTCTTCTTTTACTGTCCTGTGTGAGCGGCGTTTGTGTCGAGAGACTAATTCTAGTATAGGCGACTAGAAAACGTCGAAGCAGAGGTACAGCGTCTTCGGGGACAATTGGGGGAAATGCATGAGCTGTTGCGTCTTTATTCGCAGTCCGGTGATAATGCAGCGGTACGGAACCCATCCCATGGGCTGCAGCGGACGCATCCAGGAGAGATTGCCATTCCGTCTCCGACTCAAGTCATGTCTGATCCGGGGACCATGCCTGCGGTTCTTGCTGAGGGGTCGGGTGGGTTTCATCGAGGGGTGAGGTATGGTTTGAATCATCGAAATGGTGAGGTTCTTCGGTTCCAGGCTGCTCGTCCAGCTAGACAGAGACGCTCGGGGTTCGATATCAGGGAAGAGCCGATATCGGATTTTATTAGCAGGGGGTTGATGACGGTTGATGAGGCCATGTCTTGTTTTAGGACGTATGTGTATATGATCGATGTTGATGTCCTGGCTGCTGCTAACATGGCATAGGTTTTTTCAAGGATGTGTATGTGGTCCCAGATCGTCAAGGGTGCGATAATTTGTTCATGGGGCAGGTTAGGATAGGTATATCCCGGTTTTCGATCCAGCGCTGGACACGTTTACCTCCGTGCGTGCGCGCAGTAGCATTCTGCTTAATGCTATATGCACGATTGGTAGTCGTGTTGAGACAAGTACGGTCCTTGCTTAATCAGATTTGAGTACTGAGGAGATACTGATTTGGCTAGGCTCTGGATCACGGAACCCTGATTTATTGCATGCTGAGCTCAAAAGATCCATCAGTGTCGTTATTCAGAACAAATCGCTCAATTGTCTAGAATCCGTGCAGGCGCTGCTCATCGTAGCCTGTTATTCTGCCGAGAGGTCCCTGATTCTGTCATTTGCAGCCCGAATGGCATTGGATCTGGGCCTGGATGAGGCATTTGAGGAACTGATACAGAGACTAACGATGAAAGAGACGGAGGTTATCTCTGACAGGTCCGCTACATTAGACGAGGAAGAGCGTACCTTGATGCGCAAGTCTAGGACCTGGTTTGGCCTCCTGGTGCTCGATCATATGTAGGTTCTGCGCCTAGCCAACCATATCTCATGTTGATAATCTCAGATTTCACGTCGATGGGGGCAAGCCCCCTGGAATCCGGATGACGGGGAATGCACATCGATCTCGTATATTGCTTCGTCATGGCACATCCACGGTTTTGGATTTGCGTCTCTTCTCTCAGGTGGAGGTGAGCAGCCATTTTACTTATAACGATAGCAGCTGACAGTGCTTGGTGCTAGTTGAATGTCATACGTGGTAAGAATCTCAATCCTCTCTGTTGACTCCGACAGCCGTGTAACAAGCAGCAGCCAAGATCAACGACACCCTAGATGCCAAAGAAACTCTCGAAAGACCCGATGTCCCCGAGTTTGTGCACGAGGCCAAGGTGGACCTGGACCTCTGGTTCGAGTAAGTGATCCGCCCTAAGCATCTATCCTCCAACTAAGCCCTACAGTGACTGGCTACGCATCATCGGTACGCCTTCCCCCGTGCTCCCTACCCGACAGCATCCAACTAACCATCAACCAGAAAACTCCTCTTCAGCCGAACAAGAACGTCCTTTCCTCCTGGCGGCCCTGCGAGTCCAAAAATGCTGGGCCGAGTTAATCCTCCACTGCCAAGCGCTCCGCTCAATGGGCGTCGAAAACGTCGCGTAAATCCCCATCACTTCCCATATATCCCCATTGCACCCTCACTAACCCAACCAACCAGAGCCATGTCCCCCATCGAACGCACCCTCCTCTTAACCGCCAAATCCAGCGCCCGAAAACACCTCCGCCTCATCAGCCTCGAACCCGACTTCTACCTGGCCAAACTGAAATACGCCATGGATTTCGTCTGGGCCAAATGCGCCTTTTGCTTCCTACTGCTCCTCAAACTCTCCCGCCTCCTCCCCGAACGCAAAGAAGAACACCAGGAACTGCTCGACCACGGCAATCGTCTCCTCGACGAATTAACCCGCTCTACGACCCCAACTTCAACCCCACCCCAACCACTAATTCCCCCCGGCCCAAGCACAGGGATAGGTTCAGGCGCAGGCGCAGGAACAATCTACATGCAAATCCTCCGTCTCAGTATTGAAAAATACAGCCGAATCTTACAAAGACATCAAGTCCCATCTGCAGTCCCGGGCATATCCTCAGAAGAAGCAGAATCAGAAGCAGAAGTAACGACAACAACAGCACCCCCAACACCTTTCTGGGAACTCTTCGATGCGCAAACCGATCTGCAGAGTTTCATCCCTGAGCAATTCGTCCGGGAATGGGATTTCCCGGGATTGGATTTGTTTTATTTCCCGACGGCGTGGCAGGATTTTTTTGGGGATTTTAGTTCTGTCGTGGTTTGATTTTCCCTTCCCCCACTGCTTCCTATTTATGAGATGAGATGGGATATATATGGATATGAGCTGGATAAAGATGGAGATTTAGTTCCCCAGTAGCATTCACAGACAAAGAAAAAGAAGAAGAGGAAGAAGAGGAATAGGAATAATCATAAGCGGCCTGTTGATAACCTGAATTGCTCGCATCTGTCAAATACAGATGGGCTGTCTATAGACCACGCGAGACGAATACAAAACATAATGAAAATGATGAAGTCTAAGAGAAATTTTCCTCCAAGATGCCCTATTGAAATTGATGAAGCGGTGGAAAGATAGATAAATGAGGATATCGAACTCGGCTTGAGAAGAACACCGCCGAACTTGGACTTGGGTAGGGATGTGGATGGAATATGTGATGGGTATTAATTGTTTTTATTGATTTGATTTGACATGGTTTGACATGATTTGGCTGATTGGTTGGTTGATTGTTCAACCAAGGGCTCTCATGGTGAGCTCGACGCTGCGTAGGATTAGCCTCTATACCGGGAGACGGGGAAGAGAAGGGAAAGACATACACAGCAAAAGTGCCCGCAGACACAGGCATAGCCCTAAGCAAAGTAGGACCGATACCCTTCCAGAAGCCGGCGAAACCCTCCGCGGCATAAGTCTTCTTGAAGCAATCGGTCATGCTCTTGAACTGCTGCTGAGCGCCGAAACCATCACACTGCATCTTACTCTTGACGACATCAAAGGGGTAACTGCTCAACCAGAGAGCCTCACCCGCCAAACCACCATACGTCGCGACCTTGATGCTGGAGATATCCTCACGCTTGATGTTGTTGCGCTTGGCATCTTGGTTCATCAGGTACTCGAACGCCAAGAACCAGGTTCCGTAGGCCTGGGCTTCACGGAGGTACGTGACGTTCTGGCCGCGGAAGAGACCCTTGAGGACGCCGCCTTGATTGCAGAGCTTGCGGATGCAGTCGATGGGGCCGTTGTACAGACGGTCTGCGCCGTGGGGTTGGGTTTGCAGACGGATACGGACGTGCTCGATGGGTCCCGAGAGCACGGAGTTGGTGAGACCGGCGAAACTGCCGGCCAGGTAGTACTGGGAGTAAGAGAGAGTGCTGTCGGCGTATTTCTTCTTGTTGAGCTTCTCCAGACGTCTACGGGCTTCGTGGAAAGCTCCGAATTGTACACTGACCTGTGGGGGGTTAGTAGGGGTTGGAAGCCGGGGGAGGGGTGGGGGGGCTTACGCAGGCACCGATTCCGATCAACGGAGTCAAGGTACCCTTGTAGAAGGCAAAGGGGCCTTCGTTCTTGAAGATCTTGGTGGCACAGTCCAAGGCATTGGAGTACTGGGTGGTGGTTTGCAGGCGAACCTTGACAATGTCTGTTCATGTTAGGGGATTGATGCCTCGGGTTGGGAGAGGTACCCACCGAAAGGTTGTCCTGCGGGATGTTAGCTGTGCCTTCGATGAGATATGAAACTGAGGGCATACCGAGAAGCACCTGGGCAATTCCACCAGCAGCACCGGCGCCCAAATCCTTGACCATGCGGAGGGTTCCGCCGCCCTTCTGCATGTCCTCAAAAGCCTCGGACTCCATTGCGGGGAACTACTTGACACCCGGGAAACTGAACGGGAGGGGAGATGGGTCTGTAAAGCCGGATACGGGATGACACCAAGAGGCACAACTATTCTCTGCGGCCCGGGAACTGCAGATGCTTCAGACGACGCACAGAGAAGAAGAATCGAGCTTATCAGGGCGATGAGGAGGGCCTCTGCGATGTCGCGAGAATGCCGGCCTCCGATTCGGCGAGGGCGCCGAGCGCACGTGAGGCGGAAAACTGGCGGACCCGCGGACTTTGGGCGGTGGTCACGCTCCTGACTAAGATTTCTTAGTCAGCGGCGTACGGCGGATACCAGCGTTAATTACGCGGCGATGTTCTTCTCCGGAGTTTTGGCGCCGAGGGATTCGCTGTGAGCAACGACAACATCATGCACAGGCGGGCAGCTTTGGAAGTAAGATGACCCCATTTCTTGTCCGTGGTAAACCTGGTCTGACTGTCTAATTATCTCTAGCTATCCCGCCGTCACGGTGTCGAATGGTCGTGCGCAACCGCCCGCAGAAATGCTGCTTTCGCTCCGATAGTAGGCCTGGTTCCTCGCCGGTCCTTTCGAAGCTCGCTCCCCCACCCCGACTCCGAGCCTCCATCAAACAATCCGGGCGATTCAGATGCAGGTTCCGCTCCTGCCCCTGCGGCACCGAAGTTTGGTAATCGCTGGGGCAGCAAGACACAGAGACCGCTCGCGCTTAGTCCGGCAGAGCAAGCCATCCGAGACGCTTTAGTAGCAAAGCAGCAACAAGAGCAGCTGCGGCAGCAACAGGAGCGGCAGAAGCGGCAGCAGGAAGAGGAAAAACGAAGGGAGAGACAACAACGACGGAGGGAAGCCCGCCAGGCTCGCACGGAACAGCCGTGGCCAAGCACGAGATGGCGTGAGGGCCGTCCCCGACAGCCCAGGGAATCCGATCATCCCCCCAGGCGGCGTCCTGCTCCCCCCGTCGTTGAGGACGAGGAAAGCTTGGCTCTCCAACCCGACAAGTCACTCGAGATCACCATCAACAGAATACCCGAGCAGGTGCGGTCGACGAGTTGGAACTGTCCGGATTGTCAGAAAAGGTGTTCCGGGGAGCAGACTGTCTGCCCGTGTTGCAAAGCAGAGAGACCGGTCTTGCTTGCAAACCCAAAACGACCGTGGGCCCCACCTCGCTATCGTAGGAGCGAGGAGGATGCCGTGAAGATCCGGAGATTAGGCCCGTCAGGTCCGGAGAAAAAGGATGACGATACGGATAAGAACCTCGACCGAAGGGAAGTAGCCTTCCGGGAATATGCGGCAAGCGTGGGACGATTCGCTGGTGCACGGCCTGTGTTCGACCTTGACTTCGAGGAAAAAAGACGAGCCTCCGAAAACAAGGAAGCGAGTGCAGCAAAGAAAGAAAAGCCGAAGTCTGATACGGAAGACAAGCAGGCAAAGCCAGCCAAGCCCAGTGACCCGTGGGCCTGGGATGCGTCATCCTTGAAGAATATTAGAATACGACACGACGATGATGTTGAAATAAGGCCGAAGCGACGAGACAATCGCAAGCAACGGGAGACGGGGAGAAGCGAGGAGGATGAATTCGACGAGGACGATGAGGCCGAGCGCAAGAAACGTCGTGAAGAGAAGAAACGCTTGAAGAAGGAGAAGGCACGCAAGAAGGAGTTGCAGACTGCCGCTCCTAGTCCCTTGTACCTCCCTGAGTTCATCAGTGTCAGCAACCTGGCGGATGTGATTGGCGTCCGCCCCGCACAATTCGTCCAGCGGATGGAGGATATGGGCTTCGAGGATGTCACCTATGACCATGTCCTTGATGCCGAAACCGCCGGCCTGATTGCCACGGAATACAACTACGAACCCATCTTTGACAATGGCGAGGAAGATTTGATGGCGGCGCCGGAGCCGGAAGACAAATCGAGCCTGCCCCCGAGGCCCCCAGTTGTGACGATCATGGGCCACGTTGACCACGGTAAAACCACCATTCTGGACTGGCTTCGCAATTCCTCCATTGCCGCGTCCGAGCACGGAGGTATCACGCAGCACATTGGTGCGTTCTCCGTCGCCATGCCCTCCGGAAAGACCATTACCTTCTTGGATACTCCTGGCCACGCAGCATTCTTGGATATGCGCCGTCGTGGTGCGGACGTGACGGATATTGTGGTGCTCGTGGTAGCGGCAGATGACAGTGTTAAGCCCCAGACGATCGAGGCGATCAAACACGCTACCTCTGCCAATGTCCCGATCATCGTTGCTATGAGCAAGATGGACAAGGAGGGCGTCAACCCCGAGAAGGTCAAGCAGGATCTGTCGATGCACGATGTGCACGTCGAGGATTACGGTGGCGACGTGCAAGCGATTGGAGTGAGTGGTAAGACCGGCCAGGGAATGCTGGAGCTTGAAGAAGCCATTGTTACTTTGTCCGAGGTGCTCGATCACCGGGCCGACCCCAACGGCAACGTTGAAGGATGGGTGGTCGAGGGCACAACGAAGAGCTATGGCCGTGTGGCCACGATGCTTATCCGGCGCGGTACGCTGCGACCGGGAGATATCATTGTTGCGGGCACCACCTGGACGCGTGTGCGCACGCTCCGCAATGAGGCCGGCGTCGCGGTTCCCGAGGCCACACCGGGCATGCCGGTGGAGGTGGATGGCTGGCGAGAGCAGCCCGAGGCGGGCACCGAGTTCCTGCAGGCTGACGACGAGCAGCATGCCAAGGAAGTCGTGGAGTACCGGATGGACAAGGTCGAGACACATAAACTGAGTGAAGACATGGCCGCGATCAACGAAGCGCGTCGGGAAAAGCTGGAGAAGCGCCGTCAAGAAGAGGCGGGCAAGAAGGTGGAAGAGACTGCACCATCCGGCCCGAAGCCGGTGCAGTTCATCATCAAGGCCGACGTGGGCGGCTCCGCCGAGGCAGTCCTCAACTCGGTCACTGCAGTCGGCAACAACGAAGTGTATGCCAACGTGCTTCGCTCCGAGGTAGGCCCGGTCAGCGAGTTCGACATTGAGCACGCGGCTACGGCCAATGGCCACATCATCTCCTTCAACATGGCCATCGACCCCACGATATCCCGGATGGCCGAGAAGCGCGGCGTGAACATCATGGATCACAATGTCATCTACAAACTCACCGACGAGGTCAAGAGCATCCTGAGTGAGCATCTGCCCCCGAATGTCACCCAACGGGTGACCGGAGAAGCCGAGGTCGGACAGGTCTTCGAGATCTCGCTCAAGGGCCGCAACAAGACGTTCATTGCCGGATGCAAGGTGCGCAATGGAACCATCAACCGGGCCAAGAAGGTGCGCGTGCTGCGCGGCCAGGAGACAATCTACGATGGTAAGTCCGCCGCCTTGCTCTTAGTACCCTTAACTGACGACAACAGGCTCGATTTCATCCCTGAAGAACGTCAAGAAGGACGTGACGGAAATGCGCAAAGACACGGAATGTGGTATCGGCTTCGAGGGCTGGACCGAGTTTGCGGTTGGCGACCATATCCAGTGCTACGAGGAGATTTACGAGAAGCGATACCTCTAATCAACTCTTTGACTTTGGATTGTATTACTACTTCATACCCTCTCCTTTATGTCGACATCCCCCAAAGCATGACCCGGCGCGGTGGAGGACCTTTCTGTACCATATTCCCCTTGATATACATAGACACCTACCTTCTTCCCACTCAGTGACTCCGTAACTATTTATAGAGTACGGCGTAACTCCTGTACTCAGTAATCTATCTCGCCTTCCACCGAACCCTCCCCACCCACGCCGCCCAATTCCTCACATCCTCCCTCTCCCAAATCCTCTCCACAGTAAACCACTCCCTCGCCAACTCCTCATTACTCGCCATCCGATGCACAAAACTATGACACGCGCGACACAACCACGCCACACTATCCAACCTCCACTCCTCATGCCACCCCTTCTTCAGCACCTTCGCATGCACACTCTTCGGAATCAGATGATGATACGACAACGGGATCCAATCCCGTTCACAGATCTCGCACGCCGAGGCCCGCGTGTTCGCCCACACGGGCGGGGGTTTCGTCACCGAATTCACGTATTCACTTAGTATTGGGGCCAGGAAGGAGGGGATGTCGCCTGGGGTATCGATGAGGCCGTAGGCGGTTAGGGTATCGGGGATGGAGGGGTCGAGGATGTGGGCGGTTCGCTCGGAGAGGTGTTTGGGGGTGTATTCGGGGGTGGTGATATCGATGGTGGGGGTGTATTGGAGGGTTTGGATGTGGGGAGGGAGTGAGGGGAAGGTTTCGTTGGCTATGAACTGTGTGGGTTGGGAGAGCCCGCGGGGAGGGGGGGGGGGTTGGGTTAATTACTTCTTTCTGTGTATTGTGCTGGTGGGAGGGGTTGGGGTACGTACATCGATGAAGTCGGCTAGGTCTTCGGGGTCGGTGCGCGTAAAGTCATCTTGTGGTGTTGGGTCTGGGTTTGCCCGCTGTGTGGTGCTGGTGCTGCTTGTTTTCTGGCGTTGAGTGCGTGGACGTCGAGCTTTCTTGGATTGAGTGGGTTGGGAGGATTTGGCGACGATGGCGCTTGAGACGCAGTCGCGGAAGATTTGGTAGTTTTCACTGTCCGGGGTGGTCATGGTGGTGAGTCTGTGTGGTGTGTACACTGTACAGTATTGGGGAAATGTGGGATTGAGTTGTGGTGGTGAGGGGTTGTGAACCTGACATCATCGGTGGGATGTCGGTTCCGCTGCCGTGCTGCTTTGCTTTACTTTACTCTGTTACAATTGTTTCGTGAAGTTGATTATCAACTGTCTTTCAGATTGTATATACCATGGCCGGTGACATTGTTCTTGCGTTCGACATCTATGGCACCCTGCTCTCTTTTGAGACCGTCATCCACGAGCTGGAGCGATGCTTTGGAAACGACCAGGCTCGGGCCCGCACCGTGTCGCAGACATGGAGACGCTACCAGCTTGAATACACCTGGCGATTGAACAGCATGGGTAATCATCTCCCAGCTACGTCTAGGCCAACTTCTCATGCTGATCTAGGGCGCTACCTGTCCTTCTGGGATGTCACGAAGAATGCCCTTTTGCATGCGCTGGACGACACCGGATCCTCCCTGGAAAGCAACGAAATCGAGCATCTCATGGCGACCTATAACAGCCTATCGCCATTCCCTGATGTCGAGGAAGCTCTGGACCGACTTGCAGACCTCCCGCAAATCACACCGGTCATCTTCTCCAATGGCACCCTCGACATGGTGTCTAACTGCGTCGACCACTCGACTCTATCACGGCACAAAGCCCTCTTCAAGGATACCATAAGCGCGGACGAGGTGGGGCAGTACAAGCCTGCGCCGGCAGTCTACAAGCATCTAGCAGAACGAGTCGGAAAAACCGAGTCAGGCCTGAAGGAGATCTGGCTGGTCAGTGGCAACCCGTTTGACGTTGCGGGTGCCCTGAATGTGGGTATGAATGCCATTTGGGTTGACCGGGCAGAGGCACGCTGGACCGACAAGGCGCTGCTGGAGCTGAAACCGACAGCAACCGTCCCTCATCTGGGAGGGATTGTAGACGTGATCCAGGACCATTGGAAGTCAGGTACCAGATGAAGCATTACAAGTAATCCAGCCGTGATAAGAATGTACCGCTGTGAATATTTCCAAACGCTCCACGCTGAAGGAGAAGAATTCGGGGTAAGTCAGCAGGCTTACTCTGACCTTCTATTTCCCCTCCAAGGATCCATGGATAAAGGAGCTCAGAGTGAATAAGAAGGTGGATCAGTTTAATATGGAAGAAGAAAGGAAAAGGTTGAGGCGGCCGAAATTTTCAGCTTTATAACCGCGCTTCACCGCCTGCTTATCGATAAGGGCTTGGCAGATGACGATGGTGAGGCCGTGCTCTGTTGTGTACCTCGTCTGCACCGCTCATCTACCGCCAGTCGATCTTCGTCTTTCTTCAGCCCCTATTCTCTCAAACTTATCTGTTCACGTTCCATTCATCTCCGTTCTCAGATCATGCCGAACAGACACTGGGATACCGGTAAAGCGGCGTGGTTGTATCCCCTGCGTGTATGTTTGGCCTGTTGCTGCCTGTTCACGCTCACCGCGAACTGACCATGTGTTACTAGGGTGTCTACTACTTTGCATCGCACCGCTATCTTTGGCCTCTGTTCAAGACTCGTCTGATCCCCATCGTGCTCCTCTCCGCCTTTATCTACGTCCTGCTCTTCCTGTTTGCATACCTGCCCCAGGTGGCCTTTCTCTCCATCTTCCAGGGTGTCGGAGCGTGGGTCAATGGTGCCTTCTTGGTGCTAGGCGAAGGTGCTGCCATTGTCGCTGCCCTCTTCGAGGCTTTCTTTGTTGATGAGACGCTGGTGGACATCTTCGACTCGGTGCTGGTGAGCGAGGGCCATGGCGAACTCGTGACCATGTCGCGAGTGCTGTACCCCCAGGGCGATGATGTCGTCAAGCGGCTAGGCAAGCCCACTAAGAGCGCCGTTTACGCACCGTTTTCCCTGCGGCAAATTGTGGAATTTGTGGTGCTCCTGCCGCTGAACTTTATTCCGGTGGCCGGAACGCCCATGTTTCTGGTGCTGACGGGCTACCGAGCGGGCCCCTTCCACCACTGGCGATACTTCCAGCTGCTGGATCTTTCGAAACCGCAGCGCAAAGAACGGGTTCGTCGCCGGCAACTGCAGTACACCACGTGGGTTTCAACCTTGTCCCCCTGAAGATCTACCGAGGCTCCTGCTGACGATCAACCATGCGAACCCAGATTTGGGACGGTGGCCCTGCTGCTGCAGTTGGTGCCCATCTTGTCCATGTTTTTCTTGATGTCAACCGCGGTTGGGTCTGCCCTTTGGGCGGTGGAGATTGAGAACAAACGCGATCTTTTGGGTAGAAGGCCCGGGCGAGATCCCGAGAGCCTCTACCGCGACGACGATGCGATGATATGATTTGGGTTTCGGGTCCTCTTTTAGCCTAATTTGCTGCTTAGCGCCGCATCTTTTTTTTCACTTTCGCCTTTGCCCTACATAATAGTAATGGTTTAATGTGGTCGCTCGCAGACCGGGTTCTTTACTCCTTCCCATTTTTGCTGCCTCGTAGCTGGATGCCCGGTCGCACGTCGATCCTCCCACTGGCATGGCTGGCCCCGGCGACAGGAGACGAAGGACGGGCGACTCCACCCGGTGCGGGTTTTTTGGGCATTTGCAGTGCACCGAGGGACATTAGTCGCGGCCGGTGGAAGCGGACCGATTGGGAAGGATCCCCTGGCTTCCAGTGATGAGGACTGACTAACTCGTCTACTCCATCCTGACGAGGGCACTAGGCGGACTAGCAAAGTTTCCGGCGCCCGACAAGCGTCCGACCCTACCGGAGTCGTTACCCGCGGCGTCGGCGGGCAAATCAGGCACTGAGGCACTGCCGGGATATGCGACCGATGGGAGTCTCATAGTAGTTAGTTCTCCTCCGTCTTAGTATTATCAATCACACCGCACTGCCTCCGTCTGTGTGACCTGGGGCATCCCTCGATCCTTCATAACTGCATAAAAGGAGTGTGTATGACGCGCCCCACGTGACCCCCCCGCTTGCCGGTCTCGCTCGCGGGATCGGCGCTCCATTCCAAATCTCGTTCGGAGACAGAGAAGAATCAAGAAACAGACAAACACACCGAGTGCTCCAGAAACGGTCATCCCAGCTTCACAGTCACGGCATCACCGGTGAAGGACACCCTTCCGATTCCACCCGTCATTGGAGCCCCCTCGCGATCGACAGCGGAGTCGCCCAAGTTAAGGTACCAGGCTACCGACCAACCTAAGCCGGCGGCTTTATCGTCAAGACCTCCACCGGGCGGGGATCTTGACCGGTGCTCGATATTGCTGTACCATTCATTAGCCATTAGGTCACTCCGGGGTCGCTTCTTTGGGATGCCCCCCGGTCAAACTCAAATGGTGACCTTGAACGGTCCTGCGATCGAGTCGCCCTTCTAGACGTCGCCCTTAATAACATTCGAGCCTCGTCCGACGATCGTCCTTCAATTTCCCCCACAGCCACTGCGCCGTTTTCCCGTTAACCCGCCCACCCTACCCCCTGGTGCCCGGTCGACCTGAATAATATACTATCTACTACCCACTATCCACTACTACCTTGCTGTGCAGCGTGCTGCATCATCTCCAGATCTCTCTCTCATCCCGCCTCATCTCCACCGACAGCGCCAACAGCGTCCCACCTCCGCGGAGTACTATGCGCCGCCCTCAATGGTCTAGTCTTCTTTAAAAGCATGGGAGCATCCACCGTGGTTTTGTGTGCCCATGGACCAACGAACCCGGCTGCGCAAGGCTTGTGATGCCTGTAGTATTCGCAAAGTGAAGGTAATGCTCTGAGGTCCCCGCCTTGCAGTGGTTGTTAACCCCGCCTAACGTGTGCAGTGCGACACCAGCGGACCACCCTGTCGGTCGTGCGCAAGCTTGGACATCCCGTGTACCTATGAACGCCCCAGTCGCCGGCGTGGCCCTCCCAACCGCCATGCAGAAGCCTTCAAGAAGCAGAAATTAGCAGAATCGCCCGCGGGCTCTCCGAGTCCGTCAGACCACACCACCACCCCGGGTCCTCCGGCCTCGACACCCTCATCCAACCCTGTGCCCCTATCGCTGGAATCCATCTGTTCACTACCTACCGTCCGACTGCTCATTGATGATTTCTTTACCTTCATTCACCCATTGGTCCCCGTTCCCCATGAACCGACATTTCGCGCCTCGTTGGAGCGGCGAGAGGACCTCACCAATCCCACGTTTCTGGCCCTCACGGCCGCCATGATCGGGGCATCGGTGGCCTCCTTTCCGCGACGACCCAAACAGCACATCAAAACGGAGGCCGAAAAAGCAGCCTTCCCGCACTCCATGGCTCTGGTCCGGCGGTGCCATGACATCACCGTTCAAGCTCGGGGCTCTGGCTACCTGGACCGCAGCGCGACGGTGTACGATGCCGCCATCAGCTATTTTCTCGGCCTCTGCTCAGGATATGTCTGGCACATCCGCCGGTGTCGCGCATATTTTGCGGAATGTCTGACCATGATCCATGTGTACGATCTCTGCCGCCAGTCCAACCGCCTGTCATCGATGACCCCGACGAGCCCGTCTTCCTCGTCGCGGTACTCGCACGATCCGTCCGGCACGACCGTAGAGCACCCCGTCGATCTCATCGAGCAGGAACTCGGGCGACGTTTATTCTACACCACCATCGCCGGCTATCGGACGCTACAACAGCTGGGATCTGGCGACGCGATGATCCATGTGCCGCCTGAGACTCCTACGGAGCGCTATCCGCCTTTACCACTTGAGGTGGACGACGAATATATTTTCTCTACCCATGTTGACCCACAACCATCCAATCGGGTGTCCCTTTTGGTGGGCTTCAATGCCAACGTTCGAGTGCTGCACTCGTACAATGCACTCTCCGCCTGGGAGACGGCGTTCGGGCGCGGCCAGATCTTCGACTGGGAACGGCAACGATCCCTGTTGTGGGACTGCCTGCAGAAGGTGAAAGCGGCCTTTTCGAATGTCCCGAGAGAACTGGTCATTCCGTGGTCCCACGACTCGATGTCCAGCAACGGCATTGCGGAGGATTCGCGGACGCAGGTACGTCATATACAATACGAGATCCAGAAGGCGAACATGTACGCCACTCAGCTAGGCACGCGATCGTACTTGGTGGAGAAATATTGGGCTTTGTATGGGGCCTGGAACATGCAACGGAAGCTGTCCGACCAGCAAACCCCCCTTAGCCCTCGAACGACCATCAAGGTCGAGGGTGAGCAGCCACGGAAGTTGGACTCCTCCGATGCGGACGCCCAATTGGATTACATTGGTCAAATGATGGCCGAAGAGCGTCGGCTCGTGATCCGCGACCTGTTCGTCTTATTGCGGTCGGTCAACGAAATCAACATGGAGCCTAATGGCACCAGCTTTGTATGACCCTGGCTGCTTTGATATTGATCCAATTACTGACCGTTTCTGCAGACCGCCAAAGTTCGGCAAATCGCATCCACCTTACTCAACTTTCCTCACTCCAACATGATCGCCCCCACGACGAGCGGCCCGCATCCTCTCACCAGCGACGAAGCGGAAGCCTACCTCCGCGCTTTCATTGACACGCTGGTCCGCCTCGAGGGGGTGAAGCCTGGCCTGGCCGCCGCCAAGGCTAGTCCTAGGACGCAACGGGAATCGATCAGCTATCTGAGTGATCATGACCGGGAGGAGGAAGAGCTGCGACAGTGGGCCAATCTGAAAGAATATCAAGCCAAATTTGCCGAAGCAGGGGGATGGATGTCGGAGCTGTAAGCTGTGCTGGATTGCATCCTTAGGAGTTGGAGTGATTATATTATTTGATTCGTGGGTGGCCAACTGCGTTCTTGAGTTTGTGTTTAGCAGGAGATGGAGTTGGACTGTCTGGGTCTGGGGCAAGATGATTGAACGGCCTTGGGTTGTATTATAATAGAGCTGTATTGATGATTGGTCTATCGTGAATATGTATACATCTGTTCTGGGGAGGATATCAATAATGTTCGATACCATGCCTGTCTCGCAGAACATATACTACCAATAACTGACCACCCCCCCCGGCCCCTACTATTATCAAGTACAAGGGAAGTAAGCTGTAGCAGCTATAATTCTGGACCGCCCCTATCTCAGCAGCAGACCCCCCCTCCCCCTTATCTAGTCTCGATCCATCGACTCGATAGCAATGGTTTATCGAAACGAATCAGGATATCCAGCCCTAAACCTTTCCACATCGAAATAAAAAACCCGTCGTGACTCGCTAAAAGATCCTGGGCTAGGATAGTATTTACTTCAGGGGTGACCAATGGAGAAAGCTTCTGATCGGATGAGATACTAGATTGTTGAGTGCTTTTTACCTTGTCGGTTAGTAGAGATTTGTCAACGTGCATTTTGTCGACTATAGTCACAATAAACAGCTTGGCCAAGTATCACCACGACAGGAGGCGATATACATTGTACATTCTTGAAAACTTTTGACTGGGTGATCGAACATACTCCAACTAGAAGAGGAAGACGATATGGCTTTCCCCTCCGCTCCGTCAGCCCAGAGGAACCTAGTGGTATTGACCCTGCCGATGCTCCGCCAGATGCCTTTTGCGGCGCCTGGTCCACTCCCCTGCCTCTTCTACAGGCGCCGTCACAGCCGGTGGGGCGGCAGCGGCAGCGGAAGCGGCAGCGGCGGGGATACTGGTCTCGCGGGCGATCTCCGTTGGAAGACTCGGCCGCTGGGAAACACCCTCCTGGGTCAGAACCGCGGTCGAGGAGAACGCCGCCCCGTCCGTGGGTTCCGGGGTCGGGGGCAGCCTGGCGGCCTCCTCCAGGACCAGATCCGCCACGGCTTCGGCCTCGTAGATCGCTGACAGGGGGAGTTCCTGCTGAAGCACGGACTTGGCGACATCGCGTTTCAACCATGAGGCCGAGGCGATGTTGTAGGGGAGATTGTCGGGGTAGCTGGGGTCGGTGTCGTATTGCTGGCGCGGCCAGTTGTAGGGGTCTGCGAAGATTCTGGGGAGTGTCAGTTGTGAGAATTGGGGCTGGGGAAGAAATACAGGAGCAGCGTAGGCGGGGAGAGGCTAGGGAGGCATACGGATCATTTGGATGGACGCGGAAACCATGGTCGCGCACGGTGCGAACAACCCTCACATCGTTTTGCATGTAGGTGTACCCGGCTGTGCATCGTACAGGGATCAGTTGGCATGTTACAGGGATAACATCGATAGCGTGTACATACCCCAGCACTCGCTGCCCGGTGTCTGCGAGTCAAAGCCGTATTTCTGGATAAAGTGCTGTCCATCGATGCGGGCGGTGTTACGAGGATCATCATCGCTGATGGGGCCGAACTTCCAGGTGACGGGGGGTTCTGGGGGTTTGATGCCGCGCACCTTGCGCAATGCTTTACAGGGATTGAAGACGGTCTGAATCCAATCCGACCAATCCTGGCCCTGTAATCCGTTCTCGATGCCGTTCAGATATCGGAGACCCTGGATCTCGCTATCATCAAGAGATCCCATGGGGAATTCGTCACTGCATAGGACGGGCAAATCAGCATTATCTTTCGGGGGAACAAACGTAGACATAGCCACCGATGGATTTGTGACTTACACCTCGCAATTCACTCGAGTCATGGATCCACGCGAGACCTTCGACTGAAGCAAACTGACATAAGCCCGGTTCCGGAATCTGGACCATTCATCCTTGTAGGTCGATTTCGGGCGTTTCTGGACGTTATAGACCGTCTTTCCGCCCATAATCTTATCGATAGCCCATCGTTGGTTGTCGCACACCTCATCAAAGCCGTGGCCGTAGCGACAGTAGTAGGTGACGCTGCAATCTCGGTCCTTCTTCCCGTACTGCGTCCGCTGCCAGCCCCCGTCTTTGTTCACCAGTGTCGCAGGAACCTCAATAAAGGAGGCGGGAGGCACCGGGACGTCGCCGGGCCCCATGGCGCCTTGACCTATGTTGGCGACAATACCGGCGCTGTAGTCGGCCGCGGCATTCTCTTCCTCGGCCATGCACTTGTAGATTGAGTCGGCAGCGAGTGAGAGTTCATCGTTCAGGCTTGGGAGCCAGAGGAGGTCTTCCGTACCTGCACTAGGCTCGTTCTCAATTTTGGAATGGAATGAAAGGAGACGGAGACTCACCAAGCAAGGCGTCGACAGCTGCTTGGCCCGTCTTGGGTTCGCACAAGGGACTGCTCGGTTGGATGTTGAAGTATTTGTAGTCTTTTCGCTTGCTGAGGTTGTTCTTATTATCGTCGCCGGACTGCTGATCTTGACCGACCAGGTTCAGCGCGTCGGTGTTGGTATATGGTGAGGGCTCGAAGCCCGAGCAACAGTACGACTGGGATCCCCCTGTAATTGGTGCCGTAGCACTTTTAGTCACAGTCCTTCGGGCGATATAATGGATTCATACGGACCATTGCATGTCCAGTCGTTGAAGTTATCCATGGAAGTATCGTATTCATACTGATTGGCTAGTACCAGCGAATATTAGCGCCATCATAGCAGGGAAAGGCCACACTTTCTGACAGAAGAACTCACTATTCGACGCGATCAGATCCGTGCCATCCGGGCAATAATTCGTGGCACAGGAGAGGCCTACCCCTCGGAAGCCATGCCAGGAGCAGACGCCCGTGTTCGTCCCAGGCGCACAGCAGAGCTGCTTGAATTCTCCGCTGGGGCACGAACTATCACGATCAACCCCCAAGACCTGTCCGGTTGCGTATGTCTGAGTGAAATATCCCGACACGCACTCTCCCCCGCAGAAGGTCCAATAGCAGGAGTTGCGCTTGCTAGCAGCCTGATCTGCCTGGGCTAAAATCTCTTTATATGCTGCGGCGTCAGCGGCTGAGACTCCATTTGCGGTCCCAATGCCAAGCAGATCATTGGAACTCGTGTGGTCACTGCTATCCTGGTCCATGGACCAAATCAGGGTTCCGCCTAAGCAATGTTTGTTGGCAAAGTCGATCTTCATCTGCATTGATTCGCCGTCATCGTAGCTGACCCACTGATCAGTGTCCCAGGTGATCCACTTGACACCAGCGACTTGGTCAAAAGTCGGAACGAGATTGTTCGCTGTAATGATACGCTGGATTTCCGCATTTGAAAGAGTTCCAGACGACTGTGTACATTCGCCTGCAGTTCCTCCATAGCTAAACACACAGCCAGGAGTGTTACAGCTCGGGTCCTTTAGAGTGAAAGACCGGCCGTACCAGCCAACTCCTAGATTCACATTCGACGGGTTGATATCATTGCGCCAGAGGAGATCCAACGAGTCCGCGATCTCAGTCAAGTTAGTATGTGGTCGGACATAGGGGCCCGTGAACTTGTTGGACGAGTCCCACACTCCGTGGATATCATAGGTCATGACATTGAGAAAATCGGTGTTTGCTTCAATGCCCTGGAGATCGAACCACCGCAGATACCAATAGGATGCGGGCAGCGTGACACTCAAGCCATAGCGAGTTCCGAAGGCGGATTTCAGCTCTTTAAGCAGCGTGACGTAGTTCTCCGTATCCGCAGCCACGCCGCCTCGATCTGGGGCGCCCGGGTACTAGGTTACGTGTCAGTGATGGCTTGCCATGGAGCCATTCATTGCGACCCACCTCCCAGTCGATATCCAGCCCATCGAATCCCCAGACCTGCAGAAAAGACATGACGGATGTGATGAAGGTCTGTCGGTTGGCTGCATTCGCTGCCAAGTCACTGAAAGCTGTTTGGGTGTTGGGGGTATTCGTGGCATCCTATATCGTGTTAGCGTCTGCCTTGTTCATTCCACCCTCAATAGCTATATCTGCCCACATTGAAACTCCAACCTCCGAGAGACACCCAAGTTTTGAGTTCCCTAACGAGGACTCAATTAGCATAAGGCTTCTTTCGTTGGACCCCAGCTTTCACTTACGGCTTAGTCTTTTTCAGCGCAGTGAATTGGGGATACAATGCCTCGTCCCCAGAGCTCATTGGAACGATCTGAAAGGTCGTAGGATGGAAGTAGATGAATGCTATGAAGAAACATCTCGGTTAGTATGCTCTCTGTGAGATACGTATCAACGGCCTGAAGGTCATGACCTACCGAAGTTTATGTGTGTCAGTGCTGTCACCTCAAGGTCGGACGGAAGACGCTTGTCACATGTGCGAGTGGACGACCTGGCTCACTAGTCAGAATATGGAGACAATCATTACAAACAGCCAAAGGCCCAGTGAAAGGGAAGTTTATTGTACCATCCTTCGTAGTAGCCGACGGTTCTCTGTCTTGCACTAGAACCACCACAGGACGGCTCTGTGACTGCACCACAACCACCGTAGCCTTCCTGGCAACCTGCATCACAGAAGTCCTGGTAATGACCACTTCTTTAGCCAATGTAGAACTATAGGGATTCAGTGTCAGTGTGTGCCTACCGATGTCGTACCGCAGAAACCAAACTTCGAACAACACACGTTGATCGGGCAAGTATTGTTGCCCGCAACTCCGTACTGTCCACATTCAGCCTTAGCATCGCAGTTGGAAATGCACACGTCCGCTCCACACTCATTGAGGGAGTATCCGCAGATTCCAGTGTTGCTGCAACAAGCTCCGTTCACACAAGGGGTCCCGGGAGCACAAGTCCCTGTGGGCAGGTCCTCTCGGCGCTGGAGAGTGGTGTGGCTTGAGGGTCCCTCGATGGGCTGCAGAGCTTTGACTAGGGGGTTCACACTTTGACCAGTGACATTTTGAAAGATTGGAGTGGAGTTGGAATGAAGAGCAAACAGGGGGCGGTAAGTGCTGCCCAAGCTTGTATTGGTGGAGGACACTGCTTGTGCTGCCGTGAAAGCAGTGGCAAACGTGACAAACGTGGTAAGCCACAAAATCATTGTGGTTCAAGGCTATAGGGAGGAATGGGGAGGAGCATAAGTCATTGCAGAGTAAATTGCACAGTACAAGCGTGCTGTCACCTTGCCCCGGCCGAGCAGATATTTCGCAGTCTTATTATATACCACCAGACACCTCAACTTGACCCCCTTTCATCAAATACACCATTCCATCCCTGACCCATTGGGCACACTAACACTTTCGTCGGATACTTGGGTGTCCCTCCGTATGCATCCGATCTGAGCGGTTTTTTTTTTTTTTTTTTTTTTTTTTTTTTTCCCAGGGGAATCACAAACGAACAAAATGACCAGACCAGAGTCCCATCATGCAATACATCCTTGATAGGAGACCGAACCAATGAGGTGGAGGGGGGCAGTTGGTGTTCTGCTGGTAGGCTGAAAGCCAAGCCAGGTGGAAGTTGAGATTACTCCTGCGCTCCACTATACAGGGTCTTGGAGTTTGGGGGCGAATTCCGCTCGTAAAGATGGCGGGCCGTCGCGGGCAGTACCGCTTCAGGAAAATGTGAGCTCACTTATTGCCCTGGAAATCGGACCCTGATGAGCCCGTTGCCGGATATCAATCTTCTGATTGGACTCTTACCTCGTTGTAGGTCGGTCTTGGCAAAAGTCGGTTTAGTGCCTGGGGCGTGACCCATCCGCCGAACTACTTGAATTCTCGAGACTACTGCTTAGTCTCGTTGAGAGGCAAAATCCAGGCCCTGGACTACATATTACAGCCGAGACAAACCAAACCTACTAGCCTCGCTAGTCAATTGCCTAGGGTAGGTCCTGCGTGATTTTAATTGGCAAGCTCGGGTTTGTATAACCGACTACAACAACGAGCTGCCAAGGGAAGACTAAACGCCAAGTATCGCGACTCACTGCGGGTCCACGGCTTTGCAGCCGGCCGGATGAGGCGGACCTCGCCTAAACAGACCGAGAACCAGCTGAAAATTGCCTCAAGTATCGAACCCCTGACCCCAATTGTACCTGGCCCCGTAATACTAGTCCCACTTGGGATTTGTATAGTATTTTCGAACATTATTATCGATCGTACGGGGCATGCTCCGAAAGGTGGTAGGTATGCTTGTCCAGTGACCAGCATTGCCTCCCCAACCGCTCAAGACCGCAGTATAAGACCGCGGTTCCCTGGTTCAGGTCTTGATGCTACTCGCATGTTTCTATTCCTCTTCGACAGCATCACTGTTCCCCATGGCGAGTGTTCGGGGTTTCGTTGGCGCTGCTCTACTCCTACACCTCAGCTTGGGTGTGCTAGTAGAGAGCAGTTCCTTCCGTCTGTACGATGCATTTGAGGCCTCTTACCTAGGAGATGCACTAGGTCTTTCTTCTCAGTGCATGCAGGCCCTGTGTGTTTCCCATGCCCCAAATATTGTCGATTATTAGTCAGGTAGATAAAGCTGATTATAGCTACTTATAGAAACTCTACAATTGACTGCGATAAGAAGACGGCCACAAAAGCTGCGTCGGGCCCCGATAGTTATGGTGAGTCTTGCTTTAGTCTCAAAGACCAGACTGCCTGCGCTAACAATGGCCGTTGTCCCTCAGCTTGGACCACACAAAATCTAACCAACTTGTGTACATCGGAATGCCAGGCTTCGTTGACTGCGTGGTTGTCGGCGGTCGACACGCAGTGTGAAGGCGAAACCATGATTAGCACCGGAGGTGTGATGACTCTAGCTAAATTAACCCCTACAATGTGGAAGGATGGCTACGATTTGGTCTGTCTGCAGTCCAGGTACATGATACCCGTGACCAAAGAGAAACATCAGGAAATCTGACGGTGTAAACTCAAAAGTTCCTCGGATTGGTGTTTCCTCCAGTCTCAGACATGGCAGGGTGCAGATTACATCAGGTACAGTGGTGGCAGATCCCAGCTCGTGGCTGATGGTAAATCTGCTGACACGATAACGATTAGATACTCCCCAGAAGCATGCGACAACGCGGACGAGGCTGACAATCCGGAACATTGTTACGATCCAACCTGGACCCCTCAGAATTTCACAGCGGAGATGAAAATGATCACCAATATGTATAACCAGTCCACGGTAAGACTATTTGGCAGTGACAGAGCCAGAAACAGACGACTGAAACAAGTCTTCAGGTGTGCGACGAATGCTTTATCAAGATGTGGAGGCAACGTCTGATGTCCCCGAGTCTCCCAAGCGGAGATTTTGGCCAATACCTCGTATCTCAGTACGAGAATATCCAGCAAAACTGTTCTACTACTCTTCCAGTCTCGACGTACACATCACAGCTTCTTGCACAAGCTACCAAAACCAAGGTTGTAACGGCGACAGGAGAGTCAACTACCACTGCCGCAGCTACAGCTACCTCCTGCTTGGGCCAACTTGTGCAGCCAAGGAAGCTCTTCTATTGCAATGACCTGACAGATACCTACAATGTTAGCACCGGCATCGCGTATCATGTCACGGGCGACAAGTCCGGCTGTCAATTTAGTGAAGCGATCTGCCTACCCTTGCCCTGCGAGCTGGATACAGTCTATCACAATCCAACATGGTGAGCGTGGCCACTCTCCCACAGGAGCATACAGTTGAATCTGATTATTGTACAGTTCGGACCTCGCTGCGCGTTACTCTACTGACGATCATGAGGTTACTCTCACCCAGTTCTTGAGCTGGAATCCGTATATCCAGGGATCATGTGGGTCTCTCAATTCCGCCCAGAGAGTGTGTAAGAGGTGAGCTATGCAGGGTACTTCGAAGGCTATGAGGTGACATCTACTCATGGACCATGTTCTCCAACAGCCCGCCGGGCGGCAAGTTCAACGCTACCGCAATCGTCTATGCTCCCACAGCCGCTGGGTCGTATTATACCACAGGTGTGTTTTTCGGTTCTCGCCGTTGCCCAGACTAATACTCTACTGATGGGCTGCTAAAACCGTTGCAAAAGCGTCCCCTGCAGAGCCTACACAGCCCGGAGCGACCTCCGACTGCGGCCTCTACTACCAGGTGGCATTAGGCGATACGGTACGCTCCATCGTTCAGCGATATTCTTGACTGCTTTTGAAAATTGACTGTTACTTGAAAATAATAGTGTAATTCGATTGCCCTTCGATTGTGAGTCTGATCATCACCACCCATCCTCCGCTATTTCTGACATACCCACCAAAGCGGCATTACCTTTTCTGAGCTCCAGCAATTGAACGTCAACGTATGGATTCTCCCGCCTCACATCATCCCAATCCCCGGTGCTAACCAGTTCTCAGATCACCGACACGTGTAGCAACCTCTGGCTAGGCTATGATATCTGCGTCGCTCCGGTCACTGCGGCGCCGCTGTCTACGGATGGCCGTTGCGGGCCTTTGTTCAACCACACCACTTGCTTGGGAACCTCATTTGGAGAGTAAGTCCCACGCCGTTGGCTATTCCCCTTTGGACTTGGCGTTTGGGAAATCTAAAAGTGATCTCGACCCAACAGCTGCTGTAACTCCGATGGCTGGTGCGGCAGCACATTTGATTACTGCGGGGCCGATACCTGCATCTCGGGCAAGTGCAACAAAGCCACCAGTGTGACCACGGATGGCACCTGCGGTCCCGACCACAGTTACACCTCGTGCACCAACGCCAACTTTGGCCCGTCAGTCACCCTTGGAGTTCTCTTTGGCTAATCTTGTTTCATCTCACTGACTGAATCCCTAGGTGTTGTTCCATTTATGGCTACTGCGGCAGTGGCAGCGACTTTTGTGGTGCGGGCAACTGCTATTCGGGCAGCTGCGAGGCGGATATCGGCGGTCCCAGCATCAACGGGGAGTGTGGCCCGAACTTTGCGGGCAACAAGACGTGTACCGGCACGCAGTTTGGATCATGCTGTTCGGTGGCGGGATACTGTGGTAGCAGTGAGGAGTATTGTGGTGCGGGGAATTGCTACTCGGGGGCTTGTCTATAACAGGCACGCCAATGACTCGTGGAGAGGCACGGCAAACGAACTAAGAGGCACTAGTAGGATCTAGTTTAGCACTTGTGACTTACATAGTAAGAGAGGAGGACGACCCACCAAGCTGAAAACCAGGGTCTGTCCAGTCCTGGCGTCTACTCCGGTTAGGTGAACCCGATTAAATAGCCCTGCGGGACCATCCCTCTCCAATGCTAGCTACATCCAACCATGACCGCCCCCCGAGAACAAGTGCCCTTTGGACGATTCAACTACGAATTGTGCGCCAGTCTCCATAATCAAATTTTCCTCATCGCATGGAAAGGAAGTGGACGCTCTGTCGATACCCCTTTCTCCACCTGGTGGGAGTACTACCAACCATCGGATGAACTCGCCGCGCGGTATCATCCCTGGTTGGTACAATTTCTCCAACGCGTGTATTATCATCCCGAGGCGCCGGAATTCTTCTACTATTTAGAAGGGTTGAACCGAGCGGAGACATTGATCCACGATGACTTCAACGAGAGATTTGACGGTCGAGATTGTTATGTCCTGCTGCATCCGGCGACGGGGTGGAAGATGGGGGATGAATATGGGATCATGTACGTTTATCCCTATCTACTCCATGTCAAGAGGATCAATATTGATATCGTGTATAGATTCGACCAAATCACCTGCAAAGCCGTCTTCGCCGAAGACCTCGACATCACCCACCCCATCTGCAACTACGGCCGGGGCTTCCAACCTCTCGAAAACATCTACACGGCCTACCTGCAGATGATCGCCGAGGACAAGGTCGAGATCTGCCGTGCCCCTGATGGCCAATGGCCCAAAGAGCTATACAACCAAGCTGTGGCGCCTATCGGGCCCTGGCGCTACCATGCCTACACCTCAGCCGACGTCCACAAGGCCGCCCACGCCTTCCAGCGTCTGGTCCAGGACATCACCACCCGGTTACCTCCACGTTCTCCTTCCTCCCCAGCGCCCTCCACCCCACTCCCCTGGTCCGACCCAGCCGTGCGCCTCGACGCCCACATCCTCCCGGATAGCTTCGCCGATGCTTTTTGTGCGGCCACCACTGCCACCCACCCGCTCCCCTTCCGCTACATCGCCCCGGGCATCCGCCTTCCCACCGTCGCCGAATTCCTCGCCCAGCCCTTCCATGACCCACAGCATAAAGACCCTCGTGCCCTCGCCCTCCCACACGAAAGACCAATCCGTCCAACATTACTCTTCCTCGCCGAGTCGGATGATTCCACCCCCACAGCACCAACCCTCACGATCCCCAACCCCGACACATGCCTCAACTCCCACCCCTCCCTCACCCCCTCCAAAGGCAACCCCCCACCCCGCCCCGCAGGGCTGTACCTCACAGCCGACAACCGCCTCTTCCAAGGGTCCGAAAACGGATGTCGTCTCCTGCTCCCATTCTCCATTGGACGTAACGGCTGGGCACGACGGAGTGATGGCTCGCGCATGGGCGATGATCTGTACGATGAGAATGATCCCGCGGATGAGAACTTTGATCTGTATCAGTGTTTTGTGAACGGGGTGGGGCCGTATCGGGATGTAGAGGTGCATCGGGTGTTGGAGAATTGGGGGGAGAGGGTGAGGAGGGGGGAGTGGGGGGT